ATATTATAAATATGGATTCTTATGTTATGTATCAGTGGAAAACAATTGAATTTTTCAACTACAACAACAAGGTGATGACATGTGTTTGTGTGCAATGACAGAGATGATGATGATGATCATAATGATAGCATTTGGTTTACTTTTTTTTCTGGATTCTGGTTTTTGTTCCAACAATGAATTGACCGATTCTGAAGTGTGTGTGTGTGTGCGTTGATGGAACAAGTGAATTTTGAGATTAATATATTTGATTTTCATTCAAGATTTATTATATTATATGATTGATGAATGATAAAGTTTTTCAAGTGCGTGTTTTTTTTGTTTTGTTTTATTTTGAAAATATGATTTTCGTAATTGAAATAAAAAAAATATTCAGGTTAACCATTCAAGTGGTGGTGATAATGTTATCAATGGAAATAATAGATGTCGGTACTTCAAAAATAAAAAATTTTCAATAAATCAATCAATCGAAATGTGTATTGCACTTGTCTAACTGCATTTTAATTCGAAATATATGTCCACCAGCAGATGACATTCATGTTTTGTTTCATTTATTTTTTCAAATGAAAAATCAAAATACCGACAAACAAACAATGTGAAAACCAATATGGAAAACACCAAACATATAGTGTCGATTTTGGTATTTTTTTTCCTTTTCTTTCTCTCTCTCTATTTTATTTGTGTGTGTGTGTTTCTTCGGACCTACAAACAAACACCAAACACCAAACAACAACAACAACAACAACAGCTTGGCTTTGAAGTTTCATTCATCATTCATTCATTCATTTCGTTGAGAAATTTTTATAGTGTCAGTTTTTTTTTTCTACACGATGGTCATTTTAAATTTTTTCTTCTTTTTGGATTTTTTTTTTTTTTTTTGATCACAAACAAACAAGGTCAACTTTGTGTGTGTCTGTGTGTGTGATCAATCGATTTTTGGCTCTATATTTTTGTTGTTTGTTTCGCAATGAATTTCAAGACGATGAATAATCCAAGTCCAAGTCAATCGATGAGTCATCACTTTTTTCTGTGTGATTTACGAATTTACGGACAAAAAAAAAAAAAACCCAAGTACAGAACATCATAATATGAGAATCAGAAAAAATCAGAAGAAAAGAAAAGCCGAAAAATGACACTGTTTTTTCTTTTTGAACATTTATGACTTTAATGCACACAAAAAAAACAACATTGAACAATTCATGATGGTCATTTCTTTTGTCCGATTAATATGACTTCTGGGTGGTAAATAAAATAAAATAAAAATAAGACCCTAATTCATATTACATTCCATCATCATCTTATCATTTGCATTTTTTTTTTAGTTTTGCACTTTCATTTGTTTCAACAACGAAAAATGAAAATATCCACTATACTCATCACGTGTGTGTGTGTGTGTTCGGCATTCTTTGAACGTAAAAAAAAAAAAGAGAAAAAGAAGGTTTCTTTCAAACAAACAAATAGATCAATAATTTTTTGCTTCATTTTCTAACTCTTACAATGATGATTTATGCATTTTATATAATCCACATCTACATACATATGCCGAAAAGCTCGTTGTTGTTGTTGTTGTTGTCTATGAAAAAGCAGTGGTCAGGCTAGTTTTTTTTTTTTTTTTTTTACAACAATGGCCGAAGAAAAATAAATGTAAAATCAATTGTCCGATCGATTAATTAATTTATTTTTTTTATCCAATAAATCAATAATGTGTGTGTGTGTGTGCATGTTTATCATTATCGTTATCGTTACCGATTTGATACAATTCATAACACCATTAAAATGTGATTTAGTAATAGCTCCCAATACAATTTTGGTTGTTGATGTTGGAAAAATTTTAATTAAAAATTTAGGCGTTGTTTATTTGTGTTTGTTTGTTTGTTTGTTGATATCGACATCACCACCACCACCACCACCACCATCGACATCAACTAATATATAGATAGATTAATTGTCTGTTAATGACTATATGACCTGTGTTCAATGATCTAAAGATCATCATCATCATCATCACAGCAGTAGCAAACATCCCTCTGATGACCTTATGATGATGATGATGATGATGACTGCTTGATCTTCACCGATCTTTGATCGTTCACCTTTTTTTATACGATATATAATTATCTATTGTGGATGGATATATGTGGTGATGTCAAACACATGATGCTAACACTTTTTTTTTCTTCCACAATTCACCATCATCATCGATGGTAATATCAATTAATCAAGTTTTTCTTATTTTCCTTGCTTTCGAACAACAACAACAAAAACACCCGGGCAATTCAGATGATGATGATGAAAACGGTGAGGTGATTGGAAATAAATTGCTCGTTTCAGTTTTTATTTTTAAACATTGTCCATTTTCATCATGATGCCCAACATCATCATCATCATTCGGGATTTGAATTTGATTTTTTTTTTGATTTTTCTTGTCAGGTTAATTATAATAATTCTGGCTTCTCTTATCATATCAAACGAAATTTTTTTCCTCTTTCGTTTACAATTTGTTTTAGATCGATGATTGATTGATTGATTGATTCATTCGATGATGATATTGAATTGTAAAACAATTGATGATTGGTTTCATTTACTTACGAATGGCACCAAGATCGATTTTCATCATCATCTGATTTTTTCGAATCAAAATCCAATTTATATAATTTATTTTCCATTACAAAATGTGTCATTGCTAATGGACATTGGTCAGTGTGTGTGTGTGTGTGTGACACATTCTTGGATTTTTTCTTTTATTTATTTTCGACTGAAATTTTGAATGTGAAAATGAAATGAATGAAAAAAAAACTGTTGTGTTACACATGTTTCATCAGCTGCAACATTTCGATATGGCTTCCACTAAGCATGATGTAAAAAAAAAAAAAAAACAAAACAAAAATTAGCTGCTGTGTTCGTTGTGTGCGTATGTGGGTGCTGCTAATAAATCTTTTTTTTTTGGATGGCAACTTTGATTAAATGTGTATGTGTGTGTGACCAATGGTCAGCCACTGTTACGGTGATACCGGTGATGGAAATCAAATGGATGAATCAGATGACCAGATGGTTTGACGTGTTGATTTATATCAATTTTTTTTGTTCTGTTGTTCTATAGAATGGTGAAATTTATTTTCAACACACACACACACAGACACCCAAGAATATAACAGTAATGTACATGACATGACATGACTATGACATAATTGATCTTGAATTTGTTTTTTTTCGTATGCCACACAAAAAAAAAAACATCTCTAGCTACCTAAAAAAAAACTAACTAACTATTATTAACTTCACTCTCATCCGTTAGAAAGTGGTTTACAGTTTGCATTTTGATTGACCGGACAGGTCAAACAATATGAATATGTGTGCATAGTGTTGACCAAAACAAAACAAAAAAACAAAAGAAAAACAGACAAACAAACAAACAAGTTTTTGTCGCTGTTTATTTCCATAAGCTTTTAATTAATTATACATACATTTCACATATATCATAAATCCAAAATCATTTGGGACATAATCATCATCATCAGTATTGTTCATATTGGTGTCTCTAGAATACCGTCGCTGCCATGTATATCTACACACACACACACACCACCATAGTAGTCCATAAGTCATAATAATAATAATATCCAGTGGGTAGTAAATCATTTTGTTTTTTTTTTTTGACAATGGCCCTAGTGTATGAATAATAAATTGAATTTCATTTTCTGTTTCTCTCTCAATAGCAATAGAATTTATTGGCAAAAATACACACATGTATGAATGGCGCCAATAATTTAAAGCTGTGAAAATAGAAAAACTTTAATCTTTCAATTAAATTTTAAATCCAGTGATTTTTTTTCTACTGTATATTCACAGTAACACATTCGATCACCAGATGTCCAGATGTTCAATATTGTTGTCCATTTTCATTATGACATGTTGATGTTGATGATGATGATATTGAACAACATGATGATTTGAAATGTTATACAAACATAAAGATCAAAGGTAATAATTAAGGCTTTTTTTTACATAATTCATATAATCATCAGAATAATGCACACACACACACACAAACACGGCGAAAACTACACTACTGCCAATGTTTAATCTCTGTTTGCTGTTCCATGTTCCATAATAATAATCATATCTGGAACAAACAAAAACGGGCAAATAGGCAAACAGGCAAACAAACAAACAAAATGAACAAATCTTCCGCCCGATGTTTATCTTGTCACTTTACATCTATTATCCATTATTATTGATCTGAAATGGAAAAAATTTTTTTTTTTGTTTACCCAAATATCAGTTGGGTTTCTTATTTTACATTCACTTTTCATTATCATCCTTTTTTTTGGTGCACCAGCAACAAAAAAAAGCCATATAATCTTCATTGTAATAATAATAATTCATTTTGGCCATTTTTTCATTTATGATTATTTACCATATGGATTTTTTTTTTGGTTGTTTATAGTCGAACCTTGTTTCTGTGTGTGCATATATATAATACACTTGTGCTACCAGGTTTTTTTGCACTTTTTTTTTGGCCCCAAAAATCATCATTCATTCATTTATAATTGCCCACGTGTTCGCATACACAACAAGGTCAAACAATCTTTCTGTGTGTGTGTGTGTGTGTGTGTGTGTGTGTGTGTGGTTCGTGGATAAACATTCCCGGAAACCTGTGTTGATATAAACAAATCCAACAACAAACATTGTATATCATGTAATCTGAATCTGGAATGGAAAAAAATTGGTTTTTGGATGGTCAAAAAAGATTTTTCCCTTTGTAAATCGATTCTCGATTCTTGCATTGACCATAATCTAATTAGTAATTTTTATTTTTTTCTTTAATTGAATTTCATGAAAATTATAATTCTCTCTTGAAAATTGATTGATTGATCGATGATTGTTGCTGTTTGTTGTTGTTGTTTGGTGAGTTTGTATAAAAATCGATTGTTTATATCGAATTTCATTTATACAATTGTGAAATTTTTTTCCATTTTTGTTCTGGTGTTTGCTTCTAAATCATTGAATTCAATATATTATTATGAATGAAAACTGTCGAAAAGTAGCCATTTCTTCTTTGATTGATGACCATGATGATGATCAGATTGTTAATATTGAAAAACTATTGAAACAAGTACTGAATGATACATTTGATCAATTACAATCATTTATAATGAAAAAATTCAATATGATAATCGATTCGGATACAATGAATATGATTCGTGCAAATCTGAATAATAATAATCGATTATTAACCATCGATAATAATAATAATAATGATCTAGATTCATTACATCAATTAATTCGATCAATTTCTGATGAAATTTCATACATTTCAAACAATTCTAACGGTAATGTTGATGATGATGATGACAAAAAAGACAAATCTTTATCAGTTGTAAATATAGGTGGTGATTTTATTAATGATAATCATAACAACAATGGCCAAAGTGATCAACAGAGTGTTTCATCATCATCAACATCATCATGTAATCATTATTGGCAATTCTGGTATTGGAAATCTGATCAATGGTATATTGAATGGGATTATGGTCTACAAACATTAGGACGACCATTTAATGGTCGACAACGATTATTGTGGTTATTGGATCAATTAATTCCATTATCAGATATTGGTATATATGAAAAAAAAAAAAAAAAAAAATTTCAAATTTTCAAATTAATTTTCATTGTTGTTGTTGTTTTCTCGGTTTTTCTCCCACACTCAATCAACAACAAATCAATAACTAGTCATTCCAAGTGATTATTCCATTTTTCGTGAATTAATTCGTCCAAAATGGGAAGATTCATTCAATCTAAATGGTGGTGCATGGATTATTGAATTTGAACGCTGTTCATCCATTACCGATATGGAATTGATGGAAAATATTTGGCGTTCATTGGTGGAATTTGTTGTGGAAAAACATTGTAATAATGATGATGATCATGGCCATCTTGAACATATGTGTGGAATAAAAATTAGCAATCGATTCAAAGTTTTTATTATTTCCATTTGGATCGATACATGTTATGAGTAAGTAGTAGGGAAAAACATTTTGATTCATCATTAATTGATTTCCATCATTAGCCTGTCAATCATTCTTTATATTGGTCATCGAATACAATCAATAATCAATCAAATAATTGATCGAAATCGACAGATAAAATTATCATTACCAGATTTGGATTCAAAATTATTATTGTCATCCACATCATCACCATTATTATTGTTTCGTTCACATATGATTTCAAGAAAAATTGCTGCCAAAAAAGATTCTGTTATTGCCACTAATAAAAGTAATGCTGCTGCTATTAATAATTTTCGTGGTAAAAACATGTTCCGAGTTTTGTGATTAATTTATATGAAAATTGAATAAATAAATGAAATGAAATGAAATGGACACGTGAAAAAAATGACCAACAAATATAAATCAACAACTCTTGTCTTTTCAATTCAAAATTGAATTGAAATAAATCATCGTTTCATTTTTTTTCCATGACATCCACATTGTGCCAATAAGACCAACATCTACATCATGATGATGATGATGATGATTCAACCTGTAGAATGGTTGGTTATTATTAGATTGAAACAAAAAAATTGATAGACAAGACGAGCATCACCAATCACCAATACCATCAAACATTGAAAAATACGGAAAAGTTTACGGATAATTTGTTGTATGTTGTGTGTTGCGTTGCTGATGTTGATGCGTCATCACTGTCAATACATCTAATTAAATCTTACACACACACACACAGTTCACTGGTACAGGTACAGGTATCTAAGTATTTGAATACACATCACCTAGGTGCTACCTTTTTTTTTTTTTTTTTCATCATCCAAAAAAAGAACATAATCTAAATCTCATTTTCTTTCTTCCGCGTATGATGATGATGTGATTTGAAAATTTGTAACAAAAAAAAAAAAAAACAGAAAAGAAAAACAAAATCAATCACCGAAAAAAATAATGATCAAATATTGAACAACAAAAAAAAAAAAAACAGCAAAGAAAATTTCGATTATCACCACAGATTGAATGTAATTTGCATCTTTGGCTGGCCATCATCTTGATTGAATATATAAAGATTTTGTTTTTTTAAACAAAAAAAAAAAAGAATAACATAAATTTAACAAAATTTTTATGAAAACTTTTACCCGCTGGGTATAAAAAAAACATCATCATCATCACTTTACCATTGTCCAGAGGTTTTTTTTTCCATTTTCTCATTGGTGATTCTCTGATGATGATGATGATGATGATGATGGTTGTGTGTGTGGTTACAAAACGCGCGATTAAATTGAAATTTTTTTTTTTGCTGAACAGAAAAAAATTGATTGCAAACTGTTGTTGTTGCTGGTGTTGTAAATGAATCTGGTTCATCATCATCATCATGGCCACCAAATGCATGATCTTTCATATTTCTTAAAGGTCAAAAAAGGATGTTTCGTTGTTTCGTTTTTTTTGTTTCTAACATCAGGATTGAATAAACAAACAAACATGGATGATTATGATGTTGTGGTTGTTGTTGTCAATTGTCAATGAAAATTTATTCAAACATCATCCAACTACCTTTTATGGTATATTATCATCATCATAATCATCTGATGATCCTGTATTCACAGGGAATATTTTATATCGATAAATAATTATTATTCTACTTATCAACTAACACAACTTGTTGGAATCACGAAATCGTTGACCAGTTGAACGATTGTCGAGAGAGAAAGAGAGAAAAAAAAATTTGATCATTACCGGCTTGATATACAATGATATTTATACAGTGCAGCAGTTTTTTTTCTATTTGGTGAAGATCCTGTGTTGACGCCCTGTAATTTGTTTTTTTTTTTTTTGGTTTGTTTTAGATTAAAATCTATCCATCAAATTAAATTCAGATTAACTTACCATTAACGATTTAGGTGTTTTGATTCCTTTTTTCGTTCATTTGATAATGATGTAGAGATAAACACAACACAACACAACAAAAACAATGTATATTAATCGATCAAGGTATCGTGTATTGATTTGATCGATAAATATCAAATGAATAAACACACATGCACACAGACAATTGAAAACTTTAAATTATTTATATTATTGACAGCTGATGAAAAATAATGATTATGATGATGATGATGATGATGTATTTATGTGTCTTTAGGCCATTACATTCAAAATGTTTTCTGTTTATCTGATCATTATCATTGTGTGTGTGTGTGTGTGTTTGAATGCAAAGATAATCTTATTACTATTGTCACATATATATAACACTGTGTACGAATCGGGTTTCATTTCAATTCTCAACTCTTTGCTTGTGTGTGTGTGTGATGAAGTTTATTTCAATTCCAATTTCAATTTCAATTTGTTCGTTGTTATTATTTATTTTTTTTTTTTTGACCTGATAATTAACCCGATCACATCATCATCATCATCATCAATGACAATCTCTAATGGAAAATGATTATGATTTCACAGAGAGAGAGAGAGAGAGAGATAATTAATTTAAAACGTTTTTTTTATCATTTCCATTTTCTCCATTGTCATTCGTCGTCGCTGTCATCATCCATTGATGATGTAATTTGGATTTTTTTTTTACTTGGATGCTAAATGCGATCCAGCATTTTCTATTTTCCATCATCATTCATTTATTTATTGAAATGAAATTATCCTTCGAATGAATATGTCACATGGTGTGTGACACATTTAAATATTCTGTTGTTGTTGTTGTTGTTGGTTGTTGAAAAATACTGGTTTTGAAAATGAATATGAGAGAGAGAGAGAGAGAGAGAGAGAGAGAGAGAGAGAGAGAGAGAGAGAGAGAGAGAGAGAGAGAGAGAGAGAGAGAGAGAGAGAGAGAGAGAGAGAGAGAGAGAGAGAGAGAGAGAGAGAGAGAGAGAGAGAGAGAGAGAGAGAGAGAGAGAGAGAGAGAGAGAGAGAGAGAGAGAGAGAGAGAGAGAGAGAGAGAGAGAGAGAGAGAGAGAGAGAGAGAGAGAGAGAGAGAGAGAGAGAGAGAGAGAGAGAGAGAGAGAGAGAGAGAGAGAGAGAGAGAGAGAGAGAGAGAGAGAGAGAGAGAGAGAGAGAGAGAGAGAGAGAGAGAGAAGAGAGAGAGAGAGAGAGAGAGAGAGAATTTCAAGGTAATTGAATTTTTGTATTTTTTTTTCTTCATTTCATTTCATTTTCTGTCAGTGTTTTTGTTTGTTTGTTTATTTGTTTGTTTGTTATTGTCATGAATGATGATGATGTGTAGATGATGTCATGTTGGTATTTAGATTCAACCCTATTTTTTTTTGCCTTCGAGACGTGTTCATATATGTGATTGATCGGTATATGAACTTTGACCCGTTTCCATAGCTAGTTTGAATGAATAGATGTTTATCCTCATTCATTTCCATTCGTTGTTCTAATGGATGTTTTTATTCTCATTGCACAGAACAAAAAAAAATGGCTGAATGAATAAATGAATCCTAAACGAGTCTAACGAAAAACAAAATTGAAATGAAATAAAATTGCAAATAAACAACAAACCAACCAAAACCAAACAACCTGACAAACATTTATTGACTTGTTTTTTTTGTTGTTGTTGTTGTTGTTGTCGAGAATATATACAAATAATTATCACTCGACTTGAAATGAATTTGTTTTAATTATTTTTGAGATCCCATTCATTCATTCATTGAATGTCACATTATGTCACATTATGAAATGAATGAATGAGATGGATCCTAATGGATTTAAATTTCGGTTTGTTTTGTTGTTTTTTCCTGGTTGTATAGAGTATAAATGCCAATCGAATGAATCACAAGAAATTTTCATCGTTTGTGTTTGTGTTTGTGTTTGCTTGATGTGTGTTAGTTACTTGTTTATTGAATAACCCTTTGACTTTTTTTTTTGGTTACATCACATTCATCATCGTATAATGACACATACCTCTACCACATCATCATTAAACACTAAACACCAACAACAACCACCACAGCCAATTTTTTTTTTGCTTGCTTGTTTACTTTAACTCGTTTATTATAAAGCTCAATTTTTTTTCTGGTGATGATAAAGACGAAGACGAAGACGAAAGAGCGAGAAAAAAAAAAAAAATGCTAAGAAAAGAAAAATTAAATGAATACAGTTGTTTTTTAAAAGAGGTGGTGGTTGCTGTTGTTGTTGTTGTTGTTGTTGTTGTTGATGTTGTTGTTGTTGTTGTTGTGGTGGTAGAATGTTTTCATGTTTTTTTATTTGGTGCATTTTTACCATCTTTATCATCGTTTATCATCATTTATCAACAACAACAACAACAACAAATCCAAGAAATAAACAATTTTTTTACACACACACACACACACACACACACACACTCATATAATGATGAATTACAACAACATGGTGGTCAACCATTATTAGATGGTAGGTGTGTTTTGACCATTGGTCACGCCAACAATCGACGTGTGTCGACGATTCTTCGAATATTGTCGATCGATCATTGTTTTTGATTTTAACATCCAAAAACCAAAAAAAACTTTGTTAGCAAAGTCGTCGTGTGTGTGTGTGTGTGTGTGTGTATACCACCATAACGACACAATTTATGATTAATTGTTTCCATTTGTGTTCTCAAATTTTTTTTCTCAATACGAAAATCCTTTCGTGGTTTTTTTTTGTTTGTTTGTTTGTTTGTTTTCATTCCATACCCCATTTCATTGCATTTGTGAATATTTTTTTTTTCGATGTGAAAATTTCCGCTAATTAGTCATCACTGGGTTACAGAAAAAAAAAATTCAAAAATAATTATTATCATTATTGTGTTGATGGTGTGGTGGTCATTCGATAGAAAGATTGAGTGGTGACGCGTGCATGTTTTCTATTTTCAATGTTTGATGGTTAACTGTTGATGATAATAATAATAATGATGATGGTGGTGGTGGTGGTGGTGATGGTAATTATAATTCGAATACATGACATTTTCTTTGCTAATGACGATGATGATGATGACCACAACCACTAATCCTGGAAAAAGTGTCTCACTATTTTCATTGTCAAAATACAATTAATTATCAATCATCCATAATTCACACACACACATGCGCATCAATTTATCATCAAAAAAAAAAAAAAAAAATTGGAAACATGATACATCATTTGTGAAAAATAAACTGAAAAATCAAAAACAATCAATAGATCAATATATGCAAATTAATTACTTCTGTGTGTGTGTGTGTGTGCGTATATATTGAGCAGGAAAACCCATCGTCATTGTCGCGGTTGAATGATGATGATGATGAAAGTTGTATTTTCATTTTCATTTTCACCATAATGGAATCGCATTGATTGTTTCAATCACTATTTTTTTCATGGTTCCAGAATTTGATCGTGAGATTCTTTTTTTTCCACTGTGTTTCTCATCATCATCATCATTGTCCGAATTGATTGCATTTTAATTACATATTCCAGGTAGTTGTTTGTGTATTTTTATCATTTTTGGACCATAAAAAAAAAAAATTCTTTGGAATGCAAATGACAACAGAATTAAAAAAAAAGTTTTCAGGCCATTTTCCAACGTTATTGTTGTTGTTGTTGACATTATCATTATTGAAAAAATTTTTTTTAATTAAAATTGACCAGAAATAAAAAAAAAATAAATTTTAATCTCGAATCCTTTTTTTTCATTCAATTTCACATTTGTGCACACCACCAACGCACACACACACACACACACACGTGACTTATGCAATGGTGATCCTTTTTTTTCATTTATTTATTTGTTCTGGATCATTTTAATTAATTCTTTCTTTCTGTTTTTTCGTTGTTGTTGTTGTTGAAAATATAGCCAACAGGCTTGTCCATTCTGTCCTTTGGAATGTATTTACTTCCTGTTTTGTTTGATGCGTTTTTTTCATTCCATTTTAATTAATTTCCGTTTATTTTTTTGAATGAATGAATGAATGAACACCAGACTCAATATGTGAAATGAACGGTTTTTTGTTTTTTCGTTGTTGTTGTTTGTTTGTTTTTTTTTTGGTTTGCTGGTTCCAAAATTGTTCCAAAATAACGTCATCTATCGGTTAATGGTTGAACTTTAGCCTTTTTTTTGACATTTTGTCAATCGCCATTTTTTGCTTACTTTTTTTTGCGACCACCAATTAGTAAAAAAAAAAATCTTTCAAAACAAAAACAAAAAGATTAAATTGAAAAACTTTGTCATTCAAACCGATCAAAGTGGCCATTCATTATTTGGCTTGTCCTTGAACATTGTATATCATGTCAACAAAAAAAAAAACAACAATAAAGTCCTCGTTTTAACAATGTGCATTGTTATTACAATCCAGATTGGACAAAAATTGAAACCCTGGAGCCAAAAACTATGAGTCATAATTTTACCACCAATTATGTCCACTACAACCAAAAAAAAAAAGAAATATCAATTCATAAATTCATTGGTCATTTTGTTTGTTTTTTTTTAGTTATCTCGTCTCCAATATTACGTTTTCAATACGATTTTTTTTCCTCGTGTGTGTGTGTGTGTGTGTGTGTATGGATTTCATTCGATGTATGACGCAATTAGCAGAAAAAAAAAAAAAATTAAAAAAATAAAAATACCGCCTTTTAATACCGTCAGCAGAATTTTGTATTGCCCACGCCTATTTTGGGTTGATCTTCTCTATTTTTTTTTTTCTCTCTCTCTCTCGTAATATATTTAAATTACCATAATGTATATATATATATGCTACTACCACATGGTCATCAATATATGTATATATATAATGTCTATGAATAATTGATATCAGCATAGAAATGTGTTGAAAATTTGGTAGCGCGAAATTATAACAGTTTAAATAAAAAAAAAAAAAAAAATTCATTCTGTTCATGCAAAAAAAAAAAAAAAAAAAATAGAAGAGGGTATGGTGGACACCGAATTGGATAGCTGTGTGTGTATCATCATCATCATCATATATATATATTAAAGAGATGCACCAACAAATACTGACGAAAGTCATTCGATATTTGGCTTTCCTGACGCGTGGTTTATTGATAACTTGTTCCTGGTGGTGGTGTGCTTTTTGTATTATTACTCTGTTTATTTTAAGATCGACTTGTTCCAACGACAAAAAAAAATTTTTTTTTTTTTTTGTTGTCCATTAAATGAAAATTTTTTATGAAGAAAATGTACTGAGATTAAGTTGAAAAAAATTTTTTTGTTTTCGTAATCAATTTCCTGAAGATTTCGTCATCAATTGCATTTGATTTTTTTTCTCTGGTCTCGATTTGGCAACACAAATTTTTTTGTAATTTATAATTTTCGGTAAGTCTTGTTTTGTTCAATCATCATTATTTTAATTTAAAAATTTTCAAAAAAAAATCAAGCTTGATTCAAAGATAACAAAAAGCGGTAATTTCATTTTTTTTTTGGCTAATGTTTCAATTTGTATAATCTTGTATGCTCGCCTGTGTGTGTGTGTGTGTGTTACACGTTGTTAGCAACAATCTTTCTAGGCTCGTTGCCAGAAAACAGAATCACAAACACTTTTGCTGTTGAGAACAAAAAAAACACGACATGAAAAAATATAGCAATAAAAAAAAAGAAAATTCTTTTTCACTTTTTTTTTGTTGTTGTTGTCTTTGTTTGTGTGTGTGTGTGTATACTGAATACGTTTGTTCGAATCACAAAACGTTCGAAATTTTTCTCGTACATTCGATTCTAATTCCACATAGAAAAGCACCCAACCGCCCATCATCACTGTATATGTGTGTAGAATTAGAATGGATAATAACGATGATGTTGATGATGATTATGAATGCAGGAAAAAAAAATTTTTATTTTTTTTTTTTTTGCTACACATTCAAAATGGTAAAATTCTGTATGTGTTTATATTTTTATATGTATGCGATTTGATTATCATCGTGTGGCAGCCACACTTTACATAATTCTAAATTCTGGCTTTAGATTCAGTTTATTCACGAATAGAATTTTTGTTGTTGATTCTTTTTATGTCAAAAAAAAAAACAAACAACCAAATGAAGCAAATAAATCATCATCGATTTGAAAATCAAACAAGTTTAAAAAAAAATCATCCGCTTTTTTTTGCATCAACATTATTAAACGGTGGATAATAATGAATTATATAGCAGCAGCAGTAGTAGTAGTAGTAGACGATGGCTTAAGTTTATTATTACCTTGATTCAATTACCGCTACCGTATTTTTTTCTCTATTTATTTTTCCATTTATTCATCACCGAAATCCTTTCACTTTTTTTTTCTCGCCATGTTGTTTATAGATTGAAAAATTGATAATTGACTATTGACTCTTGTGTTTTAAGTCACCATTTTTTTTCAGTGGTTTTTATTTTCATCATCATATTCCTCAGTAACAATTTTTAACACCACCACCACCACCACCACCACCAACAACATATATTCATATACCACTACATATAATGTGATTTATTATATTGAATTATTGCATTGAATTTTGGTAATATATCTTGTCAGCTTATCATCATCATCATCTAAAATATATATCGAACAACATCAAATATAACCAATTCGTTCATCTTTTGATGCTTTTAAATGATGATAACAAACAAGATAGATACATACACACTAACACTAACACTATTGCCGTTCATGGCTGCCGTTATCGTCGTTATTTCTATTTTTTAAACAAAACCAAAACAAAAAAAAAATGAGCAAACAAATTAATAATAACCACCAAATAGTATTATCATCAAAACTCATTAACAAAAGCTTATCGTATTTCAATTTTTTTTTGTTGGCTTGAAACAAAAATATGACAGACATTTTTTTTTTTTTTTTGGTGGTTTGTTTGTTCATTTGTAGTGCCTAACGGTTTATCTGGGTTTTGATAAAACCATATGGTTTTGATTAGCTGGTGTTGTTGTTACTGTTGTCTCATTCTCATTTGGACTTTATGTTCAAAGATCATTATGAACTTTTTTTTCTTATTCAGCAAGAAAAAAAAATACGAATAATAATAATAGATTATTGATAATTTTGGATTTACATTGTATGAATGCAATTCAATTCGACCTTCATCCGCCGTTGACGCCACAGAAAAACCAATATAATTCTACACACACACACACACACACTCACAAATACTGTCAAATAAACTGCAACAACAAGTCCCAAAATAATAGAAATACACAAATACAGTAAGAGAGACCCCCCTAACAGGTGTCCATAACAATAAAGTGAACCTTACCCTAAGGTCATTGATTAGTCATAAAAAAAAGTTGAAAAAACGAAAATGTTACGTTTTTTTACTCTCACTTGATTCTTTGTTTACGGCATTGTCCTTGGACCTTGGCGGTTTCTCTTCATTTCAATAATCATGATGATCGATTCAATGATGATTTTGTTTTTCAAAGAAAAAAAATGGTCTTTTTTTTTCCTTTACACAAATGCAACGTTTGTAAATACACACACACACACACACTTGTTGAGATTCATTCTATTTTTCCTGCTTGGGTTCATTTTATGTTCTTTTTGTGTGTGTGTGTGTGTATTTGTGTTTAGTCATCATCATCATCATTCATGGTCAAATCTATGATCGTTTCTAATCTTGGTCTTAGATCTTTATTCTTTTGGTGATCGTCTTTATCGTTGTTGTTGTTGTTGTTTGAATTCAGTAGTCATTTGATATGATTTGGTGAATAAACCTGTTACACTGATCACTATGTGTATTGCATTTGATTTTTATATTTTTTTCCTGATAATAATAAATTGAATGAAATCGATAAAATTGAAAAGAATATATTTTAGTGAACGAAAAGTCGTTAATTGAAGTGTGGTATGTTTTTTTTGTTATCCTTGTTGTTGGTTGTATAAAAGCTATAATCGTTTGTTTTTTTTGTTGTTGTTTGATTCTAATTGGTTTTTTTTTCATTTTTTTTTCATTGTCAATACTAATAACATAGACCATTATTGATAATTAATGTACGTTGAATTTTAAAAATGAATACTAATACGAATGCAAATGAAATTGTTGATTCTTGCTCTAATTGTGAAGATTCGAATAAATTATCCGATACGGTATCGATTCAATCGATTGATTCGATTATGATTTCAACGACAACAGGAATGGCCAACACTACATCAACATCGACACCTATTCGTCCTCGTCCAATACTTGCATCGGCATTCAGTTTTGATAGTGGTTATGAAATATCACCATTTTCAAATTATTCATTTCAATTTGGCACTGAATCCATACCAAATACAATATTGACAAATAACAACAACAATAGTATTATGGCTACAAATAGATTATTGAATCCGATTGTACAAGAAGATTATGAAGGTATTGATGATGAATTAATTTCTATTGATCAACATTTTACACCGATTCATTCACCTGCCACTGTTGAAAATATGGCCAATGGACAGATTGATTCATCATCATCATTAATGAATCATTTTTCACAACGTCAACAAGCATTCAATCTTGCCATACAACGACGAGAAAATCGTTTAATTCAAAATGAAATGGAAATTAATAACAATGATCCGAATTATCCGAATGCTGAGAATCAATATTTTTCTTTTGATGATTTTGGTGATGATGAAGTTTTTCTTGATAATGAAAATGATGATTCACAACCGGAACGGATAATGGCACGAGAATGGCATCAACCGATACGACCAAGCTGTTCAATGGGAATAATGTACGATAATAATGAAATTCAAGATAACAATAATGTTGATGATGAAAATCAAGTACAAATTGATCACAGTTATCGTGAGCCAAATTTAAGCACAACAAGTTCAAGTACAAGTCGTTGTTCAAGTGAACCGATTCCAATTCCTGGTGCCCGTAATCGTTATCGTTCATCACCATTATTGGATAATAATGATGATTTGAGTGATTTTTTTGATGGTACAAGTGCAAGCCATTTTATGGCCGAACAAAATGAACAAGAATTCAGTCTTCCGGATAGCCGTCGAATGCCTTATTTTCATCGAATGGCTCCACGATTGCTCAATGATAATAATGATTATCAACGACATCGATTTGGTTCACGATTTCAACTTTCTCTATCAATGATTCAAGATTATCGTGATCATTCTGAATGTCATTGTTCAACACCATCAACATTGAGAATGCCATCAGGATTCTCATTTCGTTTTGGACATCAATCACCGAATCAAATATTGTATGAATCTCGACGTTTGTTAACACCATTACCAGAGATGGATGAGGAAAATGATGAAAGTAAGTGCAACATTTTTTTTCATGTTTTATCATTATCTCTCCGTATATACCTGACTACCTTTGTGGGCCAAATTTTCATTCAAAATTCAGTTATATTTACTATTTGAAAAAGCATAGCGTAAAAAAACGTACTGATAACGTCTACTCTCTTTTCGCGTGCTACATAACACGCTGACCATGTACACATACACATACACATAATAACTTGTTTACAGTAAGGACCCTTTTTTAGCATACATCGGTCAACATCGTTATTTCATTCATTTTTGTTGTTATGATGATTATTTGTAAAGCCTATTGTGTTAATAGAAGGGCCAAAAATTGGGATATTGACCATTTCTATATGGATACCAGAATATATTGTATTGTGTTGTGTTGACCACCTGTTAAGGTCAACATTGGTTATCACCGGACACACTTTCTCACGCTTTTTTTCAGATATACTTTTTTTTGTTCACCCTACATATTAATAGAGTAGCTATAGCCATGTATTGATTTTTTCTTTCAATATTTTTGTTATTGTTGATTGACAATTGTCCACTATTGTTGATCTGCTTTTAAATTTGAATACACACTCGGTACGTACTGATATGATAACTAGTGATAGAAAAAAAAAAATCCTGGACAGCAACTAAAATTTTACCATAATCGTAATACAGTTGGTAGGTAGGTAGGTAGGTAGGTAGGTAGGTAGGTAGATAGTAGGTGTCATATTGGCCAGATATATTGAACAAGCGATGCTACTAGCACTAGAAAAAAAAAGAATGGAGCTGTCAAATATAATGCTATGTAATAAACTAGGTCAATTTGATATGTACCCATATTAACTATCTAAATATTGATAGATAAGAATGATGACCATTATTTTTTAGCTAAACTCTTCTTTTTTTTTATTTTGAATCCTTGAAGATTTGATCAATATAAAAAAAACCGTTGTTGTTGACCTTTATTTCACAATCTCATAATAGTTATATTATCTGTCCATCTATTTTTTTTTTTTTTTTGATTTAATGGTTTTGAGGAAATCTTTCTCAATCACACACACACACACATATGTAATGATGAATCGAACGTGTTATTTATTTATTTTTTCGATTATAGAAAATCTAAAATCAAATAAAAGAGCAATGGCTCCTTCCTATTTTTTTGATGAAAATGTATATTAGTATTTATTTCCCTTCAACGGTTATCTTATATACAATTTTATGTCATTGATTAGTTGGTTGGTTGGTTGGTTGGTTGTTAGGTCGTTCGGTTGATTGGTGTTGGTAAGCTCGGGTTTTCTTTAACACTGACCTTGAGATGAAAAAAAATATCCAGGCTCAAAAAAATACATATCACATCGACAAATATACTATTTGATGATGATGATGATGATTATGGTGATAGTATAAGAGAGAAGGGAGAACTAAAATGAAAAAAAACTGTAATATGTAAGCAACATGTGTGTGTGTGTGTGTATGTATGTTTAACATGTCAAAGGTCATTTAATACGGAGAGTAGCAATAGAGAAAAAAAAAGTTTCCCGGGATCAATTTTTTTTTTTTTCATTGGCTACCATTGACCATCAATGAAAGAGAACAGTGATGATGATGATGATGATGATGATGGTGTAATCACACAAGAAAAAGAGAGAGAGCCCTAAAGGGCAATTGTTCGTGATTTTGGTGTTCAATATATTACACACACTGACAAACTTGAATGAAATTACTGACAGTTATTCAATGAGAGAGAGACCGGGCTTGAAAATAAAATGGAAAAAAAACAAAAAAATAATACAAGATGAACGGTATACACACAGTGTTTAATCATCACATAAATATATTCAATAAACGACGTATAGATACAAAGATGTTAAATAATTTTTTTTTCTTCTAAAATTATACTGGAAGATGAATGGTGAAAAAAAAGTTTCCTGGGCGCCATTATAATAATTATAAATAATTATCTATTGATTGATTATTTGATTTTGATTTTGATTGATTGATTGATTGACCGATCACATCTGATTGGTTATTGATGATGATGATGATGATGATGATAGTGTTTGTGATAATTATATTATATCGATCTGTATACATCATCATCAAAACATTAGTGTTTATAATAATAATCATCATCATAATAACCAACCTTGAGGCAAATCTAATTTCTTTCATTTAGTTTAGTTTTGGGTGCACACATACAAACACACACACACATTAATTTAGCTAAATAAAAAAAAAGGTAAACAAGTAGTATTCTGCATGGATGATGATGATGATGATGATAATTGCCACTTTTAATTTAGTTAATTTGGTACCGTTTATGGTTGTTGTGGATTTTTTTTTGTTGTTGAAAAAAAAGATGTTTCCATGTGAGAAAAATTTACACAAACAAAAAATATTTGATAATTATAAATTACATTTAATAATAATAATGTCTTTGTCTGGGCTTGATGATGATGATAATGAAATTGAATATATATGAAACCTAAATATTGAAATCCGATATGAATGATGACATTATTTTTTTTTCTGTCGACCACATTATCATGATGACTAAATTGTTGTTGTTTTTTTTAACTTGTAAAAATTTTTTTTCCTATTCATTGCATCAATATTACATCATTCAACAAGAAATTCTCTCATTTTTTTGGGAGCCATTTTTTCTGCTATTTTTAGAATTTATCTGGACCTTTTTTTTCTTTTTGTTCTTTAGCTAGGAGAAAAAAAATCACTTTTTAAAATCCAGCTTATCATGCATCACCATCAATGATGTTTCTCTGTGTGTGTGTGTGCGGCCAATGAATTTTCTTATTGAATTTTTGTGTTTTGTTTTTTCTATTTGTAAACTTTTATTTTGAAAGAAAAAACATTCTATGTGTTGATGATGATGATGATCATGAAATTTCAAAATGTTTATGCTTGTTTGCATACAATTGTCTCAAAACACATCATCTAGACTACAAACAAACAAAAACAAAAATAAAAATGGATGCGTTTAGTTTTGAATTTTTTCTCTTCATCATTTTTTTTCGGTTCGTTTCGGATGACGCAAACAAGTAAGAAAATAAATAAATAAATAAATTTAAAAAAATGAAAGAAAACATTGGAAAAAATTCAACTACTGTCTTTCCAATGATGATTTTCGGTTTTGGGTGTGTGTGTGTGTGTGTGTGTGGTTATTGCTCTCTCTCTCTCTTTCTCTATCTCTCTCAAAAAAATAATGTCCATATGTTTAAAAAAAAACAGAAACGAAATGGTCATTTCAGTTTTTTTTTCTGCCATTCATTCGTTCATTCGTTCATCTTTATCGACAAATGTGATGATGAGCTGAGTTGAGAAAAAAAAACCAAACACTATCAAATTTCATAAATTTTAATGATAGTAATCATCAAAGAAACGAAACGAAACGAAACGAAAAAAAATACATGAAATATGACAATCCTTATTGTGTTGGTATATATATATATATATGGAATAAAGCTTGTGATGCAGAAAAAAGGAGAAAATTTTTTTTTTGTACGATGCTTATCTTCCTAGATGATGATGATGATGAATTTTAAATGATGATTTCATTTTAATAATAGGGTTTTTTTATGATTCATTGAATTCATTGGATTCATTATAGGAAATGTTGTTGCTATTTTTGTCATCATTGTAGTCAATTCCAATGAATTTCAAATCATTCATTTAATATATTATTTTGTATTTTTTTTTCTGATTAATCGATTGTTTGCGTGTGTTTACACGATGCATATATATGTATCGGTTGTTGTTGATCAGATCAATTGAAATGATTAGATTTCAACAACAACAAAAAGGTGTTGATTCTTTCTGAATCTCTTAGAGTTATATGACCATCATCATGTAGGTGTTTTGATATGACCAAAAAAAAAAGAAAAAATAATGTGTGATAATAATGTTTATCATCTCTTTTTGGGTATTTTGTCACGATTTTTTCTTCCATTCATTTACCATTATTGAACAATATGATTATTATTTGTTTGAATTTTTTATTCTTTGAATTTTTCATTCTGTGATTGAAGAATATTTTATTTTTTTTTTTAGGATTTTGATTTTTAAATTTGGTCGATTTGACTCACATCCTATTTTGTATATATATTGTGTTTATATGTATTGACATGATGATGATGATGATGATGACTCGTGACCAGACACATACACATACAAATACACAATTTGATTATCGATGAATGTTGAAATGACTCGTGTCTTACACGAGACATTGAAAAAAAAAGATATATATTTTTTTCTTACATCGACATTATCAATAAAACACCCGAAACAAAACAAAAAAAAGAGAGAGAGAGAGAGAGCGAAAATTTACCCATAATGTTCACATGAATACTAATGGTTTTTGATCGTTTATTTTTTTTCGTTGATGGTTTTTTTTCTGTTTGTTTGTTATTTACACAAAATTTCATTCACAGGTCGCCAAAGGTCGATTCCATTGGTTAGTAAATTTTTTTTTCTTTTACACTTGTACAAATCATATAGCCAAGAAGAAGAAGAAGAAGAAAACGAAAAACTAAAATTTTGTTATATTTAAACAACATGATGATGATGAAAAGCCTATTAGATTTGTCTTTTTTTTTGTCAGGTCATGTGTGTGTGTGTGTGTGTGTGTGTGTGTGTTGACATTCGATTTATATCGATTGATGATGATGATGATGATGCTTTGAGTGTTTTCCTGACTTTTTTTCTGTACCTTCATCATTATTACATAATAATCGTTTCGTCAAATCAAACGATGATGTTTGTGTGTGTGTGTGTGTGTGTGTGAGTGAGTGTGTCTAGTGAAACGAATCGTAATTTTGTTTTTTTTCCACCATCATCATCATCATCATTGAATGAAGAGAAAACTGATTGCTGATGCTAAATGATGATGATGATGATGATGATTGGATGTTATCAGAAATACGGATAGTTAACGATGAAGACTAATTGACAAATAATTAATTTTAACAAAATGATGATGATGATGATTATTTGAAGCACATTGATTTAACTTGCTTAGTAATGTATGTTATATGTCAGTGCTGAATATTTATCAATATTTTTTGTTTTTTTTAGAAATAAAAAAAAAACCTAACAGATCAATCTCTTGTGGTGGTGGTGGTGTCGTCGCTGTTGTTTAATTTGATTTGATTTGATCATATCGCTTATCGCGTATGATGATTTTAGATGTGAGAATCGTTTTTTTTTCTTTTGCTTCAAAATCAGAAGAAAAAAAAAACATAAACTCTAGACGGTCAATAACCCATTTGACATTGGACAATGATGACACACGCAACACACACACACACATACAATTGATTTTTTTTAATCCAACAAAAAAAAACAACGATACCTTTTTTTCTCTTGAATATATATATGATTTAATGTCTTAATTGCATTAATTTTTGAATTTTTCATATTCACAATGATGATGATGTACGGCTTTGTAAAGTGTGAATGATGTGCAATTAAATTTTTTTTTTTTTTTTTTACTTAAAAAGATATCCTCATCCAGTGCATCATCATCATCATCATCATCATTGCTATTAAGATATTAGAATCCATATTTTTTTTTTATTATATAATGTGTTTAGCTTTTACACTTTTTTTCTGGGCTATAATCTTGGTTTTTTTTCTTTGGCTTCAATTTAATTTGTCAATTTTCTTTTCTCTCTCTCTCTCTCCCTTTCACCACTGGCAGCCATAGAAGAGAAAAAAAAAGACAAACGATGGTCATTATTCCATCATCATTATTATTTACGAGATATTATTTTCTTTTCCATAGTAATCGCGTATAGCATCATCGATATCGTGTATTCTTACTCATACACTGACATAAACGTATATTAAAATCTTTTTTTTTCAGGTGTCCTACCATCATCATCATCTTTATCTGTGTGTTCAATATTGATGATGATGATGATGATGATGGGTACACATAGCCAGTTGAAGTTGAGTTTTTTTTCTTGTTCTTTTCTCTACTACTAAATGAAAAAAAAAATCTAGAAAGATTGAAAGATTGTTTGATGATGATTTTCATCAGAATAGAATTAGGAAAATAAGAAGGAAATGTTTTTGACATGAAGGGCAAGAATCAAAAAAAACAAAATCCAGTTTTTCAGATATGATTATGTGTGTGTGTTTGTGTGTGTGTAAACCAACTGAAAATTGAATTAGTTTTTTTTTGCATCATATAAATGATGAGATATTGACCGTTTGTTTCTTTACTACATCAAACTCAATTTTATTCAAAGTTTGAGCAAAAAAAAAATCAAACAAACAAAAAGAAGAAAAAAAAGACTATGATCGCATGACACATTATCGTCAAAAAAAAAAAAAAAAAATTGTAAACTTTTTTCCCTTTTTTTCCAGTACAGAAAACAACGACAACAAAGAATCAAAAAAAAAAAACAAAATCCAGTTTTTCAGATATGATTATGTGTGTGTGTTTGTGTGTGTGTAAACAACCTAAACAACGTAAACGTAAACGATAATTGCTTGACATTTTCATCGGTCATTTGACCGACCTGTCGTATATGTATAATTTTTTTTTGTTTATCATCAAAATATATAAATTTTCACTGTATTTTTTTTTACTTCTCCTTCCTATCTTTCTTCAAATACACACACACACACACAGCAGCAGCAGCAACAGCAGCGAAAAAAAAAGAACAAACAACAGAAAAATGATGATGACGATGATGGAGAATTGGAAAACGAAAAAAAAAGTTGTCATGAGGTTGTCGTTTGTGTGTGTGTATAGCCTATTCTAATTCTGTATTCATATGAAACGCTACTATTTCATCCCATTCATCATTTAGTTTTTTTTTGTTTTTTTTTCTGGTCCCTGATCAAATCATAAAAGTGTGCTATATAAGTAGTGATGTGTTGTGTAAATGATGATTGACCACCACCATCACCAGCAAAAAAAGGTCGTCGATTTTTTTTTCATTTCTTTTTTTTAAACAACAACAACAACAACATTTGATAGGCAACCAAATAAAAAAAAGAGATAGAGAGGGCCAAAGGTCATCACATCATCGTTACATCATTATATTCATAAAGTGAAATGAAATAAAAAAAAATATGATAATAATAATATCTAGTAACCAGTAGTAGTGTATGTGTGTGTGTGTGTGTATAGCGTAAATGCAATAATAACAACAACAACAACAACAAAAAAATTATTGTTTCGAACATCTAACATATCCAAATATATCGTGTCTGTGTGTGTGTGTGTGTTTGTATCGTTTATAATGATGATGATGATGATGATCACTATGGCCATCATCACGATGATCAAATCTTGATGATGATGATGATCATCGTCATCCAAAATCATCCTACACTTTTGTTCAATTCGATTTATTTTTTTTTCTATTACTTTTATCTTTTTGTAATATCGATTGTCATTATAATCATCATCATCATCAAATGACAGGTTTCTTTTTTTTTCTTTCTCGTTCTCCATTTAACTGATGATGTTTTTTCAGTTTTGTGATTCTTTATTCACTATTTTTTAATAATTGGCCATCAAATCATCATTAGTGAATGTGTTTCATTATTTCGTTATCTCGTGTGTTCATATGTATGTGTGTGTGTGTGAAAAAGTCCAAGAATGAAAAGTGTGAATATATCGATTATGGTTGGTGTGTTTTTTGTTCGTGTGACCACCAGACAATTTTGTGTATTTATCATGAATCACACGATGATGACATTGAAATCATTCGACCGAAACAAAACAAAACAAAAACATATTCTTAGCTCATCATCTTATGGTGCTAATTTTAATGTGAATTTTTTTTTCATTTTTTTAAATTTAAAATAAATTTCTATTTTTATTTTTTTCTGGAAGCCACACTCACATGATACATATGATCATTGGTCAGAATGACCAATGGCGCCATAAGTAAAAGGTGGAGCCATTTGATTCATTAGTTGAAAAATAACAAAAGAAAAAAAAACATAGCTGTACATATGAATGACCAACGTCCATTCAAGCACACACACACACTAACACATGCTAACATTCCAACCCAATCCATGAATGATTGAAGTAGCCGGAAAAAATTGTTTCTTCCCTCTAAAATACTGATTTTTATATATTACAAAGAGTATATATATACATCACAAACGACGCCTTCGTTTATGAATGTATGCGCGCGAATACATTCCATTACGATGATGATGATGATGATGATGATGATGGTTAGTAGATAGAAGAAAAAAAAAAAACGCCAACCAACTGCATTTTTTTCCATTCACTTTGGAATGTCTGGAATGAATAAAATGAACTGGCTGGCTGGCTGGCTGCTTGCCTGCCTATTTGTGTCCAACCTGAATGTATGTATATGGTATTTATGTTTTTCTACGCAACATAACATGTGTCCATTATAGCGCTACCGCTATTTTTATATATCTATAGATAGTTTTATCATCATCATCATCATCAGATTAGGCGTCATATATATATATGTAGCCAGAAAAGAACCAGCCTTTTTTTGTCTATTTTTTTCATCTATGATGATATATAGTGTGTTGATAATTATTTTCTGTTTTTGATAATTAACTTTTTTTTCCGGTTTTTTTTCCGAATTAGATTTAATATTTCCAATGAGTCTTGATGAACATCATGTTGATGATCATGAAGAACAAACATTTCGAATAATGGAACCAATTATGGAACAATCAATGAATACAAATGAATTTAATGAACAAATTATTGTTAATGATTCATCTTCATCATTAAATAATGATGATAATTGTCCATCATCAATGGATGTTGATCTTGTACCATTAATGGATCGTCGTACAAATTCTTGTGGCCAATGTCTTGATTATCATCATCGTCAACATAATAATAATGATAATGATAATGATGTTGTTGTAAACACAAAAAAAACAATTACTCCATTGCCGGATGTTGTTTTGACACCAAGATTAGCTGCTAATCGTTCAAACAATGAACATCATCAACGCAATACATTACTCTCTTTCCATGAAGTGCCTTATCATCATGAAAATGGTGGAAACGATTCTTTTAGTCATAATCATCATCATCATTCAAATGAACGACGAACAATGTCCGTTTCATTACCAATTGATCAGGAAACAATCACAGAAATTGGTCGAGAATTACGGCAAATTTCATATGAATTTCATATGTTACAGGTTAGTGATGATGAAAAAAAAACAAAATTATTTTATTATTCAATTTTTGTAAAGAAAATTTTTAAAAAACGATTATTGTTTCGGGTGTGTGTGTGTGTGGATGTGGATAAACACATCCTAAACTCCTACGCCTAAAACATTAAGAAATTATTCTCAATTTTTTTTTCGACAATTCGACAGCTAAAATGAATTCATTTTAGCCAACGATAAATTTACACCAGACACACACACACACACACACATTGAATATTATGATGGATTATGGCTGATGGTAATCTACCGTATCTTACATCAATCCATTTACCATTATATCTAGCTGTCAAAAAAAAAAAAAATTTTTTTTTATTTACAATTTTCATATGCTGCCAACACATCTCGGTTTTCATGATCATCATCATGATCATGAAGATGTGATAATTTCATTGGCCATTTCATTCGATGTTATGATTAATGTCAGCTTTAGCTGAAAAAAAAAATTCTATAAAGATTTTCAACAACAACAACAACAACAATAAAAAAAAATCTAACCGTAAAATCTGATTGAATATAATGACTGAAAAAAGCTACATACACACAAATCTTGTACACTTGAATAGCCTCCATCATTATTGAATCATCGTAGCTTGTGTTGTTTGAGGTTTTTTTTCCTTCAAAATTTTTTTTTTATCAGAATAAATATCATCATCATCATGATGGTGATCATGATCATCACTACTCATCCATCATGTATTTTTTTTCGTGGATGTGTCGTCCTCTCTCTTTCTCTCTCTTGATTAACGCTACTGTGATTGTCCCATAAAGCTTTTTTTTCTGCTTCCATCATTTTTTTTTTGATTTCAGGCAAAAAAAAAATCTTCACGCTGGCAAAAACACCATTTTTCCATCTTCTATCAAGAGTTATATAAGTTCTTTTTCTATTCTAATAGAAAGATGATGATGATGATGATGATGATCTTGATTGGATTTCAATTTGTTAGCCTCGTTCTTGTGTCTCGAAAGATTTGTTGATGGTTGGTTGGTTTATGGTTTTTTTTCTTGTCTTTGTGTGTGTGTGTGTGTGTGTGTGATATCAATATTTGTATTCGTTTCTCTCTCTCTTTTCATTTACCATTTCATCAACAACAACAACAACAACAACATTGAAAATTTTAGCCAAATCCAAATGTATGTACATGGTAGTTTCCAAAAAAAAGACAAATATTTTCTATTTACCCAATATATATTTTTATATACCAGAAAATACAATCTTTTTATGTTTACATTTTTTTTGTTTGTTTGTTTGTTATGATATTTGTTGTCCATTTATGTTACCGATATGCTTTTGTATGTGTCATTTTGTGTGTTTTGAATGATAATTTTGTTTTTATCTTTCTTTTTTTTCTGTTCAGTCAAATAAATATATAGATGGCCCATATATTTAACAGCGGTTTTTTTTGCCACCAACAACATCATCAAAAAACCTGGATCGAATAAAAAAAAAATACAATAGACATGACCTTTTTTTTGATTTTGAATGTGTATGCGTGCGTATACAATCGGTAGTTGATTATTTGTGCTAAGATCCGGGAAAATAAAGAGAGAGAGAGAGAAAGGAAAATTATTTTACACGTGCAGACTTGATAATAAAAACATCTTTTCACCGGGAATTTTTACATTCCAATGGATGCTTATAATAATAACGGTGATGATGATGATGATGTTTATTTGATGAAAATATTTTACCAAACATACCGTTATATTTTTGTCCGGGATTTTATTTTTTTTTAACCCTCATCATCAATGAAAATCTGGGTGAAGGGCACATTTTTTTCTCTCTTTATTTATAATGGCATTTTTCCCATTATTATAACTTAACCTTTCATCTTTATATATTGGAATAGATCATGAAACATTTAATACTAGTTAGATCTAGATGTGTTTGTTTCGTCATCATCATCATCATCATATTTTTTTCTGGTAAAAAAAAAATACTAGCTGATGGTGATGCTTATGAAAACTTTCCAATATTGCTATCGATGTTGAATGATGGGTCTCTTGTAATCTGCGCCTGACCTGTAGGTCAAGATAATATTCAGAAAAAAAATTGTCCTTATAAACAGCGGTGTATAAAAATACGGTTCATTTCTATCATGATAACAAACATACATACATACATACAATACATAGATGACAACTGTGACCCAAAACTATTAGTGAAATCAACAATACCAATATATACAGTATTTGATATACATCACAATAACAACAGCCAACAACAACGATAGCCATATGCTCTCGTGCAATCATTTTTATATTCAATTCATTTTCATAGCTATGAACTTTCGCTCTCGTTTTTTTACCAAATTTCAATTTCAAATGAAAATCTTTTAGCTATTATTACTTTAGTAAAATGTGTTTGTTTGTCACATCTCCAACAATACATATAAAAGACCTAAAGAAGGGGAAAAAATCATAATTGGACTGGGAAAGAGCGAGAGTGGAAAAAATCCGTTACAAACGATTGATTTTATTTTCTGCTTTTTTTTTTTGGATCGTTGAATTTTTTCGAATACTAAACTTTTAATATTGCGTGGGAATGTTTTTCTTGTGCTTTTTATTTTGCATCGATTGATCGTTTGATTTTGTTTGGTCGATATGTAGAGGTTGACTAGGTAGGAAGGAGAAAAAAATCATTATTTAGCAATCAGCTGGTCTCTGTCATGAAATTTTTTTTTTCGGGTCCCGAATAAAAGTATCGAAGGAAGGTAGTTGATATTAAGCGAAACAAATTTCGTTTCCATTTTTTTCTTCTTTTTCGCCTCTTTACTCGTGTGTATGTGTGTGTGTGTGTGTGTTGTTTGTTGAATCATACTGGTCACAAATTATGTGCTAAATTTAATAGAATTAGAAGCCGGATTTCTTCAACAACGTGCATGCAACGAAGAAAAAACTTGCATCTTGTGTCATAGGTCACAAAAAAAACTACAACATGAACATTATGGTTGATTGATGATGATGATCAGAAGCATCTTAAAAAGATGCTAACTGAATTAGTGTTTTTTTTAATTAGTTTTATCATTTGAAAAATCATCATCATCATCATCATGTACAAAATTATTTATGCTACACGAAAAAAATATCATGTTTTTGTATAACAACAACAACAACAACAACACCCTCACAATTAACCCCGGCATTAAGAAAAAAAATCAATATCAGAAGCGATCTGTGGTTGTTGTTTGTTGTTGTTGTTGTTGTTTTTTTATTTTCACATTACCATTATTATCATCATCATGAGAATAGAGAATTCATAGATTACAATTGAATGAAGGTAAAATCTACATCAACAATAATTTATTTTCAACAACAACAAATATAACAAATGATCATCATCATCAATAATGGATCAGAATTATTATTATTTAAAGAATAAATAAGAAAAAAGAAAATCATCATTTGTTCAAGTTGCCTAAAATGATGACTAGTTGTTTGTGTGTGTGTGTATTTGAAAATTATCTTCAAATAATAATAATGATGATGATGATCTTGATATCTATATGCTTCGTATCTTCGATGATGATGATGATGATGATGAGATGTGAGAGTGAGAGAGGGGACATACCCTTTTGACCTTTTGTGTATAGTGTATGTGTGTTTATATTTTGTAACCAATATTCACAATTTGCCTCACACACACACACACACAGACACATCATCTATACAGCTAACACTTGAATGATGATTATCACATAACCATTGGCGTTGATGATGATGATGATGATGATTATCATACCCATCCATGTTATTATATTATCATCAGAATGATGATGATGGCGTCTATGGTGCCTATTTTTTTTAATAACATTGAACAGATCAAATTCGATTTGATTTGATTCGATCTGATTTTTTATTTTTTATTTTTGATACCAGTTTTTGTTGATGATCAAGATCATCATCATGTTGTTTTGTTATATCGTAATATTTACCTTTTTTTTGCTGTTAGTTGTTAGGTGGATAACACAAATTATCCATTGTCTCTATTATGTGTTTGCAAATCCAAATACATGGCCACTATCATCATGATGGTTGATCATCATCATGATCATATGATTTTGGTTGTATAGTAAAGTCTTTTAGGTCAACACATTATCTCTTTTTTTTTGCTTATCATTCGAATTTGAATTGATGTTTAGAACATTTTCTATGAACAACACAGTAAACAGTTATAGCCCTCTCTCTCTCTCTCTCGATCATCATAATCATCATTGGAATATAATTATTATTCGTTTTAGGGTATTAAACAAAAAAAAAATCAATGCTTGTGTGTGTGTATATTGGGCTTCTGGGTGAATATAATGCATATGATTTGATTCCTGATGCTGTTTAGTTTGTGTATGAGTGAATGAATGAAAGATGCTGAGTGATGATTGTGTCCATTTTTCGTTTATTCGTTAGTTTTTTTTTTCGTCCATTCGATTTGTCCGGGATTTTTTTTCCTTCATTTTTTTTCTTTTTTTTTATATTCATCTTCTTCAATCTTTGTAGTTTTAATTTTTTTTTTTTTTTTTGTTGTTGTTGTTGTTGCTTGCCTTTTCTGGTCCCGGGAATAGTAATAACATTGCTTACAACATACAACCAACCAACTAAGTCAGGCTGCTGCTTTTGAATGAAATCAGAATGAACTGAATAATATGATTGACTGAGAGTGAGTGAGTGAGTGAATGAATGACTTGATTGAGAATCGAAACGATTGTCGATTGTGCATCATTTTGAATGATGATGAATGTCAATGATTTTTTTTTCTATTTATTTCATTCTTCTCTACTTATTACTCCCTCATCTTTTTTTTTTTTGCTATTTATTGATGGTCAGTCAATGAAAAAAAGAGAGGATGAAAAAAAAATTGTGAAAGATTTTCAGTTCATTTTAGTGTGTGTGTGTGACCTCTGTGTCCACTGTTTCTTTTGTTTCTTTTTATCATTTTTTTTTTTATTTTTATTCTCTTTATGATTCGGACATTGCAAGCATAGAAAATGGTAAATTGAAAATTCAATAAAAATAAACAATCAGTTTGTTTTTTTTTTTTTTTTTGATCAAATGATCATTCATCGATATGCATACGGATGTTTAATGTTTTTTTTTTTGTTGTTGTTGAAAAGCAAATTCTGATTGATCACACACACACACACACAAAAAAACACGCAACTAGAAAAAAAAAAAACTTTTTTGTAGCAATAATAATTTAATCGATTGATCGATTTATATTTCAATTTAAATTGTTCAATTCAGGCAAACAAACAAAAAAAAAAAAATACAGAGATTTTATCATTTGAACTTTGACCGAAAAGAAAAATACAAAAATTATGTTCTAGACATTTTTTTTTTTTTTTTGGCCAATTTTTCATCATCATCATCAGTATTTTGTCACCAGAAAAAAATAGTTGCAATTTTTTTTTTCTTGGTTGCAAATAATGAAATTCGATATGACCACGACCACTTGTTTAGATCAATAATGATCATCTGGTTTTTCTATCTCTTTTCTACTCAAATGTTGATGATATAAAGCTTATCTTCTTTTTTTTGTTAGAATAAATCGAAATTCGTGCACGTGGTCCATACATACACAAATACAAGTCTGGCACACTTTACTTGTTTTTTTTTTTTTTGGTTCGTTTGTTTATTTGTTTGTTTTGTTCAAACAGACCACAGATAGTATTCATTCTATAGTGAGAGACCAGAATTACTCAAAATAATCTTTGCATATATATATATATTTTATTGATCATTTTGTCATTTGATCCATTTTAAATTATGCGTTTTGCATCATGATTTTGAACTTTGTTCCAGACTAATTTTTCTTCTTTTTTTGCATTTTTTTCTATCCACACACACACATAGATTCAACGATCAATAAATTTGGCCCAGATGACTCGTAGCCAAACAGATGGATCAGTCAATAATCAACAACAGCAGCCAAATAATATTGCCATCAATATTATTCGTTTAATGTTGGAATTATTGACATTTACATCATCATCATCATCATCATCGTCATCTGCAGAAAATTCCACCAATCAAATTGATCCAACGTCATCGATTTTTACAATAAATAATTCCATTTTTTATACCGGATCATCATTGAATCAATCACCATCATCATCATCAACACAAAATTCTGCCACCACATTGAATGATGATGGAAATGATGAAATGAAATTTTGCTGATATTAAATTCCTTTAGCAAAACAACAACAACAACAACAACAAAAAATTCTGGCAAAAGAGTTGAAATTTTTCACTCTACACATTTCATTTAGTTTATTATTCTAATCATCATTATCATCAATAATATAGTTCTATAATAATTTTTTGGTTGATATAAATTTTTTTTCTCTCTATCTTTTTCATTCATTATCATATCATCATTATTATGCAATCATCATCAACTTATATAATAAGTGACCTTATAACCTTTAAGACACACACAAACACAAACAATAAAAAATCATCGATAAAAAACAACACGAACACCATTTTGCTCAAATTCATTTTGTTAATTTCAAATATACAAATTTAATTTTTGGTTATATTATATATATAGTAAATACATTATCAACACATATGATAATAATCAATAATAGTTGTAAGTTTATATTTAGCTTCATTTTTTTTTGCTCATTTTCATCAAGGTTTTTTTTCAGTTTTTTTTTTCTTTATTTATTCCATATATAATCATTTTTGCTTTCCATAACGCTTAAACCCGGCTTTCGCTACCGTTTACACATTGTATTTCAAATGATTTATTAATTTTTTTTAAATATCAATTGCTCATCATAATAATCGATCTCTTTTTTTGGTTTATATATTGATACTTAATTATATATAATATAATTATGTAATTCACACCCACCCACACACACACAAACAGCCACCAGTTATTGCCACCGAACACAAAAAAAAAAAAACTGAAACCGAAACAAAAACACACACACTCAATGAACGAATATTCACAGCATTTCACAGAAATGATCTCACATATCTAATCTAATTTTTTTCGCTGTTCACAAAATTACTTCCAAAAAAAACAAAAAATTAAAATTCACTAAGGACATCACACATTTTGTATTACAAATGTTCACTACGACGGTCTTTCAAAAAAAAAAAACAAAAATTTTGCAACAAATATGATCATTTTCCCCGTTACCAACCAAAATTTATTTTTCCATTTTTTCGTTTAAATTCAAAAAAAAAAATTTTTTTTTTGTTTGTTTTATTGAATAAATAATAAGTAAAAATAATTCATAAACATACGACATTTGTGAATTTTTAATGGCATCATATCTTGACCTGTTCATAAGATGGTCTACGGAAAAAAAAATTTTTCAAATTCTTCACATTCCTTGTCGGTTTTTTTTTTTGTTTGTGTGCGCACCAGGAATTTAAAATATTTCAATCATCTGAAGAATGTGTGCATCAATTGAATAATTGTTCAATTTATTGCATACAAAACAAAACAAAAAAAACAAATAAACATCTGAACAACAAAAACTTTATGGCCACGTTCATAATTTATCTACATAGATCATCTTATGAATGAAAACAAATGATGATTATTAGCAGCAAAAAACAAACGAAGAAAATAATTATCCATTTCCGTTCAATGTTTTCAAATAGGAATTTTTTTTTTGCACAGCTTTTCATGTTGACTATTATCGTGCATGAATGGTTCAAAACCAACAGATTCGATAATGATCAGTTCAGTAATAATAAAGATATATATATAAACGATATGTATTGAAAAGCGGACAACAACAACAAAAAAAACCACTGATCATTAATTATTAAAAACAATACTCATCATCAACAATCAACAATAATAATCATTATTATTATTATCCATTTCATGTGATTTATAGAACAAAATGTACAATGTGGTATGTGGAAAATATTCTGTTTACTCAACCGAAACAAAAAAAAAAAATCATCCACATTCCATGCAAAGAAAAAAAAAGTTACATATATATAAATATATCACCATAATCATTTCATTTTAATTTTGGTGAAAACCAAAAAAAAAGAAAATGTTTCTATCTGCATTTTTATAAAAAACAAAAACAAAAAAAAATTTGAAAAAAGAAGTGTGAAATATGAAATTAATTTGACGTCTAATGATTCATCGTTTCTTTCATTTTTCCACTCGAGGTTCGTCGACATTGTCATATGATAATCATCATCATCATTGGATGATTATTCATTCATTCAACCTAAACTCAGAAAAGAAAAACTAAACTAAACTAAATCATGACCACATAACTTGTCGAAATTGATTTTCATTCAAGTTAAGTTTAGTTTAGTTTAGTTTTATTTTTGTTTTTTCCTGAAAATAAAAAAAAAAAAAAAACAGTTCGTTTGTTAAATTTAATTACCCATAAATTCAACTTTTACCATCTACCATCTATCTACTGTTTGTAAAATTTACTGTGTGAGAGAGAGAGAAAAACTTTTAGCCATTCATTTGATTCATCAACATTCAAGACAACATATAATAATCAATTTTTGTTTTTGTTTCGCAACCAAAAAAAAAAAAAAGTTGTACCTACGTTGTTTTTTTCATTCTTCTTTTTTTTGACGATTTAATTACTTTTACCTGAAAACCGAACATGAAATCCAGATTGTTGAGTGGGAGTTTGATGTTTCAAATTTTGCACGATGATTATGTCATCCATACACACACAAACTGAGAGAAAAATTATTTGAATATTAAGCGAATTGATTTCTTTTCTACTAACCAAAAACAAAAATCAAACCATGAAACACATGAACCAAAACGAATTAGGCGTCATGAAATCCATAATCATAATCATATATGGCTCTATTCGTAATCAAAAACATATTTTTTTCCCTGCCAAAAAATCATCATTTTTATTTGATGGTTTTGTTTTGTTCACTGAACCGGATGTTTTGATTTTCTTTCTTTCTCACTCACTCACTCACTCTGATTTGATTCAAAAACATTTAAATAATAATCACATTTGCATATATACCAAAAACACCACCACCACCACCACTTTTGATGATGGATCAACTAATTCATTCGAAATGAGAATAATCATCATTTGATATCCATATTTTGATGATTTTGTTCAGAATATTTTGATTCTTGAATGTTTTTTTTTCTCATTTCTCTGACAATTAGTATGAGAAATGGTCAAGGTGTGCGTAATCTGTCTGTATTTGTGTAATGAATTCAAATCACGTTTGTTTTTTTTCCGAAATGAAAAACAAACAGAAAAATCAGATCACTGATGATGATTGATTAGTGGTGGTCATTGAATTTCATTTGATTTTTTTTATTGCTACTTGATTATTCAAAAAAAAAGTTATTTTTGACTATAATTATTGTCATCATTCATTCAGACTTTTTCCAGTTGTTGTTGTCAATTTTTGTTTATCATTTTTTTCTTGACTTTCGATATGGATAAAGATTCTCTATCTTTTTCAGATTATATCTCATTGCTTCAGCCACTACATTACCAACTTGTGTTGCTATTCCTTGTTCGGATGTTATCTTTACTTTTAATGATGATGATGGTGATAATGATGGTGATGATGGTTGTTTTTGTTGTTGTTGTTGTTGTTGTTGTTGTTGTTGTTGGTGTTTACTAGGATCATATGGCACAAAATTTATAATTATTTTCTGCCTTTTTGACAATGGCTGTGGTTGCCAAAATTGTTGTTGTTGTTGTTGTTGTTGTTGTTCTTTATCTGGTGAATGAAATTCTTTTTGAAGCACATTCAAAATATCTTGTTCACCTTTATAATTTAAATTTGGTGTTTGATAATCACCAAAAATTTTTTTTGTCATTCTAGTTAATGATCCTTTTTTTTGTTGTTGTTGTTGTTTTGTTACAAATTCCTCAAACATTTTCATCATTAATTCAACACTTTTATCTATAGTGGGTGATTTAGATTTTTTCTTCTTTTCCTTTGGCGTTTCTTCTTCATCCGATTCTGTACTTTCAGTTTTTTCCACTGTAGTATCACCATCAGTATCATCACCATCATCATCATCTTCTTCCAATGGTGTATTCGAAATATGATCAATAAAATGTTCAATCCATGTTTTGGATGGTTCACCAGTAGTTGTTGATGTTGTTTCAGGAAGATCTTGTTTCTGCAAAACTTTTTCACCATAATATAATCGACGAAAATCTGTCAATGCTTTTTTTAATTTTTTCCGTTTTTTCTTCACCTTCATTTTTTTTGCTTTCTTTTTACGTTTTAATTTTTGTTTTTTTTCACGCCGTTTTTTTCGTTTCGTACGTTTACGTTCTTTTCGACGTAATTCTTGTTCATTATAATTTTCCATTTCCATCATATTAGTGACAAATGGTTGTTGATCATCGAATCCTGCTTGTTGATTATCATCATAACCTTGATTTTGTTCATTATCAAAAAAATCTGCCATTATTGTATATACGGTTAACGAATAAATCATAACGAAAATCAATATGACACTGATAAATATGAATAATCGATAATCTAATGATGAAAAATTTTTCCAAAATTTTAAATCTTTAATCCTGACCATTAATGACATTGATGATGATGATGATAATGATGACGATTCATTTCTGGTTGAATTTTGAACATGATTTTTTTGATATGGAAAAATAATTTTCATTATTATTTCAAGTAAAAAGTCATCGACCACCACAACATTATTTTGTTTGTATCAATACTTTTGTTTTGGTTTGAAAATGAACATCGAATAGAATGAAATTCTCGTTTTTTCCCAATTATATACATGTTAACATTCACGAAAAAAAAATTTTTTTTTTTTTGATAAATTTAATTACAAATTGTTTTCGAATCATTGTATGGTGTTTGTATAACCAAATAACAAATGTCAATGTCAATGTTTGATTGATTGAACATTGTCACATTTGAAGTAACGTAACCAGTGAAAATGAAAAAAAAAGTTGCAATTTTGATTGATATCTTTGAATTTGATCATCATCATCATCATCATGTTGTTTATTCGAATTGATTGATTTATATTCATATTGTTGTTATTTTTGCATTATTTGCAACTAGTAAAATTGTACCAGAAAATTTGTCTTTTTCTCTCTGTGTTTGTATGCGTGTGTATGCGTAATGATTCATAAAAAAAACCGATTTAAAGTTGTCCATGTTGCATGGACCATTTAACATCTTCAACAATCGTTTTTTTGGTTATCATTGTCACTAAAGAATAATTATGTTTAATGGTTTCCGCTTGACAAAATTGTCGGAGATAGATCACGAAAATTAATGATGATGATGATCATCATCATCATCATCATATATACCTAATATATTGCCATTACAATGGATATAATTAACCTTTAAAATGTAAATAAATAGTACAAATAAACTTGATTCATGAACTTCAATTTTTTTTATGGAACAAAACAGAAGAAAATCGCGAATATTTCTATTCCTAGCTAAAAGATGGCGATGTTAACGCCAGTAAAAAAAAAACAAATTGATTTGAATTTTAAGAAGTGCGGCCATCTTTTAACATAGAAAAGAACTATGATTTTGATGATAATTTCACCTTTTTTTGTGAAAAAGATTTTTTATTATTATTCTGATAATTATTATTATTATTATTATGGTTTATAATATCATCAGTAATCATATTAATTAGAAGCAAAATAAAAACCAAGGAATGGGGAGAATAACTGTTGTAAATAATAATAATTGTTTTACATATTATTATGAAATAATGATGATGATGATGGAAATAAATCCGAAAAAGAATTAGAAGAAAATGATGATGATAATGGTGAATGATGAAATACTGAGAGAATTACATGATTTAGTTTTATGATTAAAATTTTTCAAGATCGATATTTTGCTCTGCTGCCTCCAAAGAATATATTCCCAATTTGTTATTCGGAATAAAAATGACAATGATTTACTAAGGCTTTGCTGTGATCATGATCATCATTGTTGTTATGAATATTCAATGCTTGATGAAACAAACAATCAATTTGTCTATCATTTAAAATTTGTTTTCTCAATTTGTCCAGATCATTGTTTTAGGTTTTTGAAAATGTTTGTTTGATTCACATAGGATACGATTAGTAACAAGATCTACAGTATATACCGATTCAGTGGCAGTGATTGATAGGATCCGATTTTTTTCCGATAATGCCATTCCACGATGATAACTAAATATAGAAAAAAAATCAATATGAATCGATTTTATGATTACGCATTTTGAATCGACTTACCCTTCAGTTGGTCTTCCTATTCCTGAGATTAATTCCACATGGCCATCAATCAATGACAAATAAAGTAGATCTTCACGATTCGGTGTTGCCGATGCTAATATCAGATCATAGTTACCATTTTTCCATACAAACAAACAATTTACAATATCCAATGATGTACGAACATCATACATAAATTCAATTCCATTATCATTAATCTTCTGTACAATAATTGTACTTGTATTTGTTGCCATTGTATTAGTATTTGTGGTTCTTGTTGTTTTTCTCGATGATGATGAAGATGATCGATACTGTGATGGACATAATGTTGTTGTTCCAGTTTCATCATGTTGACATTGTGTTGAATTAGCAAAATCATGATATATACTAACCAGATAACGATGATCCGGTGATAGATAACTTTTATGTGCATTCAAATGTGAATTATGCAATAATATTGCATCAGTAACTTGATCTAAAATTAATTGCCCATTCAATTGATGTGTGATCGGTGTCTGGCATTGTACGGCCAATAATCCACCAGCTTTCCTGGTAATTATTGATGCAGCAATCGGTTGACAATCATTCAATCGTATCGAATGTATATATTCCAATTGATTGATTGAAATTTTTATCAATGACCGTTCTTCCCAATGCGTTGCATATGCATATGGTGAATCATGCATGACCTTTTTCATACGTTTATTATATTCATTTTTGAATATCGATTCATAATGTTCAGGAATGAAAAAATCATATACCAAATCAAAATGACCATCAACCGGTTGTAAATGTATGACATCAATATGATGATGCATTAAAGATTGAACCTGTGGTGATTGTTGTTGCTGCGATGATGATTGTTTTCCCGGTGATGAGGATAATGGTGAACTACCTGCATCATGCATTAATCGAATAACTTGAATAGTTTTACGATTTTTTCGATATTTTTCGTTCAGATAATCAAATTTACTGCCAACCGATGAGGATGAGGAAACAGAATAATCACCCAAATCTTTCCATTCAGATTCAATCAAATCTTTTGGTATATTCGATGATCGTTGTTCATCATTATTATAATAATTATAATCATTATTATTATTATTGCCATCACAAAGAACCCATATCTGTGGATCTTTTCCCATTTCGGATGATTCTACAATACGAAGGCGTCTTGGTTGAGGATCGGTGGCAATCACCTGAACAATAGATAATTGTAATTCATGTAAAACAAGTATACGATTTAGATTTGGTTGAGCAATATAGATTAAACCATTTAATTGTACAATATCTTCACTCCAATCACATTGTATCATTGTTGTTGATGATGATGAGGATGATTGATCATTATTATTATAACCATTACCACAAAGTGTTAAACTATTTTGATAGATTATATCTCTTGCATCAATTTCATGAATAGTTTGACCACAGATACCTTTTATATTAGATAGAGATCAAAGACATTAATTCAACCGGAAAATAAATCAATAAATCAATCGATTTACCTTCATAAATGGTCAATCCATTGGCATGAAAAATCCATAAACGTTGTGGATGTGAATCATAAATATCTGCTGATGATTCTACCGATTCATCTTGTACTAATAATGATGCAACACTTTGTCCAAATGCACCATTTTTATGTGTTATACGACATGTATATGCACCCGTATCGATTTGTTCTAATGCAGCCACTTGTAATAATGTACCATTATTTATAATGGTCACTTTTGGTCCATCAATCAATTGTTCATCATTTTTAAACCAATGGACCGTAAAATCATCTTCAAATGTCTCGAAACGACATTCAAAACTTGCTACGCCACCAATAGGTGTCCATTGAAATCTTGGTGATACTTCAACAATTGGATCGACTATAATTTTTGTAATTTGAATTGTAAAAAATGAATAAATAAATCTAAATATTTGATAAACATACCGATTACATCAACAATATGTGTCTGTTTGACCGTTGGATTATTAACCGCTTGACAGGAATAATTACCAGAAAACGATAATTTCAAATCCGTTAGATAAAGTGATCCATCATTGAAAACCTTAATATATGGTAAATTTAATGTGGCCAAATCGACACCATGACGATACCATTTAATGGCCGGTTTCTGTGGTTCACCATTTATATCGCAACGAATTTCAACATTATCACCTAGATGTGCTTCAATCTTATTGATGGCTAAACTTTCATCCAATGTAACCATTGATACGCCTATGGTTTTTTATATAAAAAGATTTAATATCAGCAATTGATGAAAAAAGAGATTACTTACTAAACAATTTATTGAATGCAGCTTGAAATTCTGTATAATCAAGTTTATCATCATCATCAACATCTTCATGTTGCATTAGATCTGTAAGAAGACATACAGAATCTGGTGACTAAAATTCGAAAGAAAAACGATTAATAATTCTTTGTTCATGGCAATTTAATATTATATTATCATTATATACCTTATAAATCATTGAATGTTTCCATAATTCATTCAATGTAATCTGGCCATCAGAATTTTCATCCAATCTTGTAAATAATAATGATACATCATTTACTATTTATCGAAAAAGATGAAAAAGATAATACACCACCAACAACAAAAAAACAACATCAGTCGAAATAGGCAAGAAAATTATTATTATTAGCGAAAAAAAAAATCAAAATCATTGAAGTGAGAAAAAATGAATTTTTTTTGTTTGTTTGTTTATTTGTTCGATACATACTTTTTTCCAATATTTTTTCCTTCATTAGATCATATTGTTTAGGTCGACATTCAACTTCATCATCATCATCAACATCATCATCACCATTATCATCATTGTTATCGTTATCGTCATCATCATCTCCATTTTCATCATTGTTGTTATCAGCATTCTTTTGATGATGATTATGATGATGATGATGCTGCTGCTTCTGATGATCATATCGATTAATTGAATTTATCGATGAATCATCAATGATGTTATTTGTGCTTTGGCTGCTACTACTAGCCGCTGTAGCATATATGATGATGATGATGATGATAAAGAATCAATTTCCACATCTAAATCATTATTATCATCATCATTATTATTATGGCTTCTGATATTATTATCATCATTATTATTTAAGTGAAAAATTTTACTATTTTCATTATTATCGTTATCATCATCATTATTATTATTATTATCGTTTTCTTCATCTCTTAAACATTGATCAGGATGAGCCGGTCGAATCAATGTGTTTGTATCACACGCAGCACGCCTGTGTGTTTGTTTGTTGAAAAAAAACGATTAAATATAGAAAATAGAAATAGTGATGATGATGAATAACAACAACAAACCTCAAATGACAACGTGATGGATATAATTTTCCATCCGATCCACATATTTTATGTTTATGTATTGGACATCTTTCGGTTTGTTGTGCTGAACAACTGAATCTTCGATGATGCGTCTATTTTGTGATCATATGTTTTGTAGTTTTTTGTTTTGTTTTGTGATATTTATAAAATAGAAAACAACAACAAATATAATTGAATATGTGAATGAAAAAATTCTGATTGTATCGTTCTGACCAATAAAAAAAGAAGATGATAATCAATTGAAAAGAAAAATACTGACCTTTGATTCGGTTAATCCTATTAATAATAATAAAGTGAATGATATTAATAGTAGATGAATGAAGAAATTAAATAATGAAATGGTTGTTGTTGTCGTTATTTTTGAATGATGATGATGCTTTGTATGATGATGATGATGATGATGATGAATGGTGGTTTGTTTCATTTTTGAAAATGTGATGATGATGATGATAATGATGGTGGTGGTTATTTGATGGCACTAATAACACACGAAATCTGACTGACCAACATAGAAAAACAAATCAATTGGTTTGAATTGAACAACAACAAAGAAAAACTTTTGAAATTGTTCAAGTTCATATCAAAGAAAAATGAAATATAAAAAGTTTCTATGGTAACCGAACAACAAAAAAAAACCCGTTATATAATAATAATAATTAAGGCTAATGTATGAAATTGATCCAAATGATCCAAATTGAAAACAAAAATATGTAACACAGCAACAACAACAACAACAAATGAATGATTCACTCTCTATATATATATAGCTAGAATCTAATCTAATCAATTATGTTACAAAAAAAAAAATTTCTTTTTGAAAGATGTCGATTCTGGATAAATAGAATTCTTACCCAAAACAATTGTTGTCGTCGTTGATCCACGCACACACACACACACACACACACAGACAGAGAGAGAATAATGACAGATAAGATGACAGAATCTTTCTCTTTTGTATTGTATAAAAGAAATCAATTTTGATCAAGAATAATTAATTATTATTATTATGGTCGACAATATTCTCATACACACAGAAAAAACAGAGAATGAAAAAAAAGAACTGCAAAAAAATAAGAATTTCAAATGACGACAACAATGGTAACACAATCTACTATGATGATGATGATGATTATGTCATTCGGTTCGTTGATTTTATTTTATTTTATTTCATTTTTTTTTTGGAACACAATCAAAAAAAAAACAATCATCATCATATAATAATAAATGATTGTGAAATATGACGAGTTTTATTATTGACAATAATAAAGTCATCAGTTGTTGATTTTTTGTTTAAAAAAACAAAACAGAATCTTTTGTCACAATGGAGAACAAAAAATGAAAAATTATTTTTTATTCAAATTTTGTTCGATATGAATTTTTGCACTCAACAACAACAACCGACCAATTCTCATTGATGATGATGATCCAAGAAATACCAATACTGGATTCGATATGTGATATTTAACTATGATACTTTTCTTTTCTTTTTATTTTTATTTTGGAACGTTTGTTTTGGGAGCCATCGATTTCTAGCTACTATGACAAAAACAGTGGTGGTGGTGGTACCATGATTCCAACGGAATCGAAATGGATTTTTTTCCCAAAAGTTCCAACAGGGTAGTAGCATTAGTTTTTCCATGCAAAACAACCACTACACAAGCAATCTGGATTTTATTCGCCATCAAACAGTGAAAAGACTTGATGAGAAAAAAATAGGCGTCCAATTCTTGGATTCAATTTATTTTTCTCCTCGGTTCATTTCTATATAATGAGAACATTGGACATGATGATCTTCATCAAATTCAATCGAATTTTTTTTTTCTGTTTTGTTTTGTTTTGGATAAAAGTTCCAAGACTTTATTATATAGTGGATCATTTTTTTCTTTGCATAGTTCAAACATGCTATATATGTGTGTGTGTGTGTGTGTGTGTTCGTTTGAATCCATTTTCCTCTTTTCTTAATGAAATTTATCAAATTCTCTCGCCTCCATCATTCTGGAAATAAAAAAATAAAATTATAGCACTAGATAGTGAATGATCAATAGTCGAAACGATTGGCTGACTTGGTTATTATTGGGTCCATCGTAATAATAAGTGGATGGCGGTGGGTATTGAAAACATTGATCGAATGAATGAATGAATGAATGATGAGTGACTACGACGGCGAATTTTTCAAAAAAAAAAAAAAAATTCCCGAAAACCAAATTAGGTTTCAATTGGTAAGCAATAAAAAAAATTCTAGTTAGTAGAAAGAAAAAAAAAAACAGGAAATCCAGAAGAAATAGCAAAAAAAAAAAAGAAAATTGTTAACGGATGTCATTATTTCTATCATCATTATTATTATTATTATTGAATGGTTGAAACAGGGCATTCATTTAATAAGCATTTAGTTTAGTAGATGTTTTCTGTTGTTGTTGTTGTTGGCTCACTTTTTACAGAATATAGAATCATCATATTGGTGTGTGTGTGTGTGTGTGTGTGTTATTAGTCAGAATTTATTTTTCCAGTTTTTTTTTTGAATGAAAAACGGATGGATCGATTTGGCCTCTTGGTGTGTGTGTGTGTGTGTGTGTGTATGTATGTTTTTCAATAACAGAATCGGGGTACAGCCTTTTTTCAGTTTTGCCAGAAATAAAATAATAAAAAATTTATTTTTTCCGTTATTCAACATTGAATGTAAAAGTTTTCTTTCTCTCAGAATTTTTCCACCCCTACTCAATATGAAAGATGATGATGATGATGATGATGATGATGTATTTGTAAAACGGAAAAAATAGATTCTAGTTTGTTTGAATTTGAAAAAAAAGATTCAATGATGGAATATTCTTTGCATGGTTTTATTCTGGCCATCAGAAAAAAAAGAAAAAAAAATGATTACATTTCTTTCAGGCAGCTCTCTCTCACACACACACATTTACAAATAGACAAATCTCTATCTTGTTTGCTGTTGTTTTATGTTTGTTTACTGTGTGTATGTTAGGAAAACAAATACAAAAAAATAGACAATAGACAAAATCATTCTGGTTTTTGTTTTCTGTTTTCATTTCATCTTCAATTCTATTTCAACTTTATGTGTTTTCCTTTTTGATAAGATGATTTTATTTTATTTTTTTTTTTTCATCATCGAGCCAGAAAAAAAACGAAATCATTGAATCTAGCCAATATCAGATACTTTTTTTTCAGGAACACTTCAATTTTAATTTCAAACAAACGTTGTTCGTCTTTTTATAGTTTCGTTCTTTTGTTTCAGATCAGCACGAATCATTCAATGGATTTTAACAATGTTTGGTTTGGTTTTCACTTTGGTGGTAAAACAATAGATGTCAAATTGGGATGTGTGTAGTGTGTGTGTGTGTGTTTATGTTTGTGTTGTATAGTGCAAGAATGTCTTGAAAACTTGGTTATTTCCCAGCAATCGAAAAAAAGCAAAAAAAAACTCATGTCCAGAATCCTTGTATATTTTATGGTGTCAAATATATATTTTTTCTGTTCTTCAAAGTGAACGAAAAAAAAATTGAAAGAAAATTCGTGTTGATGATGACGATAGGAGACGAATGAAATGAACAAAAAAAAAACCATAACTCAAGAATGAGGAAAAAAGAATAAAACAATTCTGACAGGCCTATGAAAGAGGCAGAAAGAAAGAAAAATTCCAAAAAAAAAAAAAACAAAGAATAACGAACGATTCTGTATACAGTTTTTATTGAACGATGAGATGAGGATTGAAAACGAAAGAAAACGATTTTTTTTTTGGTAAACTTTTTTTTTTTTTGGACAATTTTCCCATTATTATAAAAGAAAGATTAAGCCGAAGCTATTCTGTAGATTGTTTTTTACGAGATGGAAAATTTTCATCGATTTAAAGATAATGGATGACCATCATAATCATCATCATCATCATAATCATAATAATAATAACCGAAATGTATATAAATAGCCAGAGAATAATAATTGTTAAATGCAATGTGCGGCTATTATTATCCATCCAATACACATTACAATTTTTTGTCCAGAATTCTTCTGAATCCACAAATAATCGATATATTTCGATCTGTTTAAGAATCAGGATTTTGAAGAAAAAAAAATTCTTTTTTGTCGAGTAATTTTCATTTTTTTATTTTTTTTTCAAAAGCAAAATTTACAAAAAAAAAAAAAATGTTTTCCATAAAAGGTAAAAATTATCAAGATTCACTTTATATACAAAAGAAGAAAATGCAATCTATTTAACAAGCAAAAGTGAATATACACAACAACAAAGTGACAAATGAAAATTTCACTTTGTTTTTTTTATCTATTGCTAACAACATGTAATTTCATGTCATCATTTTTTCCTGATGATTGGGAAAAAAAAAAATTTTTTTTTCTCTTGTTGATTTAAAGAATTTTTCTTTCCAACAAAAAAAAAGAAGAGAAATGTGTGTGTTTATTCAACCGAATCGTCAAGAATGATAGTGAAATCGTTTCGTCGATTGATGATGATGATAATGATTAAGTAAGTCTTTTACATTTTGCCATTTATATCCATTGATGATAATGATTTTTGACTACTTGCTTGTCATCACACATTGGGCATATCTTTACGATATATTGCAGCTAAATCATGTTTGACTTTTTTCAACAAAAGAAACAAAAAAAATTTCAGACTAGAGATGATGATTATATAATGATGATGACATGACATGACATGACATCGTGATCGTTGTGATGAATAAAGCTTTCAAAAAAAAAAAAAAAAAACAGAATAGAACACATTTGTCATGTGTAAATCAAAGGGAAAAAAATGTATAAAAAAAACTTTTTTCAAGTATAAGTACTATGTACATGGTGATGATGATGATGATGATGATGCATCAAACATCATCGACAGCCGCCAAACAATAAATATATTCGGTCAGCAAAATGACCAAAAACCTATTTAAGATGAAAAAAAAGGTGAAAATGATGATTGACCAATTGTGATGAGTGTGTGTGTGTGTGTGTGTGTGTGATAATAATAACATACGTGTGTGATGATGTGAGCAATGAATGAATAAAAATTTGCAATTCATTGAACAAAAAAAAAGATGATGATGATGATGATTATTATTATTATTATGAAGGTTGATCAAATCGCCATTGTTGTGTTGAACTACCAGCATTACATTGATCAACAATAATACCCGTTTGTCGTACAAAACGTGAATCTAAACAAAGATTATGTGATAATAATTTTATATGACGATCAAATGCCCAGACCCATTTCTAGAAAAAAAGAAAAAAAAAGATAAAAAGAGTCAGAATATATTTCAATGTGATTATTATGAAAATTTTTCTCTTGAATTTTCAATGAAAGATTTATGCAATTTTTCACAGTAAATCTTGTTAGCACACACACACACACACACACAAAAGTATGAGGAAGACGGCCAAAAACTTACCTGAGTATCATCACCAATACATTCAGAAAGTATTATCGATCTTGATGGTTCAAATCCGGTAACAGTAATACAAAGATGATTATCATGTTTTATTAGATGATCAATAGTGAATGACCAATCTTGATTTGCACCTTGTCCATGACATTGATATAATGATAAATGATCAAAATTCTTCGTTTCACCCATTGTATCTAGACATTGATCAATTTGTCTTAGGGCACCATGTTTATCCAATGATAATGTATTATCGTCGTCTGGTCCATTCATTATATTCATTCCGCCATCGGGCATTTTTAATTCTGGATAAACATTTTTCATATACCAATCAAATGATTTACAATGCAATTTTTGTCTTAAAGCTTTTCGTTCACTAATATCACCAAATGATACATATTGTGCTGGTGGATTTGCATTATAATAAAATTTTTTATATTCATCCATCCAAACTTCAGCTGCTCGACGTGTATTATGTACGAATACAACACCACTACCACCGGGAAAATCATATGGATGTCTATGTTTCAATGTATTGTGGTGTATATAAAAGTGGATGGAATAATTTACAATCAATTTTTTTTCCTGGAACACAACTTACTGTTTACGAAAAACATGACCAACATGGCTACAGGGTATGATTTCAAGACCATCGGCACATAACCACATTCGAAAGGATATCTCTAGATTTTCACCACCCTTTATCAAACGATGAGGGGAAGAGAGAAATTCAAATTGATCGTTATGAATAATTTAAACATTTTTTCAATTCAAAATGTATACAAAACTTCATGTAAGTGTGTGTGTGACTATGAATATTAATTTGGAATAAATTTAAAAATTTTTTCTTCAAGTTTTTCTCAAAAAGAAAATTGTTTTTATTTAATGAATGAATTTCTCTTCAATTTTGTCTCAAAAATTCATTCGTCAAATTGATTCACACAAGAATGAATTCATTTAAATTAACAAAAAAAAAAAAATTTAACCCTTCCGGAAAATCATCATAATCATCATGTTTTCTTTTTCGAAATTAACAAAAAAAAAAATCATTCATCCATTCAAAAATCTACATGTTTGATTCGTTTATTACAATTACATGTAATAATATTCCAATTTAAACGACAAAAGACAATATAACAATGGCAATAAAATGACAATAATGATAAAAAACATGCATGCAAGATAAATATGATGACATATATAAAATTTATTATACTTACCCAAATATTCATTTGTGGATCATATTTTCCATAATATTCAAATGTAGTTTTATTTATGGAAAATAGGCCGCCGGCAATCATTGGTGTTCTTGTAATGGACGATATAAATGAATGAACAAACAGAAAATGAAAATTCATGATGCCAAAGAGAATAAAAAGAATAGCAATTAATCAAACACAAAGGAATTTTGTTTTTTTCTTTTGGACAACAAATATACATGACATGGCAACAATTCATTCATTTTTGAATAAACTCACTTTATTGGTGCTGTTTGATCCAGTAAACGTTTCTGATGAATAGCTGGAGGTAATATTTCCCATTTAAATACTAGATTCCAATCGAAACCACCACGAAGATCCATTGATGCAGCAATATAACGAAAATCATCTAATGCTATCACATCTATCACAGGCGATACGACTAGTAATGGATTCTGCGAACGTATGTTATGTAATTAATAAGAATTTGAATTTGAAAAAAAATCAAAACAAAAGAAAATCACCTGTTTAACACGTTCCAACAATGGTTCTAACCATTGTTGATTACATTCACAATGACTATCTAAAAATGTTAATATCGGTCCACGAGCAGCATCGGCACCACGTATTCTGGATCGTACTAAACCTTCACGTTTTTCATTACGTATCAAACGTACTTTCGGTATTTTCTCCAATTCACGGCCATCACATGGATCATCACTATGATCATCGACTAATATAATTTCCGTTATTAATCTTGATGGTGAACGATTAAATACGGAAACAATTGTGCGTAATAATGTTGATCTTGCTTCATTATGATAGGTAATTATAATCGATGTCGGTGGTAATTCATCAATATTATAATGTTTACTTTGACAATGATAATGTCTTGTATCGATTATTGAACGATCCGGTGATAATGAATCACTTGCTTTTTGATTGAATTTATTTTTTAAATATGGATCCATATTAGCTTTGATTGCATTTTTCATCAGATAATCAACAAGATCAAATTCAGAGCCAAGATTTTGATATGTTTTAGCTTGTTGTGGTAGAAATTCTGATTTTGATATCTGAAAATTTAGGTTGGTCATCGTTGTTGTTGTTGTTGCCGTTGTTAAGCTATCATTCATTTGTTGTTGATGAACACTGTAATCCTTTTCATGAAAATAAAAATGAAAAAAAAACAAATTAAATCATTCAATTATCAAAAAAAAAAAAAAAAAAAAAATAAACAACGTGGGCAGCAATGAATGACGAACTAGAAAAAAGGTCAAAAAAGGCAATAAACGAGAGACAAAAAACGGTAAACCCAAAAAAAGGTTTTCAACCTGTTTTTTTCCTTTCAATTCGGGATTTTTTTTCCATCATCCAGATTAAGTCCTAGACATTTATTGTTATGATTATGATGATGATTATGAAGAAGAAAAAAAATTGTCTGACATTTCTATCAAAGTACAGATAAATCTGGGTTAAAATAGTAACTGAAAACAAATTATAATTTCAAAAAATGAATTGATTTAATCATTTTGGGAAGAATCAAAATAGAAAAAAAAATTATTCAACAAAACAACGAAACAAAAAAAAACTAAAATCCCGTTTTTCCATGATTCCTTGTCACGAATGTGTGTTCATATTCAAATCACAAGTAAACAACATTTCCATACAGAGGATGATGACCAAAAAAAAAAACGATGATGCTAAATTGGATGAACGAGAGAAGAAAAAAAAAGATTTGACGCTCCCAACTCTTATCAAGAACAGAACAGAACAACAACAAAAAAATAGTCAATTGAACAAAGATGTAATCTTCTGAAAACAGTTGGTTTGAACATACACCTTGAAAATTTTTTAAGGGATCGAATGGAAAAAAATTAATGGATGGTTTTTTTTTGGTTGATTCGACTGTCTGAATCGAAATGTTTAGAAAAAACTACTGCTTCAAGTCATTTGAGTTTCTTGATCTATCAGAATAAAACTTAAACAAAAAAAAAATCATTTATTATAAATGAATCACATTTTTTCCCGCCACCATCATTCGGGGTTAAATATCTTTTTCTACTTGTTCCACACACACATACAGGTCACAATTAAAGTATTGAACACAAACCATTATCGGTATACCATCAATATGAATATTTCATACACAAAAAAATGGGAACAGTTTAGTGTGATTAGATCTTTCAATCAAATGATAATAATGACCATTTATATATATATATATTCTCATCATTGGTGATATTCGTGATGGGGCTACACAACACAACACAATAAATGTTTGATACAATGATCGGCTTTATTATATGTGCACCGGGGAAAAAAAATGATTCTTATAAGAAGCTTTAAAAAGAAAAAATGAAATAATGATAACGGCTATGGAAATGGAAATGGAAATGAAATTAATTGGAAAAAATGATAAATCATTTTTCGTTTGTTCTATTGTTTTTTTATCTCATTCTTTTTATTGAACTGCAGCAGTATTTTTTTTTTTTTGGGACCACCAAGTGAAATTCTTCTGGGAAATCTGACACACACACACACACATGCACACACAAAAAACCAATATCACTATCAAACTTGATTGAAATATGAACATAGCAACCAAGAATAATAATCATCAAAAAGAAAAACGATTCAAGCCAAAACAAAAACCCAGGAAACGATAGCCAAACGAAGCGAAAAAGGAAAAAAATTTCCATAAATAAGAACACACACACACACACATACATTCATTCGTGAAATAAATAAAGAAATGATCAGTAAAAAAAAAGACAATTATACAACAACAAAACATCAGGCCAGAAAAAAAATTGATGACCACAACATTTTCATTTTTTTCGTTTCATTCATCGATGATAACGTTAATTCATGATGATGATGATGATGATGATGATGATGATGGTGAAAAAAACAGTATTTTTTATTATTATAAAAAGAATAAAGGAAAACTTTTCATCACTGATGATGATGATGATGATCATCATCATAATGATTAACCAAAACCAAAACGAATCGATCGATCATTTCTGCTATACTATTCAAGCATGAAAGGGGGTAAACTCAAAAACACAAAAGTCAATGAAACATAAAGAGATAGATATATAGGCTAATAATGTACATTGGCCTCCACATACACACACACAAACACAACTAATTGATTGATTTCGATTGATTTGTTATGGATTGCTTGTTTTTTTTGTTGGTGTCCATTTTTTTCTCATTTCTTTTTTCTCTCATTCACTTTATAACAGATGACGATGGGTGCTATGTCTGAATTTGTTGTATTTTTTTCTAGTTATAAAGAATTCTGAATTTTAAAATTAAATTCTAATGAAAATTTTCAACAAAAACAAAAACAAAAAAACAAAATTCCATCACTTACTTTGAACGCATATTGTTGTTGTTGTTGTTCGTTGTGGATCGTATTCCAAGATCCAGAAAATTCATTGATACGAGAAAATTTTGATCGTAATAATTGCTGTGATGATGATGATGATAAATGTTTTGATCCATTATTATTATTATCGTCATCATTATTATTTTGGTTATTAATTTTATAAATTAATGAAAATATTGTTAACCAAATTAATGATGCAATCAATAATAATTTAAAACGATTCAACATTTTCAACATTTTCGATGGTAATGAAAATTAAATTTGATTAATGAGACGGGCAAACCCACAGCAGCAAGTAAATTTCTTTCTTTTTTTTCTTTTTGATTAGACAAACAACCGTACAAAAAAAAATTGAGCTTTGAAAAAAAAGTGGAAATTTTTTTTTTTTTTTTGGCACTATAATTTCTTCTTGATGTTTCTCGATGGTCCAAGATTAGAATCGGTTTTCAACCTTTTTTTCGTTTTGTCATTATTATTTCATGATGATGACAATGAAGTTTTTTGTTGTTGTTTTTTTGGCAAACCAGGACTGTCATTATTCAAATAATGATGATGATGATGATGATTAAGTTTTTTTTTGGTTAAAATGTCATCATCAATTGTTCAGTTGACAAACAAATGAATGAATAACGGTGAATCAAAAAAATGTTAAAATGGATCATATGATGGTGAAGATGATGATAAAGTTGATAATGATTTAGGCGCACAGAACAATTAAATCATCATCATAGTCCTCATCGTTGTATTCTTAACTATGAAAAAAAATTGCTTCGTTCTTCACTGATGATGATAATGATGATGGATCCGTTTTTGACTAAAAAAACAACAACAACAACAAAAATAATGTCAATTAAAATGTCAAAAAAAAAAAAAATTTTCGTTTGCAAATTTGTATATTTTGTTGTCATTTAAATTATTGTCATCATCAATAACTATAACTATAGTTATTACCATGCTTGACTTGACTTTTTTTACTTCTTCTTTTCTGAAAATCAAAAATCAAATTCACCTTATAATTATCGATATTTTGTTGTTATTAACAATATTAATTAGCATAATATATATGTTATGTTATTATTATTATTTCGGGTGTATCTAGCACATCACATCAAAAATCATCACATGTGTTTTATTTAGTTATCAAATCAAATGGTAGGGCAGGAAACGGCAAATGATAACCAAAATCGAAATGGTAACAAATAAAAAATGATAAAAAACATTACCGAGGTAACCATAAATCGTCATGTACACAAAGAAAGACAAACAAACAAATTTTGTGTGTGTGTGTTAAATACTAAAATTGATTGATTGAATCCAGAAAAAAAAGAAAAGAAAACTAAGCCATATTTTTTTTGCTGCAAAAATAATTTAGAGCATATATCATATATATAGATAGATGATGATGATTGTTTTCATTTTGTCTTTTTTTTATCAAAGAGAGAGATATTATACATACTGAAATCCAAGCAACCAAAAAAATGATCAATTGATTATTATTAGGAATTTTTTTCTTCTTTTTTTTTACAGGAAAAATCTCAACCATGAAACAAACAAATCCTCGTTATTATCCACGTTGATTGCTATACATTAGTTTTTCTATTCTTCAGTTTTGTTTTTATTTTGCAGAGGCACATTGGATGTAATTTTCTTCTTTTTTTTCTTGTTCGTTTGTTGTAGAAAAAAAAGCAAAGCAAAGCACAATTATTATTATTATTGGCTTCACTATGTGATTATTATATGGTGATTATCATTATGGAACGTTTTCATCCATTCATTGAATTATTACAGCTATTAGTTTAAGATGATAATGATGAGCATTTTTCTTTGTTTTATCTTTACTTGAGATATATAAATACTAAATACAGGAAATACGGTTGAAAGCTTGAATGAAGCTTGAAAGAATCAAAAAAAAAAAAAAAAATTTTCGAAACAACAAGTTTAAAATTTTTAGTAGAAAAAATTGGGTTGTTGTTGTTCATGGATTTTTTTTTTTGGTCAAATAAATCCAATTTCGATAATTTAGTCATTCAACACACACACACACACGAACAAAATTGATTAAAATTGATGAATCAATCGGTGAATAGGCATTATTTAAAAATTTACTTTGATATATTTGTTAGCATTTGCATATATATTCAGGTTGGTTAAAACTATCGATAGATTGATCAAACGTTCGAATTGAATTGAATTGAATTGTTCATTGGTAAACAAACAATGTGTTTAAAATTGATTGAAATTCTTGAATTTAATGATGAAGATGATGATGATGATGAGCAAATGATGGTCAATTGATGACCAGTTTTCTTCAATGGTTGTTGCTATTGTTATTGTTTTGGCTTCGTTCTAGATCGATCATCATTATTATCATCAAAATTCAATGTTTATCAATGTTTTAGATCGACCATCATAAACAAACACACACACACACACATATCTTTTTGTTTTGTTTTTGGTTTTGACTTTATCAGATTTCTTTTTTTTTCTTCAATCGTCTTTGATATAATCATAGAACAATGGATGATGATGATGATGATGATGGCCACAACTACCACAATAATAATAAGGTTAAACTTTTTTTTATAGATAATCAAAGATCGATGATTATTATCAATTGAAATCAGAGGTTTGAAAAAAATAACAATAAAAAATGTTTGATGAATTTTTTTCAATAATTTTTTTCTGGTTTTGTTTTGATGTTGTTGCTGTTGTTGTCGATGATGATGATGATGATGTGCATTGCAGAATCAAAACAAAATAGTGGCAGCAGTATGGAATTCAATTGGATACCACTTCCATTTTGATAGACACTATGGGCTCCATTTTTTTCTCATAGTTTCTGGAACATTATTTGGCGCCCATAGAAACTAAGAATGTGTATATAGAGATCGTTGTTGGTAATCTGGCAACACTTATTAAGCTGTCGAATGATTATTTGAATTTGAATTTATTTTTTGTTGAAACATTTGAGATTTCTGGAATAAATTATCATTTGGTACAATCGGATTGAAAATCCAGAAAAAAAAAACATTGATACACACACACACACGGAGTGATCATCAATATTTTCTGTCTGTTCTAGATGGAATCCATTGCCTATTTTGGTCAAAAAAAAAAAAAAAAAAGAAAAGGTGCATGAATAAATAAAGAAAAAATGAGATAAGGACTTGAACATACAGCATTTAACTTACTTGAAGATATACAGAATGGTGATAGCAAAAAATAAAAAATAAACTTGATAACCGGAGTACCGGGTATCAGTCAATGAGAGAAAGATAGAGAGAGAGAGAAAAAGAGTGAGGTAGGTATGTATGTATTCTCCACAACGATTCAATGGCAACGACATTGAACGCTTAACATATATCGGTATAACCCTTGAAAAATTCACCATCAACACTTGGTGTTCATCTTCTTAGTAAAAAAACGTTCATGCCAAATGATGATAAAAAAAGCCAGTCAGGAAAAGAGAAAATTTTTCTTCTTCTGTAAATGAAAAATAAAAAAAAACCCGAACAATTATAAAGAGAAGAAAAACGGCAATGATCGTTTCAACAAAATACCCCTGCTGCTGATGTTGCCAAATCACCCTCTGGATGGATAATTTTCAGGTTTTTGCCTTTAAATGTTTAGTGGTCATCATCATCATCATCATGGTCGTCCAACTTAAAAGGGAATGAAAAAAAGTTGACCAAATCAAAGAGCAGCAGTGGCAGTCATCAAACAATAACCGAAAAATAAGGAAAAAACATTAATGTCCGAATCGGTTCAATTTGTTTCACACCACGGGAAAAAAAACTTACGTTCGATCGCTCGACGTGAATGATGTAAATGGCGCCATTTTTTTTTAGTTCCCCAATCATAGACAATCGAATGTATCAATTGAATTGATCCTCTTTTTTTTGGCTTTCGCATTAATTTTTTTCAAAAGTAAATAATGGAAAAAAACTTTTTTCTCGTTCGAAACCAGACGAAGCACAGCATTCTTTTTGCTATTTCAATATATTCAAAGGTCAAATAGCCTCGTAGTCGTCGAGACAATATGAATTTTTCACCCACATAAGATGAGAGATTATCATTACCATAATAATAATAATAACCGTCATCATCACCCATTTTTTCGCTGGTGTTTATGATTGTCACTTGTGATTTTTTTTGTTATAATTCTTTTAAAAAACTGATAATTATAATGACATATATTACGTTGCGTCTGTATCAAAAAAAAAACATTGTGAATAATTATATTTCGCGTATATATATGAATAGGTCATCATTGTCATCATCATCATCACCATATGATTATTATTTATGCAACAAACAAACAAGTTTCAACGTTCATCATTATCATCATCTCGAAGATGTATTTAAATAATGACTATAAGATGATGATGATGATGATGATGATGAAAACTTGTGAGGGATAAATAAAGGAATTTTTTTTTTTATAAAATTCGAATTGTCATTTTAACAAAAGGGGCTGTTCAAAGATGAAGATAACTTATTAGTTTGTATGTATATGTAAAAAAAACAATGCCAAATTTTAAAACAATTTTTATCATTCGTGAGGTGAAATCAAATTCAAATTCAAATTAATAATAACAACAATAACAATCAAAATCATTATCGGATTCCATAAATCTTGAATGTTGTTGTTGTTGTCATCGTTGTTGTTGTCGTTGTTTTTGTTGTTGTCACACTTGAGAAATTTATCATTGTATTATTTCATTTATATTTTTTTATGATGATGATGATGATGAAACCAGACGACCGAATTTTTTCATTCTATAATGCAAAATAATCTCATGTGAATAGAAATGTTATTTTTGGGTGCCTAAAATGAACCAAAAAAAAAAATATATAATAGAAAACAATGATGACGGTATTACCCATTCTTTTTTGATTTGATTTTATTTATTTCTAAAGATAAAATTCTTTCTTTTCTATTTTCTCTCACACCAGATCATGATGATGATGATGATGATGATGGACATGGCAACACATCGCACACACTTGTGAATAATTTTCATGATACATTCATCATCATCATCGTTAAATGATTTACAATGATGATGATGGCAATGGCAATGGCAATGAAATATTCATCATCATCAACATCAACATCGTGTGACATATATTTCATGAAATTCGAAACTTGGAAATTGTTGACAACAACAGCAATATAATAATAATAAGATTAAGACAAAAAAAAAATAATTCGATAAGAATACGCGGAAAACAATTGTATGGGAAAATTTATTTAAAAAACATTGAACGGTAAACTTTTAACGATTCTTGTTTTGGTTATTTTTTTTTGTTTGAGTGAAAAAATTAAATTTTTTTTTTGTTCGTTTTATTTCTCTAGTCGCCTTTTTTTTCCTATTCCTGTCCATATATATATACAAAAAAACTTGCTGTTCAACCTTGTGTGTGTGTGTGCTCATCGTTTCGTTTCGTTTCCCAGCAATCAACAATCATCGGGAAAATACAAAAGATAATTTTAACAAAAAAATTTTCAATTTGAAAAAGAAAACAAAAACAAAAAAAAATTATTATGAATAATAAGAATTCAACAAAAAACAAAATGGCTAGAAATACAAAAAATGTTGCCGATAAAAGTTTGAAGAAAAAAACACAACCAACAGCAACAACTACTGTAGCGGCAGCAACAAAACCGGATATGAGTAAAAAACAAAGCACAAAAAGCTCGAAACAAGATAATGATAAATATAAAACAATTAAACAACAACAACAGCAGCAGCAGCAACAGCAACAGCATCAACAAAATTTTTCGACAAAAAAATCCAAAGATAGTGCTTCTATCAAGAATCGAAAAGATAAAAGTTATAAGAAATCAAAAACAGAAAGTATAAAAAAGAAAAAACCGGATAAACCAAAACCTAAAATGGTATCAACAAAACAACAGGATACTGTGGAAAAATCATCAGGATCAGCTAAACCTATTGAAACAACAACGGTTAAACAAAAATCTGAAGGAAAACCACCACCACCACCAACACCACCACCACAAAAGAAATTACAAATAAAAGTGGTAAAAGTAGTAAAAAAGATAAATCAACAAAAGTACCGAAAGATCAATCGGCACAAACTAAACAACAACAGCAGCAACAGCAACAACCGCCGAAATCATCTGAAGAATCATCCGGTATTGAACAACCATCTTCTGATTATGATGATGCAAAAGAAATGTCAACATCAACAGCAACGCCACCAACACCTCCGAAAACGACAGAAGAAACAATCACAACAGCGACAACAACAACAACAACAACAAAACAAGAATCCACACCACCAACACCGCCGACACCACCACCACCACCACCCACACCGGTTACGGAAAAAGTTGAAGAAAAATCAAAAAAATCTGATAAGAAAAAGAAACAGGACGAAGAAAATGATGATGATGAAGCGAGTAAAAATGATGATGAAAAACATGGCAATGAATCTGAACAAGAAAATGAATCACAAACAACACAAGCTAATGAATCCAATGGTAATGATAATGACGATGATGATGATGATGATGCATCATCATCAACAGAAGATGTTGGTTCAGATCAATCACAAAATGATTCTGATGATGATAATGATGTTTCTACAAGTAAAAAGAAAGAAAAAGCAAAACAACAACAACAACAACAACAACAATAAAAGTGAAAACAGCCGAATCTGAACAATTGGAATCAACTAAACCAACTATTAATCAACAATTGAAACCGAAAAAAGGCTGTAGCCCTACCATTGGTACTAGTGAAAGGATTACAAAAGTTGAATTTGAATCATTAAATGATGAGGTGAAAAAAAAACAAACAAACAAACACACGATTTTTCTCATTCTAATTATCATTTTTTTTTTGTTTTCGTTTTTAATTATTTCAATAGATAAATGAACTAAATTCTGGTGTAAATACATTAAAACATTCATATGGTAGTATAATTAAATCGTTGATTGCAATGCAAAATAAACGATTATTGAAGAAAAAAATTGCCAAACAACAACAACAACAACAACAACATCATCATCAACAAATGACAACAACATTAGGTGATGTGAAAAAGATTAATTTTTTGACAACATTATCAACAATGGATCCAAAACAAAAAGAAGAGATGTCAGAATCATCATCATCAAATAATGATAAATTTAATATTGAAAATTTTCTTAATCCAATTACACGTGAGAATACATTCCAGATGTTATTTAATGAGGTTTGTTTGTTTGTTTATTTTCATGAATGAATTAATGAAGATTTCACATTAAATTAATTATCATATAAATAACTAATTTGTATTTTTTTTTTTTCTGTAGGTTGAAGATTTGAATAAACGTACTGAACATTTACGTACAAATTTCTATGATCGTCGTGGAAATTTTCTTCGTGCTAAATATGATCAATCTGATTATCATTTGGATAGAAAAAAATTTAATCATTTAAAATTATGGGTAAGTGTGTGTGTGTGTGTGTGTGTGTTGGAGTTGATTATATTATATTCTAATATGTTTCTCATTTCTCAATCAAAAAAAAAAATTTAGACTAAAAATCTATTGTCAATTGTCAATGAATTAGCTCGTAATTATAATGATGATTTACTCAACATGTTTCGTTTGGTTTAAATGGTGGTGGTAGTGGTGCTGGTGGTGGTACTTTACTTTGCTGGTCCGAAATTCTTTTTTTTTTTTAATGAATGACACACACACACACATATATGGATCAGACGACTAAAGACATGGACGGAAGGAAATCAAAAATTCCTGAATGAATATATATACTACCCACCACCACCCCAATCACCAACAACAAAATATATCAACAATCATCATTAATGTGTTGTGTGCTTGTATTATGTGTTATAATTCTGTTGTTGTTGTTTTTTTTTTTTATTTTGATGATGAAAATAAAAAAAAGAATTGAAAAAAAATTTTGAAATAGAGGTCAAATGCGCGCGTTGTTTATACAAAAAAAAACATTCATTCATTTCAATGATGATGATGATGATTGTTCCATTTGAGTAAATAATAATAAAAAAAATGATCGTTTCCTAGTTTTTTTTCTCCCGTTGATTAAATTGTTGTTTTTCTTTGATAGTTCCAAACACACACACACACACACACACACAACTACCCATTATCGACACAAATTCTTCGTTTTGACCCTTAATTAAAAATACTGGGCACATCTGAGAATTTTTTTTTGTTGCTTAACGAAAACAAAAGAATGGTGGCCATTATATGGTGGTCACACATTTAAGAATTGTTGGTTGCTTTTCTATTTAATGACCACACATATATATAAACACACACACACACACACACAATGCACAAATATCGAAACAAAAGCTAATTAAAAACACAAACACATCAGAAATAAAACTAAAAAAAAGCTGACCGACAAAAAAAAAAAAAAATAAAGAACAAAGAAATTAATTCAAGACACACAACCACCACCAACACAATAGTCAATAATAAAGTTGTTTAAATGATGATTATATTGACGGTAGATGATAGGTAGTGGGTAGATGGATGAACGGATTGATGGCAATGATAATTTGCCATTACGTGTATTGAAACTAAAAAAAAAAAACGATGAAATCTTTTTTTCTTCTTTTTCTTACCATGATGACAATAAAAGACAAAATTGGAAATGAAATCTTTTTTTTCTGTTCATTTAATTTTTTCGCTTTGTTTTTCTAAATGGCAATTAAAGTGATAAAAAAACGAAAGAAATAAAACGAAAGAAAATATTCGAATAAACACACAACATTTGTGGATCGACCAATCTGCACAGAAACAAACCAAACATTTCGATTGCCATTCTCATGAGAATTTAAAGCATCATCCTCATCATCAATGACCATCGAATGTAATGAAAAAAAAGATCAATGACAACGATCCATCCATAAATCAAATCATATCCTCAATTATTCTACAACAACAACAACCATAAGATATTATTATTATTATTGGCCCCAAGAATAAGTGGACACTTCAAATTATTGGGAAAAAAGAACGAACAGGAAAAAAAAGTTTTTTTTCCCATTTTCAAGATTTTTAGTTATGGCCAAATGAAGAAAAAAAATTACTCTCCAATATCGATTCTGATGAATTAGCATTTCTATTTTTTTTCTTTTTCCACTCGTTCTCCAGTTTGATTGGTCGACCAATGAAAAAAAAAAATATAATTCAATTAGAATGATTGTGTCGTGGTCGATTCTTGCCAATCTTGAATGAATGAATGAAAAACCCGAAGAAAATGTCAATGAGAAAAGACTTGAAAAGTTTGTAGCTTTATTTTTATATTCTGTTTAGATTTGTGTGTGTGTGTGTGTGTATGTGTCGTTGTCTTACATTTCGGACAATAGCAAATAGATAGTGAAAAGAATGAATGAATGAATAAATTGAAAGCCTAGACTATATAATTTTAAGTAACGAAAAAAAAAAAAAACAAAAAAAAAAAAAATAAATAAAATAACAAGCCAAAAATAACACTGGATAAAAGTTTTCATCAATGAATCATTGACACATTTTTTTTCCTCGTAGAAAAAAAATAAGAAAAAGTTACAAGGTGACACACACAAACACACATACAAACATCGAGAAAGACAGAAAAAAAATAAATCAAATCAACAACAAATTCAATCAGGTCAAAAATATGTTCCGTAGAGATAGAATAGAGATTTTTGTGTTATTTGTGTTGTGTGTGTGTGTGTGTGTGTGTGTGTGTATGGTGAGTGCTATGGGCAATCACAAAATCAATGATAAGACAGATATACGACGAATAATAAATAAATAATAAAGGTAAATCGTTGCTGAATACAGAATTCAGATTCAAAAAAAAAAATAAAAAATTCAACGGAATCAGCAAAAAAATCGATTGAATGAATCGAGAATTAAAGTGTGATGAAATCAAATGAAAATAAAAAAAGTTTTAAAAGGAGGATTTTTTTTGTTTTAGTTTTTTTCTATTTTGCTGATCAAAGTAGATATTTATGACGATGATTGTTTGTTTTGCTTGAAATGATGAATTGTTTTCTCAGAAGAAAAATTGTGAATATTTCAAATTCTTCGTCTTGTTGTTGTTGCTGTTGCTGTTGTAGCGAAATGTTTTTTTCTTGGAATTGAAAAAAATGAAAATGAAATGTTAACGAAATAAAATTTGTTTGTTAAACATTAATAACATGGAAATATAAATGTTCTTTTTTTTCTCATTGCTTGTCTGTATGTGTGTGTGTGTGTGTGTGTTTGTGCGTGACAAATGCTTGACAGATTAACAAATTAAATTCTATTGACGGTAATCCAACAATGATTGATGATTGATTTTTGTTTTTGTTTATAAAAATCATCATATCATCAAGATTCATACATTAATCGTTGATAATGTGGTTGAATTTGCCATGTTGGTAATAGTAAACAAAATTCCAAAGCAACCAAAACACCAAATTCTGTATTCAGCAATTCTTTACGATTCAATCGAAAACCAGATTCAATTTTCTAAATTGCATATTAATAAGAACAAAAAACAATTTTTGACATCAAAATGAATGATATTAAACACACAACAAAAAAAACTAACCTCGATCAAAAGTTTTAAATCGGCTCCTTTGACATCATTCAATTTGGCCGACAACACTAAACAAGCTCCGGCACATAATTTACGATTCTGTTTGGTGATCAGCAATTTTAGGATTAATTTCTCAAAATAAACATATGCCTGTGCGATTGTTAGAAAATCTAATCCACACTATGAATTGATAACAAGAAAGAAAAAGTTATGAGAAAAAAAATTCAAAAAAATAACATTTCGCCAAATACCTCATTTCGGGCAATTTTACACATCTCTTTTTGATTGATCTTAATTTGCTCAATGTTAATTGTATATGCGGAAATCGTTCACGAAATTTATCATTCAATTCTTTTTTCAGATCTTGTGGTTTCACATAATCAATGATTGAAGTCTAAAGAATAAAAATTATTATATCAACACAAATGAACATCCGGGAATGGAATAAAAAAAAAAACATACCACAAACGATGGAAATGCCAATAATGTGGAATGCTTTCCAGCAATCAATTCCGGATCATCCAACAAATTAGGATGATAGACTAATTCTTTCAAACATTGTGGTGAAGCTGTTGCAAAATAAGGCCAATTTACGGTTGAATAATCAATTTTCAAAGGAAATTCCGGCGTATTTGGCAAGCTTGATCCCTGATCATTATTATTATTATTGTGATTATTGATGCAATTATTTGAATTAATTGGACTTGTTCCCAATATCATTGGACTTGTCATTCCATTGGTCGTCAGTGTAGTCGTTGTACCAAATGAATCGTAATGATGATTGTTTCTTGATGATGTAGATGTTGATGATGCTGCTAAACAACGATTCATTACAATCGAATTGTTAAAAGCAATCGCTTCAGATATGTTATTCGGTTTGAATTTCTTATTATTCGGTCCGAGTAAAGGACTGAATGAAATTTCTTCTTCAATAGTATCTAAACCCAATTGTTCATCAATAACACCCATTAATAAATTACATGATTCACCATCAGTAATTGTTGATAATTGACGACTACCTGAAATATGTCTTGTACTACGTTTACTACTTGAATTAAAACTATGATGTTCTTTTGTCGTAGATATTGAATCCGTTCGCGATGAATGATAATGATGAGAATTACGTTTATTATTAATCGGTATAGATGAAAATACCGATACTGGTTGTCTTGTTTTCGTTGTAATAAATACATAATTTCTACCAGTAGAAAGATCGTGTGGATTTTTTTTATTCACACAACATGTCGCATCATGATATGGCCGATTACAAAGACGATGATGAGATGTTGAACTAATGGATTTATGTGAACCAAATGATGTTGTACGTATACGATTTAGGTTACCAGTAAATTTCATTCCTATATGTTGAGGAAAAACATTTTTATGAGAAAAAAAAAATTTTTTTAAAAATTAATTCATTCAAACATTACCTAAATTTTCCATGCTACCATAATTAATTTTACAATGTTTGCCGCCACCATTTGTGTTATTCATTTCATTATTCTCATTCTCTGATGAATCATTTAAACTACTTTTTGTGCTTCCCGTACTAGCTGTACTCAATTCTGTTGTTTTAATTAAACGACGTTGATTGTGTTGATGTGATGCTGATGATGTTTCTTCAATCGAACGAGATAACATTGTTGAACAATGAATTCGATTGTTGTTGGTTGTCGCCACTGTTGTTATACATCGTGTACAACCAAAACAGATTTGTTCGTTGCCACCATTTTTATTCGATGATGATGATAATGATGAACATGGTAATACTATATCAGCTGAATGTGGTTCAACATGATTATGGTTAGATAATTGATTATTAATATTAACATTAACATTATTATTATTATTATTATTGTTAACATTAATTCCAGGTGATGAATTATCCGATGAAAATGAAGATGCAACGGAATTTATTGAATACGAATACTTTTGATTACCAAAATTGCGTACAGAATCGGTTTCATCAATACTTAATGAACGATTATTATTTTTATACAAATTATGATGTTGATGTTGATGTTGATGATGATCATTATCAACATTCATTATTTGTGTGGCCGTTGAATCAATTGATGATGATACATTCCAGTTGATATTTTCTTTTTCCGATACATCGATTGTATTGGATTTGGATGCAAATATTCTGTCACCACCACCATCATCACTAAAGACTTTATTATTGTCATCATTACCTAGATATGATTTTGAAGAAAAAATTATTTTTATTAAAAAAACTGAAATAAATTAAAATTTTTGATATTGGTATTACAAAAATTACTGGATTGTTGATGTTGGTGTTGTTGTAATTGTCCATTTGTTTCATTTGCTGATGAATATTCATCATGATGATGATGATGATGATGATGATGATGCAGATTCAAATTGAATATAACACCAAGATTAGTATCACGATGTGAACCATCCAATGAAATATTCGATAAAAATGTTATTGCGGCAAGACGTCGTCTCGATTGTTGACGTTTAATAGCAGCCGCCATTTGATTCTGTTTTTCGTGGTTTTTTTTATATTTGTTGTTTGTTGATAGTTTTATATATTCGAATTTAATATGAATTCACAATCAAATTTTATGGAAAATAAATTATTTTTTTTTCTTTATTTTCAATGGTAAATTCTTTATTTTTATTTTGTTTTTGAGAAAAAAAAATTTTGAGAAACCAATCTGAGATGACTCAATGACAATTATTATCGTTATAATTATGATGACGACGATGGTAAAGAAAAACCAGGCCAAGATCAGAAGATTAAAACCTATTAGTAATCGATAGAAAATACAAAAAAAAACAACAACAACAGAAAAAAAGTACAAGATAAATTTCGATGATGAAATACTATAAAAAAGCAAATGTAAATACCATACACACACACACACACACACTTACTTTGGACGTGTGAAATATCTTGAAACCAGATATTCAAAACACCAAATGATAATATTATAACGACGTTATATGGTCAAAGTGATTGATAAATAATCAAATTTTTTTTCCTTTGATGACGATTAAATGCAGAAAAAAAACGAATAATGATGATGATGATAAATATTTGATTTCAAAATCAATTTAGCCGCCAAGATTGCAAAAATATATAAAAATTATTCTATAAAACACAAACAAACAACAACAACAAAAAAACAAAGAAAACGGAAGAGCACTTTTTTTTATACTTGCTTCGTGTGTGACACACACACAGACAACACAACACTGTTATTACAAAAAAAATAAACATCACACTTTTGTAGTTTTGTTGTTGTTGTTGTTGTTATTATTATTGTTGTTGTTGTTGCTGTTATAATAAAGGTTTATGTTTAGTCACTAATAACAGAATAAGCATCAAATTTATACACCCATGATAAAGAAATGTTAATGTTTTTGCGCCATATTTTGATATTGGATCAACAATTTGTGATGAACAAAATTTTTGATTATTAATCATAATGATTCCATGATGATGATGATTATTATAACTTTTAAATTTATCATCAATATATTGTTGTTGTTGTTGTCGATATTGAAATTTCAATGAAGATGATGAAACCATGATTACCACTTGTGTTTTATTTTTGTTTTCAAGCTATAGATAGTCTCACTGTAGATGAATAGAAATGAATACTCTGTATTGAAGAATGTCTATGGTGGTCGAATGAATGAATTTTAAATTTTCAATGAGAAAATTTAGTCTAAAAACCAAATTCAATTATCCAGATTTTTTTTAAATGTCAAACAAAACACACGAATATATATGCCAACTGTTTAACCTGAAACAAATGAATTAAAATGAAAAATTTGTTTTTGAAATAATCAAAATTTTACATACCTCGCTTTTGTTCTGGTCATTTATTCAAATACCACCACAAAGATGAACCAAAAAATGTAATTTTTTTTTTGAATTAAAATTATCATTTGGCAAAATAGGCCCCAACTATTTTGACATAGTATAGGCCAGAAATTAATCAGAAAAACATTCGATTAGTTTACATTTTGAACCGATTTTCAATATATATTTATTATGTGATGAAATTTTATGTGTTTGTTGTTGGATTTTACTTTTTGAAATTTTCACTAAACAAAAAAAAACTATTATCGGTTTATAAACACAAAATATAGATGGGCGGACGAATTAAAAAAAATGTAAAAATCCGAGGGCGTTTAATAAATATATTAATAATTTAATCGTTTCTAGTTGACACTAAACACGGTTTACGGTTGATTGATAAATCTGTAAATGAAAAAAAAAAAAAGAAAACATCAATAAAAAAAAATCATAATAATCAATGAATCGAAACACACACAAAAAAATCAAAATGATAATCATAATGATGATTATGACCTCAGTATCATTGTATCACCATGCAATGTGACCAGTGAACAATAAAAAAAAACCGACAAACCGACAAAAAAACGGAATAGATCAATGACACTGAAAACAAAAAAAATAATCAAACCTTTTAATACATCGAGTGTTGTGGTGGTGAGTTTTTGGAAAACCATGGGTAAAAAAAAACCTATGAAAATCAATTCGATTGATTGATTTTTGATTTGCATATTCGTTATTATTATTACTCATTACACGATTCGATATGTTTATGAATCATTGAATCAATTGATCGGAAAACATCAATCGAATGAAAAAAAAACAAAAGACAAAAACAAACAAACTATAATAATATATGACTATAACAACTTTTTAATGCCGGTTCATTCGAATCGAATGTAATGAGAGATAGAATAGAAAAATCGATGTATTGTGTTTTATATATACACACAAATCGCAATTGTTAAAAAAATGCCATAAAAATAACAATAACACTAGCAACATCAAAAAAAAAAAAATGCAAACAGCAGAGTTTACGAATACATCATCATCATCACGAAGCAACTAATTATGGTAACAACTACTACTACTACTACTAAATCATTGGATACAAGTATCATCATCATCATTTAGTTTCTATTCTTAGATAAATGATGATGTTGCAACAAGAGGAAAGGTTAAATGATAAAATTTAAATAAATAAAAAAAATGTACGTTTTATATGTGTCTGGTATGTGGTTTGTGTGTGTGTGTGTGTGTGTGTGTGTGTGTGTTTGTATTGAATGAATGAATCAATGACGATGGCGATGATGATGATGATGAACATATGAATAGGAATGTTTCGCCATGAAATTCGAATATATTCAGGGATATTCAGGGTTTATTGAAAACAAATAAACAAATGTGTTCATTAATCAAGCTTAATGTAGATTTGTTATGAGAAAATAAAAATGGCCAATTCAAGTTCCAGTTTTATTATGAATTTTGTAACCAACGTAAAACGCTAGGTCCATAGACAAAACATTTTTTTGTTTGTTTGATACTTTGTTAAAGTTTTGGCATTTTTTTTGCACAAATCCGGAAACTAATGAAAAAAAATTTTTGAAAATATATTATTTCGATGCCAAATTGGCAAACAGACAAAATAAACACATATACAATATTGTAATGCACAACAAATGAAAGTGGTGTGTGTGTGTGTGTTTGAATTATTTTCATTTTCAAAGAACCGGTATCATCAAACTTACCTAAAGAAAAAAAAAAGAATTATAGCCAGCGATTATTGATAAAATTAAAGGACAAAATAAAAATTGACAAGTTTTGATAATAAGTTGATGATAAAAATAAATTAAATCCTTGTCATTGAATACGATAATTTTCTGCAATAATAACAATGATGATGATGATGATGATGATGACGTTGATAATGGAATGAATAATTTTTTTTTGTTGTTGGTTAATTAAAATAATAATAAACCAACAAATAATAATACCGGTTGGCTGGATAATCGTCGTGATGATGATAAAAAAAATACGTCAAAAAAAAATGTTGTTTATTGCATGTTGTTAATGTAAATCAAATCAATTCACTTACAAAATTTAATATACTTTGAATTCCTTGATGGTTTTGTTCGTTTCGAAAAAAAACCGAATCCTAGAAAATACTGGACAAGGACAAATCTATATAGTATGCAAACAAAAAAGAAATAAACACACACATAATGAAAATTCCAAATCGAGCCAAATATATTGGAGAAAAATTCATTGAAAATAAAAAAATTTTTTTTTTTTGCAAGATGAAAACATAAACAACACACGAACAACTTAATTTAGTGTGTGTGTGTGTGTGTATAAACTCATCGAACGCGCGCGCAATAATGATGACCATTTCCACTTTTTTATATATATATAAATAGCGATTTATCAAATTTGAATTAAAAAATTGACCAAAAACAAATTAATTGGCCGGCTTGTTGATATTCAATACAAGGTCATGGTCCCGCTTTTTTTTACTTGTGTGTGTGTGTGTGCGGTTAAAAGTTCAAAGGTAAAAACATTGAATTTTTTCTTTTTTTTTTTTTATTTCATCATTGTGTTACGTACTCTATGAATTATATCACTCACGATTATCAAATCATTTTGGTGTTTTTTTTTTTTTTTTTTTTTGAAAAAAAGTTTGAATTTAGTTTTTGTCTGAAAAAAAATTCTGAATAATGTCTGATACAGAAGAATCAATGATTGGATCGATGGAAGAGGAAGCATTGAAACGTAAACAACGTCTTGATGAACTACGAAATAAACGTAAAAATTCCGAAACAAATCAATCAGAATCGAATGCAAAAAATTCGATACAATTGCCCAAGTAAATTTTTTTTTTATTGTTTTTGAAAAATTTTTCACCCTGTTAATCATTGTTAATTTTCTACATTGTCAAAATAGACCAAAATTTCGTAATTATAATCCATCTGATGAAAGTTTAAAGGAAAATTCATTGCCAAAAGCAAGACCTGAAAATGGTATGATTATTGATCTAGATTCTAGAAAACATTGATTGATTGAATTTTTCTTTCCATTTGGTAAAAATAAACAGTCAAAGATCAATTAACAGATGAATTGGAAATTGCCAAATCAAATGATGCACTTGTTGATGACATTGTAAGTTTATCATTTAATACAATTGATTTCAAACTTTTTTTTACCTGTCATTGTTGTTTATCTTTTCTGTTTTTTTTTTGAAACAAACAACAATAGGATTTGACAAAGTTGGCACCGAAAAAAATTGATTGGGATCTAAAAAGGAATATAGCGAAAAAATTGGATAAACTGGAAAGAAAAACACAGATTGCCATTGCTGAATTAATCAGTATGTTTTTTTGTTGTTGTTGTTGTTGATGGCGGTCACAAAAATCATAAGACTTTTTTTTGCCATCCATAAATTTTAGCTTGTCATTGTTATTGATTTGTTTTGTTTTTTTTATTTCATTTGTCAAAAAACTAGGAATCCGATTAAAATCGAGTAAAATTGAAGATCTTGATCAAGCAACTGAAGATCTGGAATCAGCTAATCGAAATATAGATTTAGCCGATGATGATATTGACGATTGATGGGCAAAACCATTGAATTTTTCCAATTCAATTTTAATTTCAATGTATATAAATTAAAAATAAATTCATTTGAATTCCCTGAAAATAAAAAGAAAAATTCAATGACAAATCAAATTTTTTTTCAATTTCATTCGAATTTTTTTTTTTTTTTGGGGGGGCATAATCGATAGTTTCGTTCGTCACCTGATTGTGTCATTGAATTGTGTTTTGGATGATCGGCTGAAGATCTGATTTTTGTATAAGAATTTTTTTTTGTATATTATAATTTTCTTTTTGCAAACAAACAAAGAAAAAATGGCCGACGGAAAGAAACAATATTGGGAAAGTCCCGAAGAAATTGAAAAAATTATGAAACGTCGAGAGATTCGTCATCGACTTCAACAGGAATTTAATCGAATCAATTACAATCCATATCGTATGCAACAACATATTGAATTGGTAAATTTTTATTTTGTCATTCACATTAATTTCTTATCATTTCTAATTTAAAAAAAAAAAATTGATCCGATAACCATTGATAGCTCGATCCTGCCATTAGTCGATATTCGGCTATGCGTGCATCAATTTATGAACATTGGAAACCAAATTGGAGAGGATTCTGGAAATGGAGTTTTGTTTCATACATACCAATTGTTTTAATGGCTTATCGTTTAACTGGTTACATGGTTAGTGTAAAACAAATTTATATGGATTATTCTAAATTCTATTTATTTTTTTTCTTGCAGCAAGAAGTTAATGCTGATTGCCGTACTGGTGCAATTCCATATGAAAGACGAGAATTTCGAAGAATTTAAATAAAATTTAAAAAAAAATACATAATAAAACAATTTAGCCTATTTTCTTGCCATGTTTAGCCATTAAATAATGATGTATCATATGTTGGTGTGATCAATTATAAATTGATTAAATCAAACTTTTTTTCTTTCTCACTAATTTCTTGAATAAGTTTTTATTTTTGTTTTTTTCAAAAATAAAATTTTTTAAATATATAGAAATAAAAATCATTGAATAAATGCAATATTTATGTAACAGAGCAACGAGGACAAGGAAAACAAATGATCAAAAAAAAATAAAATAAAATTATTCCGAGAAACAATAAATGACTTAGCAATGAATGTGTGTAGGTGTGTGATTTATTTTCGAAGATGTTTCAATAATGGTTCTGGATTCAATACAACACTTGTTGACGTTGTTGTCGTTGTGACCAAAGAACTGGTCATTTCCATTGACGACACAATAACATTATCCTATGTGGGAATAAATTTTTATTCAATTTGAATTTTTTTTTCTTGTAAATCTTGATATATATAAAATATTGAAACAACCAATCAATCAAGCAAGCAAGCAAGCAAGCAAGCAGAAGGAACAAATAAACAAACAAACAAAAAATTGATAAAAATATCACCAATTTTCTATTATTAATAAATATATATATGATATAATAACATCGTCTATGTATAATTCGTCTACGAAATGAAATCATTATCATCGTCAAATAAAAATTTTCGTGACTAAAAAAACAAAATGAAAATTAAATATTGATATAAATTGAATGAGGATAAGGAATTGAATTTTTTTTGATGCAAAAATATAATAATAATTTAACTATGTGAAATTATATACGCACCGAAGAATCTGTGAATGAAATTCGATTCGTTGAATTTATGGGAGATTTATTTCGATTTTTATTCATTGTTGTTGCTGATGATGATGACGACGATGGTGATTGTTTTTGTTGAACATTCAATGTTTTTGGAATGATTTCAGCTACCGTCGTAGTAGTTGGTATAGAATTATTATTAGTAAAAAGATTATTGTTGTTACCGTTACTCGTATTATTATTATTATTATTGTTGTTATTTTGTAATTGATTATAATCAAAATAATTTCTTCGTTGTGAATATGGATCTAATTTTGTTTCCTCATGATTCTGATGTAATTCATTATTCAAAAACATTATATCCATCTAAACATATTTGAATGAAAAAACAATAAATTCAATTGATACCAGTATGAAATGTTTAAATAAGGAATTAAATTAAACCTTTTGATTATCTGAATGAGTGGTTTCAGTTCCTAGAAATTCATCTTTATCATTTAATTGTTGTGTCGATGTTAATAAACGAGATATTGGTAAACAAAATTGCGGCATCGTTTCCATCAATGATGGCCGTGAATGTGTTAATAATGGTTTCATGAAATTTACATCGAAATTATACCATTTACGTACTAGCCATGCTTTTTCATATGCATTTTGATGATCCATATGATTTCGATTATTTGTTATTTGATTATGATTAGAAATTGATATATCATCAGTCGGTGTAATCAATTCACTAGAAAATGATCCAGATCTTTGACGAAGACCATTAAAACCTTGTGATGATGGTTGTTGTTGTTGACTATTAGATGTTCCTTGAACATCATCATTAGGATGAGATTCATCAACATTGGTTGATATTTGAAAATAATGCAATAATGGTTGTATGGTACAGCCACAGAATATAATTGAAATTATTGAAATCATCGATGTTGCCGTCAACATTAAACGACGTGGTGCTGTCAATGTATTTCGAATGGCCAATGCGAATGCCATTGCACCTGTGGGAAAAGTAATGGATCATTACATTAATTTTCAGAAAAAAAATAAAAAAAAATGAGAAAAATCAAACACCAACCTCGTAGGCCAGAAAAGAATAGAATATGTTGAAATTCGGTAGGAATTTTGTTCGTACGGCCTAAATTCAATAGATAGCTCAATGGATATATATTGAGAGCACGTCCTATTATTATAGCAACAAATGTGGTCAATATGAATCCTGTGTTCCATAAATGTTGTGGAAATGTAAACATTGAAACACCAATATAAGCAAATATAAAATTTTCGGCAATAAAATTAGCCATAGCAAATAATGATTTTGTTCGTATTCTTGATTCTTGACTTAAATTATTATACGTATAATGTGCTTGACATATTCCACAGAATAATACGGAAACAATACCAGATAATTCAAGAACTTCAGCAAGAAGAAAACTTGCATAAGACATCAATAAGAATAGTGAACTTTCCAATAATGGATGATCATAAAGACGTGTATGTTTCGTAAGCAATGCTGTAATGCAACCAAAAAATGCACCTTGTATCAATGAAAAGAAGAATATGTTTAAGAAATATGTTGCAGCATTTGATATTGCAAAGAAAAATCCGGATGAAATATGTTCCTTGAATTTTTCAATCAAACTGGCCAATACAATAGAAACAACATCATTAAAAATTGATTCACCAAAAACTAATGCATTCAATTTGACATCAACACGTAGATCGGTAAATATAGCCAAAACGGTTACAGGATCAGTAGCTGAAATGATAGCACCAAAATAAAGACAATCAGTAAAATTGAATTCTTTCATAGTGATTGGCATCAAATATTTGACCATATAAAGAACTAGACCGACAACAAAACATGAGATTGTCGTTCCAATAAATGCATATACAATAATGGCGCCTAAATTTCGAAAGAAAGATTTCTTCTTCAACGAATATCCGGCATTGAATACAATAACCGGTAATATAAGATTGAAAAATATTTCCGGATCAAATGTTGCTTTTTCAGAGAAATGTTGATTCTGTGGCATTGTTGAATCGGTTTTTGGATTGAATAATTCTCCTTTAAATACATATGCATATGATCGTTGTTCAGTCGAGCTGGTTTCATTACTCATGGTTATTTTATAATGAAGTGGTAAATTCCATACAAATTTCGGCACATCAAATGTTATCCATAACATATCGGGTGGTGCATCCGAAGTTAAATTCACTGTTTCATCTTTTGGACTGACTCTGTTTTTTTTAGGAAAAAAAATAGATTCAAGCGATCATGAGTTTGTTAAAAATTTTTTTTATATCTAACCTTAATTGTGAAACTTTTGTATCCGAACCACTATAACGAATTATTGCACCAACAATTAATCCATAAATAATGGCCAGACCAGTTTCATGAAAGAAATCATGCAAAAATCGAACACGTTTATGTTTGAATAACCATACGGTACAAACAATAATGATCATAATGGTTACATATGATAATAAATTCAATGAATCTAAACGATGTATTTCACGTGCTTTTTGATCTTGTCGTATGACTAAAAATTCTGATGTTTGTACACCAATAATAAAACCAATGATTAGAATGAATAAATGATGAACATATCGTAGCCATGATCTTGTTGTTGTTATTGATCTTGAAAATGGCATAATGTTGAATTTCATTTTTTTGTTTTGTTTTGTTGTTTTTGTTTAAAGATGATCACGAATAAATTATACATTCGACACATTCAAATATATCACTTTCGAATAGTTTTATTATGACAAATTTGTAACATTTTTTATTTACGACGTTTGTTGATGAGTTAGTTAGTGATAGAGAGAGAGAGAAAAAGAGATGAAATACCACAAAATAAATTGAAATAACTATTTAGAAATGGCGAGAAAAAAAACGAATCGAACGGGAAAATAAACATATTGTCAAAAAAAAAAAAAAAAACAAATTGATAACTTACCAATAATAATAACAAGAAATATTTTTATTATCACAAGAAACAATCAGCGTATTTGATTATGATGATGATAATTATATAATAATCTATCTATATTTCGTACTATAATCAATCAATCAATGAATCATCAAAGTGTTGAAATTTACATTATTTACATCAGATGACAATGACAATATGTATTGGTGTTTGCCAAACGATGACGCGACTACAATTTTTTTTTATATTGTGAATCAAAAAGGGGGAACGAAATAAAAAAAAAAATTTTTCTTGTTGTTGACGACGACAATAAAAAAAAACGGTGCCTTGTTGTTGTTGAAGAAAATTATAGAAAAAAAGTGGTGAAGCATACACACATGAACAACAACAACAACAACAACAAAAACAAGATCAAAGCCGTATGCACCAAAAACCAATTTAATATTGTGCTTTTGGATCATGAGATATTTTTGCCGAAAAAAAATATGAGATATATAGCAACAAAAACAACGACAACGACGACGACGACGACGACAACGAAATAATTCATGAGAAAAAAAAATATGTTTACTTCTAATTTGTTACAATAGATGGCGATAAGTAATCGATTTGTTAAAATAGTTTTATAAATGGGTTGAAATAGTGAGCAAACATGCTCACACACACACACACACGCAAAGCTAAACTTCCGTCTTTCTTTCGCTGTGTTTGTTGTGACTCGTGTGTGTGAATTCGAATTTGTTTTTTTGCCATTTTTGTTTCAAATTTTGATATCAAAATGCAAATTTTCATCCGCCATCAAGGTACCCATGTGGTCGAATGTTCCAATGATGATTTTGTTTATGGATTGAAACAAAAAATTGAACAACTTCATCAGATTCCAGCTGAAGAACAAATCCTCTATCATAATGGACATGCATTGGATGATGATGAACGTATTGTCGATTGTTTGACAAATGGTACGAATATTGAATTAAATCTACGATTATTGGGTGGTAAAGTTCATGGTTCATTGGCTCGTGCCGGTAAAGTACGTGCACAAACACCTAAAGTTGATAAACAAGAAAAGAAAAAGAAACCTACTGGTCGTGCTAAACGTCGTTTACAATATAATCGACGATTTGTCAATGCTGTACGTGTTCCAGGACGTAAACGTGGACCTAATGCTAATGCCTAATTAAAAATGATTGTCATTTTTCTTCAAAAATTGATTGAATAAAAAAATTTTTTAATCAAAAAAAACAAAAACGTATTATGATTGTGTTTTAATATTTAATGAAATTTGAGAACAAAAATGAATTTTTTTTTGTAAATTTTACAGCATTTTGAATACATACACATCGAATGTGATTTGCATAAGAAAAAAAGGTTGAAAGATAGACAAATTTTTTTTCAAGTGATGGAATCATTGCCATTCAAAATGCAATTCATCCATTTTGAATTTTTTTTCCCCCACTTGTTAACGAAGTAGTAGTAGAAGAAATTAATCTTCTTTTGATTGTTGTTGTTGTGTATTTTTACCATCACAAGCGACAATTTTAACCTTATCGATTTTAATCAATTCTGTTGTTTCACGAAATTCAGCATCTTTCAATACAATTGTCCATACATTATCACAATAACGATATGTTTTTAAATGTCCTGCCTGATTTTTTTTTTCAAAAAATTTTTTAAATTTAATGAAAATGGGAGAAAAAAAAATCGAAACAACTTACCTTAAATGTTAATCGAGATCTAACACGAGTAGAAAATGCAGCATTAATGGCTTTATCAAAATGTAATAAAACCTTTTGGGCCAATTGAGGGCTAACCTGTCCAGACTGAATTAGTATGAAAATTAAAAAAAAAATTTAAAATCAATTCAACAATCCAATTACCTGAACAAATTCATCCAATGTTTCTTGTAATGTATTACCAATCGTGGTATTTCGATATAATTGATAACTCATTTTTGAATCGTTAAAACAAAATCGATTTGAATATAGAAATTATATTTATTTTCTATAGAAAATTTGTTTTAAAAATTTCAGAACTAATTTTACAGTAATATCTATTGCATTGTTTCTTTTCGTTTTGATAATGAGAAAAAAAAAAAATTCAACAATTTGCTGTTGATTTATTTTGTCACATATAAAAAAACAAAACAAAACAAACGAAATGATGATCGCAATGAAATGCATAAAAACAATGAAAAAAAAATCCACGATACGTTCATAAAAAACGTTATATCAAATTTTTACATGTGATTTTTTTTTTCACTTTAATTCGAGATTCTTTGCATCAATTTTTTTTCAACTGGAAAAAATTATCCATCGATTGTTGGGATATTACTCACATAAATATTGAATTCAAATTATAACATCATGTTTCGATCATTATGGAATGGTTTTAGTGTGATTGGCTCGAAATTTTTTCTTCCAAAATGTTCAAGTTTTAATCATTTTCCAGAATCGAATCTAAATTGTATGTATCTTTGATTTTGTCATTTTAAATGATGCAACCATTTTAAATAAACACATTTTACAGTAATAACAAACAGGTTTGAACTTATAAAACGTTCATTAATGATCGAATCTTTTCATGGTCAGAAAACAACGTCCGTAAACACAGCATCGAATCAGGGACAGCAAAAATTTGTTGAAATTCATTCGCATCCATTTGTTGGTACACGAGAAGATTGGGAAGAAGAACGATTTCTATTACGTATTCATAAAGCTGGACCTAAAGAAAGACATGTACGACGACATCCATTAGATAATCGACAACAGATGCGTGGTGTAGTGTTGAAAACATTGATTCGTAAGCCAAAAAAACCAAATTCAGCTAATCGTAAATGTGTACTATTACGATTATCAAATGGCAAAGAGGTTACAGCATTTGTACCAGGTGAAGGACATAATCTACAAGAACATAGTGTTGTTTTAGTACAAAAGAAACGGGTTCGTGATGTTCCTGGTTTGAAAATTCGTGTCATTCGTGGTGCATATGATTGTGCTCATGTTACTAAAAATAAATAGATCATCATCTACAAAAAAAAATAATGTTGATGTTTATATTTATTATTGTTAGCAATCAATAGATGAATTGTTTAATGTTTATTTTGTAAATAAAAAAAAATCATTTAATTTGAAAATTGCAAATTTTTTTTGTTTTTTAATTCAACTATATACACATTGTTTATGAATGGTTTTCTAGTTGCCAGCAATACTTCCGCGAGTACACGTTTTTTCTTTCGTTCTTTTTCTTTACATTTCTAAACGTGTGCTGGCATTGTATTTGATTTTTCATTATTTTGTTTTTTGAATTTATTCCAAATTTTTGAAACCAAAGTAAGTAAATTTTTTTCCCAATAATTCTGTTAATGCTATGATCAAGTTATTCTATACATTTTTATAGTCACAAAACAAACAATTTAAATTGAATAAACATGGATAAAATTCGTTTGGCTAAAGTATCAAAAGTTTTGGGTCGTACTGGCTCACAAGGACAATGTACACAAGTTCGTGTAGAATTTTTGGATGAATCATATCGTTCAATCATACGAAATGTTAAAGGACCAGTTCGTGAGGGTGATATTCTTACCCTATTGGAATCGGAACGTGAAGCCAGAAGATTACGTTAGGCATTTTTTTTTTTGATAGGAATATTTTTATCATTATAAAAACGAAAATAATGATCAAATAATTTGAAAATAAATGGAATAATTTTTTTTCCTATTCACACATCGAGTTTACCTAGTCATTTTTTTGGTTTTTAAAAGCCAAAATATCTTGTGATCAATGAAATCATTGATTTGATAAAAATCACGATTTCTATTGTCACAGTCGCTGTGTACATATGTCTGTGTTTCGAGATCATCGATGTGATTGATATATTTATAAAATGATGACGCCTTTTCGTACATCATTGAAATATGTGACCAAAGAATCTTTGATTCTTCACCGGTCATTATCATCATCATCATCAGCATCATTATCATCATTAACGAAACAAAAACCAAAAACAAACAATGATGCTAATTTTCAACCATTATTGGATACATTTGGACGTCGTCATGATTATCTTCGAATTTCATTAACGGAAAGATGTAATCTTCGTTGTAAGATACTTTTGAGTTTTTTCTGATTTTTTTTGGTAAATGAAAAATTTCACTATTTATATAGGTCTTTATTGTATGCCCGAAGAAGGTGTACAACTTTCACCTAAATCTAATCTCTTGAATAATGAAGAAATTTATCGTATGGCAAATTTATTTGTTCATCGATTTGGTACGAAAAAAATTCGTTTTACCGGTGGTGAACCATTAATTCGTAATGATATTATCGATATCATACAGAATGTTTCGAAATTAAAATCAAATGGATTGGAAAAAATTTCCATCACAACCAATGGAATTCTATTCGCACGTTATAGTTCAATGCTTCGCCAGGCTGGTCTTGATTCTGTGAATATTAGTTTAGATACATTGAATTCTGATCGATTTCAATTAATTACACGTCGAAATGGTCTTGCCAAAGTAATCAAATCAATTGAAGCAGCTTTACGTGATGATTATGATTCGGTTAAAATTAATTTTGTACCCATACAAGGCCTTAATGATGATGAAATTGAAGATTTTATCCAGTTGACTAAAGATTCTAATTTAGAAATTCGTTTCATTGAATATATGCCATTCGATGGTAATCGTTGGCATCCAGATAAAATGATTAGTTTCAAACAATTAATCAATCGAATTCAATCACGATTCAATGTTGAACGTCTTCCATTACGTACAATACATGATACAGCTGTATTATATCAAGTTCAAGGCTATGTCGGTACAATTGGATTCATTAATTCAATGACCAATGCATTCTGCGCCGGTTGTAATCGTGTACGTTTAACAGCTGATGGACATTTAAAAGTTTGTCTATTTGGTAAGGATGAATTATCATTGAAACAAGCCATTCATAATGGTTTAAATGATGACGAAATCGATGTATTGATACGTGAAGCCGTGAAACGAAAGAAAAAACAACATTCCGGTGCATTGAACATTGCCAAAGATAATACCAATCGGCCAATGATATTGATAGGTGGGTGATTTTAAAAATCCGTTATTTATTTTGCTGTTATTTTGTTTTCTTATTTTATTTTGTTTTCGTTAAATTAAATTATACTGTTCAAAACAAAACCAAAAAAAGATCAACGAAAATTTCTTTCCACATTATCGTCGTCTTCGAATGATAAAAATTTCACTCACATTGATCCAAATGATGGACAAGTTAAAATGGTAAATGTAGGTGAAAAGTCTTCTACACGAAGAATAGCACGTGCACGTGCACGAATCGAAATCGGCAGCGATGTTATGAATAAAATTGAATACAATCAAATCGGTAAAGGAAATGTATTGACAGTGGCTAAAATTGCCGGAATAATGGCAGCAAAATCCACTAGTAATCTAATACCATTATGCCATCAATGTCCATTAGATCGGGTTGATGTACAATTTCATTTGGATTATTCAAATGAAGAAATCATTGTCGAAAGCATCTGTGAAACAACATGGAAAACCGGTGTCGAAATGGAAGCATTAATGGCCGTTTCGATTGCTTCATTAACCATTTATGATATGTGTAAAGCATTGAACAAATCAATTGTAATTAGAGATTGTTGCCTAATGGCTAAAACTGGTGGAAAATCCGGTGATTTTAATCGTGTATAATTAAAATACATTATCATCATTATCTTTAAGAAAAACAAAAGTTGGTTATCTTAAATTGTTGTATTTTTTGTTGATATTCCACAAGAAAAATCCTGATTCATTATGGAAACGTCAATCACGTGAAATTCACTTTGTTCGGTTGTTTCATAATCATTCATAGTCAATGTCCATGTAATTTTTCTTGAACATTCTGTTTGTTCATTAGTCATATGAAAAGTGTGTTTAAAAAAGGCAGCAATTTGTTCCAATAATGGTGATGATGCTCCTTGACAAAGTTCATATGTTGAACAATTGAAAAATACGTTTGCATCGATTCCGGTCAATCGTGATAAAATTAAACCATTATCATAGTCTTGTAATATAATGATGAAATCCAAACATAGAATTATGTTTTGTTTATGACATTTTGGACATTTTAAACACTCCATATTACTTGATGAGGCAGTATTTGCATTGTTTGACGATTCATGATTGATACATACTAATTGTTGATCTTTTTCGGTCAACCAATCAGAAGATTTCATTAGAAATGATTCAAATGAATCACGATATTCACATCCATTTTCAATGCAAAAAACCAGGCAAGCATATTTACGAAGTGAAGACATTGATTCAAAAATGTTATAACAATCTTGACTATATAATGTTAAACTATGAAATTTAGCATCGATAAGAAAAAATTGATTTTCTGCTTTTTCACGTTCAATAAGCTCGGCGAATGAATTCAAACGAATAAATGATGAACGAACATTTTTTTGTGAATAAAAATGACGATAAATAATTTCTTTTTGATATTTTGTATATTCATAATGTGGACACGGTACATTATTGATATCGGATCCAAGTATTGAATCATCCAATGTATTTGAAAAATAAAATGATGTTGAGCTCTGTTGATCAGTATTTCCATTGTGCTTCTTCCGTTTGGCCGGTGAACATTCTTGGTCGATATTATCGCTAGAAATTTCAATTATTTGTGATAATGAATGATCGAGCCGATTTTCTTGATCAAGAGTTTCTCCTAGTACACATTTCTTTTCGATTTGTGTTTTCAATGCAATCGCTTTTTTTAGATGAATAAACCAAAAAAGATAAAGATTAAAATTCAGATTTTTTTTTGGCCAAATTAAACTTACCTAATTCTGAATTTTCATCAACCAAACGAATACAACGACCATAATTGAGACCATCAAAAACAATAAATGAATGTTTAGCATAATAAAAATTATCTGATTTGATCAACAAATTATAAACGACGATAAAATCTAACGGTTTCAGAGCAGTAGCAACAACACGATGAATTCCATATACCGAAATGAATACAATTCCATGTTGATCGTAAATTTTTCGAATAAATTCTTCACTATAAACATTTGGTTTTGATTCACTTCCATTCAATGTATCAATGATTTGTCTGACTTTAATCAATTGCATACATGGATAATCTTCGAATGGACAGCCATTCCAGCAGGCAAGAATGATACGATTATCGTATTTAAATTTACACAATACCTGAAATGCTGTATCAACTAAATACTGATATTTTGTTCTTGTAGATCGAACATTGGCCTCTAACAAAAAAGCAACATTCAAATGTGTAAGCACTGTAACTTTATTGCGATCTTCATCGGTAAATTCTCGTCCATTCTGGTCTACGAAGAATGGATTGAAAATTTCATCTTTGAATGATTCAAAAATGACTATGTCCTCGAAAACGTTACAAGTTCTGGTGAAATCTTCATGTAAAAATAGTTTATTAATTCGAATAATATCACCAGTACGAGTGGGAAGACGAGGGGATTGATTAACAGAAACACATTGAGGTCTTGTATGAATAATTGGCCGGATGAATTTGATGGCAAAATCTTTTCTCGTTTCATCCATAACAATTAATACTCCTTTTTCCGGATCATATGACTGAATTATGGCAAAAATCGAAACTATTATCGAATTTTTTTCCAATGGATATTCATTGAACACATCTTCAAGAGTCAAATATTGCGATGGTGAAGATTTGACAATTTTTTCATGATTATCAATAACATTTTCACCGTTAGATTTTCGACATTTTGATTGCTGTACCGGTGTACTGGCCATAATTGGATTAATCATGTCCATTTTCTGAATCTAAAAAACTTGATGATTAATTATTATTATTATTATTATTAATACATCAACAATTGAAACACGTTTCGAATGTTTTCGTTTGAAATTTGATTAAAAAAAACAACTGCAACTATTTCGACCCAAAATGGTTTTTTGAATGTTTTTTTTATTGAATTTTTTTTAAATTTAAATTCCTAAAAATAAATCAATTCATTCTGATTTTAATCGAGAATTATTACAAAAAATATAACCTTGCGTTGCTAAATGTCTTACGATTTGTGCTAAATTATGACAATCATCAATACCGGAATGAGCACGGCCAATTGGTTGGATTTCTAAACGATCCAACATGAATGATTGACTTTTGGGCCATTCATTCGTATGATCGACAAATGATTTTTTCACATTTATCCATGATTTCATATATGGTGGTACATCAAAATTACATATCTTACATTGTGTTGGAAATATTTTTTTCAGATCCCAATCACCTGAACATAATAAAATAATAAAATTTTATACACTTTGTGATGAACATTTTTGAATCAGCTTACCACATGTAATGAATGTAAATCTTGAAATTGGTGCTTGATTATCATTGATTAATCTGGTTTCCAATAACCATTTTTGAAAATCCTTAAAAACTTTTGAAAATCTATCGGAATCATCAACCATATCTTGTACGATACCAGTCAATTCAATGCAGAATGATGTAAGATTTGGATGAACAGTTGGTCGTACATAACGATGAAATGTGTCGACAATTTCATATGTTCTACAATCAAATTTCAGCACTGGAAATTCAATTATTTCCATCGGTGTTAATTGTGGTCTATCGCATGTTGCCTATGAAAATTCATTAACTTTATTATTTGAACACTTCAAAAAAGGGAAAAATTTCATTTACCTCAAAATCTAGAATAAGAAAATAATCAAAATTTTGTTGTTGCTGTTCTTTTGGCCACGTTTGTTGAATAGTTTGTTGTTGTTCACCACCACCAACAGTATGGAACAACCGAAATGATTCGTAAAACATTCGTGATAATTGATCCATTTTAATCATTCCATTCATTTTCCATTTCACATCAATAGATCGGTGATTAAATTGTCTGAAAATTGTATTGATAACATTATTCCTTTCAATGATAGAAATCAATTAATCAATCAATGAAATTTTAAAAGATAGATATTAAATTATTCTTACATTTGATAAAAAAAAATGAAAAATTTTCTGTAACCAAAAAATATTCAAAATAAACAAACACACATATGATTCTCATATTAATTGAATTTATAGAATCAAGATGGCGTTAGAGAAAAGAATTCTATGTTTATTCGAATACTCGGTGATTTGGTATCATCATCATCATCATCATGATATGCCACTCTCTCTTTCTCATTTTTCTTTTTTCTCTCTCTCTCTCTGAATCTCAATATGTATTTGATACATGCATGCAATTGTTATGGAAAATTATTGATTTAGCCAGAAAAAAAAGAAGAAAAATTAACTTTAAAACAATCAAATTGATCAATTATTATTACCAATGGTGATTATCATTACGAAAACAGCAACAACAACAAGTTGATTTGAGTTGATTAGAATCATCATCATCATCATCATCATCATTGTTATCGTTATGGTGGATTGATATTGTTCATTGCGAACCATTGGTTATCAGCATTGTGTTCAATCATCATTTTAAGTTAATTTATTTATTACCAGATTTTATTGTTGAGTTTTTTTTCTGTTAAATTATAATATATCTATCGACAAATTCAATCAATGGGACAAACATTGCGAAGCATTTCGAATAGTTTTAATAATCATACATCAACAAAAAATGAAAATCATCATGAATTAGATAGTAAGAATTTATTTTTTTCTGTTACATTTGAATGTTTTTTAAAAATTTCAATTTTTTCCTTTTTAGAACTTCCTGATTTAGCATCATGGCCACCAGAATTAAGTTTAAATGTATTGAAAAATTTAAATGCAACTGAACTTTGTTTAGCTGCTTGTGTTTGGAATGAATTAGGACGTGATGATCTACTATGGCAATCATTATGTCATTCTGAATGGCCATATACATCGATATATTTTCGTAAGGAAAAACCATTAAATTTTTCCTATCACAAATTATATCTAACATTGGATGAAGCTACCGTTACGTTCAATGCTGATTGTCATCTGGTAAACCAAAAAAAAACATTGTTTTTTCCATTTTTGATTTTTTTTCGTTTTCATCGTAAAATATAGGGGATGAATTATTTTTTCAAAAATAACCTTATCGAAGATGATCCCGGTGAAATTGCTAAATTATTTTTTCGTGCAAAACCATTAGATCGTACACAGATTCGTCGTTATATACAATCAGATCTCGATGTTCTTGATCATTTAATCAATTTATTTGATTTTTCCAATCAAACCCTTTCGGATGCATTACGGCATTATTTTTCTGTATTAGAAGTACCAAGTCGTTATGATCATTATTTACATAAAATTGTCGAAAAATTTGCTTTTCGTTATGTTCAATGTAATCAACCAATCACATCGAATCGACCAATAATTCATACATCGGAAACGATTTATGTTCTTTGTTTTTCATTGATTATGCTTTCAGCTGATCTATATAATCCACAGATTAAGAACAAAATGTCTAAACGTGAATTTATACGTAATGTTCGTCGTGCATTACGTGTACAAGATGATGAATTCTATGGCCATCTTTATGATGATGTTTATCTTCGTGGTCATATAGCTCATGGTGGTCATGATCATAATCATATGGTACAAAAATCATCATCATTATCATTGGGTCATTCATTTGAAAACATCCACCCATATCACCATCACCACCACCACCACCATCATCATCATCATCAGCAGCAGCAGCAACAACATCAACAACCTCGTTTTCATATGATTCATTGATTAGTGATATAAATCCAATCCAATTATTATTGAACTAAAAAAAATCTAGTCACACACATACACACACACACAGACAAACACATAACCCATGCATTACGCAATATTAATGTATTTTTTTAATAAAAAAAAAACATATTCATTCTCATGATTTAGTTTTTTCTAATCAATTGATGATAATAATAATAAAAAAATTTTATTATCGGATCACACAGATTTTACTCTTTTTTTTTGTTTCTCTTTTTCGACATTTAACCGAACAGGTTCCTATTACACACATCATCATTATCACAATTATAAAATTGAAATTACGTAAAGGTCAAGCACACATATGTTTGTGTCCTGTTTATTTTATTTTTTTTTTTGTGTGTGTGTGTGTGTTTAGCAAAAGAGCATCTAGTATTTCAAATCAAATGAAATCATTTATTATCTAAATAAAATAAATTAGATTCATCCTGTCGATTGTTGTTCGAATTTTTTTTTTTTCATTCTGAAATTTCAATTTCCCCTTTTATGTAACCTTCAATATATTATCATACACACACACACTGTGAGTTCCACAAAAAAAATCAAAACAAACAAACAAGCAAAAAAAACGTGAATGAATACACGTTATAACGTTAATTCACACAAATTACGAATATAATATCAATGCGCATGCTGAAGATTTTTTTTTTCTCTAATAAAAATTTTTTCTTGCTTATTTGGCTAAATTGTTTGCAAAATAATCAAACACAAATAAACACAAACACAAAAAAATGAAACTATTTGGCTATCAACCACCGAAACGTGTATGGTGTTGGTAGCTATAATTTTTTTTGTTGTTGTTGTTGTTGTGATGATAATGATAATGAAAACGTGCCATGTTGTCACAAATTTTGAATGTGAATAAACAAAACAGAAAAAAAACATCTGTCGTCCATGTATTGGCGGTGGTGGTGGACAGCCATTGTTTTTTGGTTTTTGTGAACGACAACAATGAGAAAAAAATGTTGAAATTTTGAAAAATCATCATCATCATCATATTCATCAAATAAATTCACTGATTGATTGAATGAATGAATGAATCCAATTTGATTAAATCTCGATATAATAATCGAGTATTTGCTAATGTTTGCCAATTTTTTTTCTATTGCTATATACCAATTGTGTAATCTTATCATTTTTTTTTCTTTCATTTTGGTTGGTTGGCGATTTTTTTAGAGTCCTGTTGTTGCCAACATTTCTTAATATTTACATTTGTGATGGTGATGTGTGTGTTTGTGTGTGTGTTGACTGAAAAACAACGGCAATAAAATCAATATATATAATTTTTCAATAATCAGTTGTTGTTTTGCGTTTTGTGTGTGTGTGTGTGTAAAAAGGAAACGAATGTTTGATTTTAATCACTAAATATTTGAAAAATTCTCTGATTTTGTTATTACATCGAAAAAGACAACAACAACGACAACAACAACAACATCGACTACGAATGTAACAATGTCACATTGGGAACGACAATTCTTCATCATAACACGGACGATTGGATTAATTTTGATTTATTATTCATTTTCAATTGGAATCACATTCTATCAGAAATGGTTTATCAAAGTAAGTTGATTATTATTATTATTTGTGTATGGATTGTAAATACGATTCTTCTTACAGCGTTTCCATTATCCATTGATTATTGTTGTTTGTCATTTGATCATCAAATTCTTGTTGGCATCATTATTTCGTTTGATATATCGACAGACAACTGGCATAACAAGAATTACATTACATTGGAAAGATAATGTTCGTCGAATATCATTACCAGGCATTGCTTCAGCATTGGATATTGGATTTTCCAATTGGAGTTTTGAATTCATAACGATCTCATTGTATACAATGACTAAGTCAACATGTATCATATTTATACTTGCATTTGCATTATTATTAGACCTCGAAAAAAAGGTAAATTATCAATTAATTAATTGTTTGATCATTGAAATTTATTATTTCATTTCCTTTTTTTCCTACCAGCGATTATCGTTAATCGTCATCGTATCCTTGATATCAATTGGTCTCTTTATGTTTACCTATAAGTCAACACAATTTCAATTGAATGGATTTTTACTTGTACTTAGTGCATCGATGCTTAGCGGCCTTCGATGGACATTATCACAGAAATTGATGCAACGTAAAGAAAGTTGTATGTGTTAGTTGATTTTTTTCGATGTTTTTTTTTTAAATTTAAATTCAATTTTTTTATTTATATTTATTTATTATAGCATTAAGCCATCCAATCGATATGATGTATCATATACAACCATGGATGATTATTGGTCTATTACCATTGGCATTAATTTTCGAAATATTACCAGCCATACATTATATTAATCATCATCATCCTGTTACATTGAATAAAAATGATTTTCCCACATTGGAAATGATACCAGATTTTTGGCATCTAATAATGATTGGTTCATTTCTAGCATTTTTAATGGAATTTTCTGAATATCTATTGTTAACATATACATCTAGTTTAACATTATCAATGGCCGGTATATTCAAGGAAATTTTTACATTATATTTAGCCGTAAATTTTAATGGTGATCAAATGAGTTTAACCAACTTTATAGGATTAATCATTTGTTTAATGGGCATTATTATTCATGTTATGCTTAAAGTGATGGATTCATATTCAGGTAATTCATTCATAATTAATTAATTCTTCCATATAGAAATTAAGAAATTTTCATCATTTATAGCTATAGATTCATCGTTAAAAAATACATTATTTATCAACAAAGATGATAAATCAATTGAATCAAAACGATTGCTTGGTGGTATTAATGGTGGTGGTGGTGGTGATGATAATAATAGTGATATTATTCATTTTGATATTGTTCCAAAAATTGCCTGTGGTGGTAACAAGAAGAACAATAATAATAATAATGATTCCAGTGACAATCTAATTTTTGGGGCCAAATCCATCTGAGAGAGAGAAAGAGAAAAAAAACATCAACAGATTGAAATCCACGTTTCATATTTAATCAAATGTCTTGAATATACGAAAGTATTATATTGATATGGATTTTTTTATTTACCAATTTTTTTTTATACACAGAGATTTTCTTTGTTTTTCTTTATTTAAAAATAAATGAAATTTTATTCATTCTTTATTATCCATGCTGTTTTTTTCTCAATTGTAAATCAGACACGCGATAATTAAGACGTTGGAATTTGTTGTTGTTGTTGTTGTTGTTGAATTGAATAATCCACCGAGATTACATCATTTGTTACCATTTTAAGATGTATATATAAGATACATCATCATCATCATCATCATCATCAGGGCCATCCATGTATGTTTCCGTAAATGGACATTTTATACACTACAAATTTGTGTGAATGAATAGTTTTTTTGTCTATAAAAAAATCCATGCCAAGGATTTTTGTTTTCTTTTTAGCCATAATGCTCTCCAATATAATCATCATCATCATCATCATAATGGAGGCGATTAACCAGGTCATCGTTTTTTTTCTTCATTGTTTGTTTCTAAATTGAAATGAAATCAATCAATATATATATAAATGCTAGTTTTGCTTATTCATTACCAATCATCTGTTTGTGCGTTTGATTTGTTTGTTTCGGTATTTCTGAATTGAACATGAACAAAAAAAAAAAAAAAAAATAATAATGTCCAATACATACCAACATACGGACATACAATCAATTGTATACAAAGAAAAGAATTACAAAACAGTCAGTTGGTCATTGAGTAAATCATACAAATAAAAATCCATTTATTGATAAATACAACCAACCAACCAACTAACAACAACAACAACAACAACAATTGAACATTAGAAACAAACAAACAAAACAGATAGAGCATCATAAACCCGAAAAAAAATCAATGAATGATGTAAAGTATATACTACTTGGTGACCACCACCACGACGACACAATACAATTCAATGTTGTTCACAACAGGATTTTTTCTTTTCTTTTCTTCTTTTCCACATTGTTATTTTGTTGTTTATTATTAGCATCATCAAATGTCAAATCAGATGTCTATTCGAACGTTTATTCGAATTCGAATCTTCTTCTCTAATCGAATATCTGTCGTTTTTTCGTTGTTGCACGAATTTTGTTTTTTTTTTTTGCATCGACCAAAATATTTGTTTATCACCATTTTTCAATCATTTCCTGTATGAAATTTATATGTCTACCTTGTTTTAATTGATTTTAATCAAATCAGACATATATCATCATCATCAGATGATGATGATGATGATTTTAAATTACTATCATCATCATAATCATCATCATCATTGCGATTAGAAAGTTTTAACTTTTTTGAAAAAAAACCGAAGTTTTGAAAGTTTCAAACAGACAAACAAACAAAAAAAAAGTTATTTTCGTTCGATTTTTTTCTTTCTTCAAATGACACACTAATAATAATCATCATCATGATAAATCGATTGAGAGAGAGAGAAAGTTAGTGAGAAACAGAAAAAAACGATGATGATGATACGGTCACCATATATATATATTATTATCATTATCATCATCGAACATATGAAATCAACTTTTTAATCCAAGTTTCAAACAGACAAACAAACAAACAAACAAAAAGTTATTTTCGTTCGATTTTTTTTCTTTCTTCAAATGACACACTAATAATAATCATCATCATGATAAATCGATTGAGAGAGAGAGAGAGAAAGTTAGTGAGAAACAGAAAAAAAACGATGATGATGATACGGTCACCATATATATATATTATCATTATCATCATCGACACAACATTACAACCATCAAAATGGATCATTTCGGTTTCATCATATAACAATTTTTTCATCATCATCATCATCGTCGTCGTCGTTATCGTTTTTTCCTCTAGTCTTCAGTTTTTATCCATGGAGAAAAAAATTTTTTTTCTTTACATTTTTTTTCCTCCTCTTTTTTTTCAAACAAATGAATCGATAGATAAATTTTTTTTTTCGAATGACAGACCAAATGATGATGATGATGGAAAAAATGTATATTTGTGGATCAAAATGATTTAAAAACGAAAACAATGGTCTGAAAAATTTTTTTGTTTTGTTTCGTTTGTTGATATTTTTAGTTCATCATCATCATAATCATCATCACAGATATTGTTTCCGTGTCAATTTTAGAATTTTTTTTTTTAAACAAAAAAAATTCGAATCACGCTTAAATCAAAGTGTGTACTTGACTTTAGTCACACACACACACAGAAAATGATCACAGAAATTCAATTAAAATGATAATAACGGCAGTTGTAGAATGAAATCTCATCGTCTATTTCTTTGTTTTTCTCTCTCTAAATTGAAAATCAAATTATTGTTTTCACGGTGTGTGTGTGTGTGTGTACACATGACTACCGCCCTCAACCCTTCAGACAATATGCCTTTTTTTCATTTTATCTATTTTTTTCATTTTGTTTTGTCAGATTTCAACCATCAAAAAAGCAGAAAAAAAACTCGAAGAAATTGAAAAACAACAATAAAAAAAAATTAAACTATAGATTGATTGAATTGAACTAGAAAGAAACTCTTTTTCATTTTATGAAAACAAAAAATTTGACAATTGAATTAAAACAAAATGGAAAAGAAAATCAAAAGAAATCATCATTTTGTACCATCCGATCATCGATCATTCAATGTGAACAACAAAACACCAACCACCAAAGGACACCAATTGATAAATAACCGAATTGGCAATTATCTGGTTATAATAATATTGTAAAATTCAAGGCTATATCTATTAAGGTTTGATTTATATATTAATTTGTTCGCTTACCATCACTTGTCTATTTATTTATATTTAATTAACGATACTAATTCGTGCCATGGCCCACATATTTTTTATTAATAAGAACGAAAAATTGATCATCATCATCATTATCATCATCACTAGACTATCATACACATCGGTTTATTAATTATCGACAATGTGATCTGAATGAATCTTCAAAATTTTGGTTTTTGTTTTTGCCTGCAGAAAAAAAGGTTTCGTTGTTGTTTTTTTTTGTTGAACAAACAACCATTAAGATTTGGGTGAAAAGAAAATCGACAGAAAAAATTTTGCTCCATGTGTTTGTGTGATCAATCATTATTCTCGAGAGAGAGAGAGAGAGAGAGACATTGAGAATTCGAAATGACAAACATTTTCAAGTGCAAATATCCGAAAAAAATGATTCATATATATATGAAACCAGGGACATGAAGATTTTTTTTCTGTTCTGTTTCACTTTCAATTCATATTTTTTTCGTCATAAACAACCATAATTAGATCATCATCATCATCCGGGCAAACGAAAAAATCCATAGGCGTATGCTTTTTTTTTGGTGAAAAAAAACGACACACACACACACACATCCACCATCGTAAAATAAATAAAAATATCCTACACCCTATTCCCTATCGTATCAATAGATGATATTTGGATTCTTGATATTCTACAGTGTAGAATATACACATATATCACAAGAATACGTAATAATAATGGAATTATAGACGATCAACGAAAATGAAAAATGAATTTGACCAAAGCTATATATATATATGTTTGCCCCTGGCATTTGATGATTGAGTTTTTTTTTTACCTACGTCCAGGTACAAAACCATAACGATGATAAGAAAGTAGAAAAAAAAAAAATGTTTGTCTCAATGTCTCAAAGATTAAGGTGTCATATATATATATATATTCATTCTATAAGGCGATCAATCAATCAGTCAGTCAGTCAATGTTGTGTATTTGAGTATGTGACAATTTTATAAATACCGACGACGATGATGATGATGATGATGATGATGAGTGCATTTTATATAAAATCCGGTGATTAAAATGAAAAAAAAATTCCATTCATTCATTTTTGTTCAAATCAATTTGCAGGTATGATCGAGCAATTTTGTTTTTTTTTTTTTTGACTATACTAAACAAAGTCAAACCGGTGTCGTTATGGGTTAAATTTGGGGAAATTTATATAGTGTGTCAAGTGTGTGTGTGTGTGTGTGTGTGTGTAACCAATTTTTTTGTTTCTCGATCATCATCAAAAGAATTATAATCCCCCGATATTTTTAGTTTACACCCGCATACACACACACACACACACACACACACACACACACAGAGAGAGAGATCATGAAATTTTTTTTTAACCCATTCCTGCATCACTGGTTGGTTGCTTGGTGCAAAAAAAACGGGACATTTAAAAAATTTCTTATGATTAACCAATAATAAGACATGCAATGGAATGGAATGGTATCACGAGTTGTTGTGGCCAAATTTTTTTTCTATTTGATCCACATTTTAGATATTTCTTTATCAGATTTTGTTGACATTTTTTTTCTTTTCTCGTTTTTTTATCCATAAGATAAGATTATTAGATGTTACCATCGTCATCATCATCATCAGTATGTGAACGGGGTAACACAGACACAGACACACACACACACACACTTGTAAATCACTGCCATTATAAATCTGATTTTTTTTTTTATTAAGTGAAAAAAAAATCCAAAATGACATCTATACACACACACACACACACAAATGACAAATTGATGATTTATTCATGGACTAAATAAATTCTAAAAAATCAATTGGTCAATAGCATCATTATTCAATGTCATGTTTTTTTTTTTTTTGATCTTTCTCTCTTTTCTCTCTTTTTTCACATTATTGTCCCAAATAAATATACACATTCCATTCATACAATTCATTCAACACCAATACATCACACACACACACACACACACACACACACACACACACACACATCTATTATATTACATCAAATAATCATCATCATCATCATCATTCAGAAAAAGTATTGAAAACAATGATGATGATGATGATGAGAGACACAACATATACACAGTCATCAATTGGCGCCTAACTTGTTTTTATATATTATTAAATAAAAAAAAAAAATCACACACACACACACACACACTTTATCAAACATTAGATAATACTACTACTACTACTACTACCACTACTGCTACTACTGCTACTACTACAATATTACGTGGATGTGTATCATCACAAATATATAACTTCTACTTCAATGTATATTTTTTTTTTTGACTTCTCTTTTTATTAAGAAAATTTTTTTTTTTTTTTTTTTTTTTGATCTTTTCATTTATTCAATTCTCACTTTACACATATATATTGCACATGTATATTAAAAAAAAAAATAGTTTTCCTGTCAACCAAAAAAACTTATACATCCATCTTTATCTGGATATCATTTTTTTTTATCGGGAAATAATAATTTCATCTATATAGATGAGTTTCTGTGTTTGTGCAACCTGTGCTACTATGACAATTTTTTCTGGCTGTTTTTCAAACCAACACCACCACCACCACCACAACAACAACCGATTATGATGATGATGATGAACAAAACAGCAAGCAAAACAGCTTCTTCCATTGTATATGAAACTCTTTGGACCACTATCACTCATCATCATTTCATTTCATTTCATATATGTTGTTGTTTACAAAGTGTTTAATTTTTCGATTGGTTTCTTTTTTCCAATTTTTTTTTTTTCGTTGATCGGGTCCTGGTTTTTTTTCCCTTTCATTTTTCGATTTATTATTCGTTTGAATTTTGTGATTTTTTTTTTTGGATATAGATATTCTTCTACGATTTTTCTTTTTAATCATCAAACATTATATAATATATAATATATCTATGTTCATCCCCTCCCTTTTTTTTCAAAGTGTGCGTGTTTACAATTATTTCTTTCTTTTTTTTTTTTTGATGTTGGTGTTTGTGTGTGTAGGAGTACGAAGTGAAAATAAAATGAAATTCCTGAAATTTAAGCTATTGTGATTTTTTTTTCTAAAATTGAAAATTTCCAAATGAATTATTTGTCCATACAAACAAACAGACAGACAGACGAATGAAAGAAAATTGAAAAAACGCAAATATAACAACAACAACAAACAGCAAAACCAAAATTTATTCATAGTGCTGATCTATTATATAAAATTGAAATCTTTACCTCGATATTTTTTTTCAACAAAAAAAAAAAAAATTTTATTGTCTTTCACGATTTATAACAAAATGATAATTTCTTATAATCAAAATTGAAAAAAGAAAAACAACCAACATCAAAAAATATACGCCATCAATAAATTTTTTTTTTTACAAAACAACCTGCCGATCTTGAAAGTCACACACAACACAACAGGTGTACAGTACAACATTTTTATTTTTATCATTTAATTTGCGGTGTATGTATGTGTATAATTATCATTTTGGCCATCATCATCATCATCATCAGCAGCAGCAGCAGCAGTAGTAGATCAATCATCAAGTGATTTATCATCTTTAAGAAATAATTTTTTCATTTGACTTGACAAAAAATTCTTTTTTTTGTCCATCTAGAAAAATTTACCAATTATCTCATCTCATTCTGAATCTATCGCCAATGATAATCAATTTGAAAAAAATTTTTGGCTATTTCAACCAAACGATTAACGCCAGTTAACTGTTTTTTTTCTTGTATCTCGAAAACATCGATTCAATTTTCCTTCAACAACTGATCATCATCATCATCATCATCAGAACTAGTTTTATCCTGTCGTTCGGTGTTGTTGTTGTTGTTGTTGTTTTGTGAATTATAAATGTTCAATGATACCGATACGAAAAAATCAATCAATCAATCCAACTTAACTCTCGAATGATTCAAAAATTTCTGTGTGTATGTTAAAAACAGAAAGAAAATTTTTTTTGGATTTTCATTTTTCAAAATTAAATCTTCCTTCAAATTTTTCCATTGCTGTTATCCTTAAGATTTGTCTGTGACTATTTTTACGTGTGCTGCTTTGCATGGGATTTAATTTTTTTTTCTTTTCCTCATCATAATAATCAGATAACAAGTGTTTGTGTTTAAAAAGAAAATCTTCATCGACAACAACAACAACAACAACAAAAAAATGTCGCATCATAGCGACGAAGCAATACCATCGGCAACGTCCGATAGTTTTTGGGAACCAGGAAATTATAAAAAAACTACAAAACGTACTGAAGATGGTCATAAACTATGTAATGATTTAATGACATTGGTAAAAGAACGTTCTGAAATTGAATATGCATATGGAAAAAATCTTCGACAATGGGCAAAAAAATGGGAAGAAATTATTGTTAAAGGACCTGAATATGGTACAACCGAATCAGCATGGAAAGGTGTACTTGGTGAAGCTGAAAAACGTTATGATTTACATATGAAAATTAAAAATGATCTAGAAAAAGATGCCATAGCCAAAATAAGAAATTGGCAAAAAGATAATTATCATAAAAATGTAATGCATATAAAAGAAAAAAAAGAATTTGATGAGGCGTTTAAAAAAGTAAGTTGTTACATTTTTGTGGATTATATTTAATTAAATTAATTTAATTGATAATTATTACATATAGGCACAAAAACCATGGGCCAAATTATTGAGCAAAGTCAACAAATGTAAACAAGATTATTTTAATGCTTGTAAAAATGAACGTTCAATAACTAATCAAGAAAGAAATGCATCTGGTGATACATCATTATCTCCAGATCAGGTATTTATATTGAATCCTGGTTGCAATAATTGACATTGTATCATTGATTGATAATTTTTATATACTTATTGTATTAGGTAAAAAAATTACAAGATCGTGCACAAAAAGCAAAAGATGAGGTACAAAAAACGCGTGAAAAATATGAACAATCATTGAAAGAGATAAGTAACACTAATTCCAGATATATTGAAGATATGGAAGCCGTTTTTGATCGTTGCCAAGAATTTGAAGATAAAAGATTGAAATTTTTCAAAGAAATTCTATTCACCATTCATAATTGCCTTAATCTACCAAATATGCCTGAATTAGCGACCATCTATGAAGAGTTTAGGCATACGATACAGAATGCCGATGCATCAAAAGATTTGAAATATTGGTCAAACACTTATGGTGTTGGTATGGCCATGAATTGGCCTCAATTTGAGGTGAGTAAATTGTTTTTTTTTTATTTTTTTTCAGCTAAAATCAATTTTCACACATGTGTGAATGTCTGAATGTGCTTGTCGTTTTTCTAATATTTTTTTTTTTGCATGTATATATTTTATATTTCAAATTGAATGTTCGTTTTCGTTATCTTTTATCATCATCTTTTTTTTGTTTATCGTATCTGTGTGTGTGTGTGTGTGTCGCATTCGTAATTCTGATATTTATGATATTACCTCGTTCGTTGATGATGATCATGTGGTTATTTATTTTGTCTATTGACATTCACCGATGCAATATCTACACCAAATCAAAAACAATTGAATGTTTGGTTACCATTACGTTTTTTTTCTATTGTTTTTTATTTCAATTTCCTGATTCAAAACAACAACAACAACAACAACAAAAAATTATTCATTCATTCCAGGAATATTGTGAAGAATTTCGTGAAATAATCAAAAAGAAAACGACGACCGCAACAACGATATCGGAGAATGGAATCACATTGGTTAATCAACATAAATTGACCGAAGAATTACCTGTAATGTGACCAATTTTATTTTGTTGTTACCTATTTGTGTCAATATGTTCGGGTCTGCTTTATTTCCGTTTTGTTTCTTTTATTTTTTTCTCTCTTTCTATAGCCTTCTATATTCATTTGTATTTCATTAACATCTTTTTCCAATTGTTTTTAATTTCTATTTTATTTTATTTTATTTCACTTGACTAACTTTTCGGTGTTTTTTTTTTTTGGTGACTGTCTTATATAATCGATTTTTTTCCTTCATTAATTTCTTTTTTCATCTGATTTCTTCATCAAATTGATTGAATCTGTTGTTTGATTTAATTTTGTTTTTCTTCCACCTTTTCTTTTTCACCACCCTCATCCACAAATAATAGGAATACAATCATGAATTAGCTAGCATATCGAAAAAGGATAAAAAAAACATAAACAATGGATATAATAATGGTGACAATGTTGTACTATCCAACTATCAGACTGAATATTATTCCGATAATAATAAAATTGATCAATCATGCAATAATAATGGAAATCTGAACAATAATAATAATAATACTACTGCCAAAAGGATAAACACGTATGTGTTCTATTTATTTATTTATTTATTTTTCATTGATTTTATCTATTTCAATGTACATCCATCCATCCAGAACAAACGGTAAAAATGATCCAGAAAATCCATTTGAAGATGATCATGAAGATTGGGAAGATTATTCCACAGAAGCATTAGTAGATAATGGTGAACCGGGTGTACTGGTCAAAGCTCTTTATGATTATGAAGGTGCTGAATCGGATGAATTATCATTCAAACAAGGTATTTAATGAATTTATTTTGTTTTGATTTTTTTTCTTCATTTTATCTACTTAATCTACTTTATAAAGGTGATATATTTGAAAAATTGGAAGATGAAGATGATCAAGGATGGTGTAAAGGCCGAAAAGATGGCCGTGTTGGTCTTTATCCAGCCAATTATATCGAAGTTCTTTCAACTAATGCCTCGTAGCTCAAAATATAAAAGTATATCCGCTCTCTCGCTCTCTTTTTTCCCGCAATTCTTCCTCAACTATCATGATCATTTTTATTAATTTTGATTAATATCATCATTCATTCACAAACATTCACTCACATACACACATACAATGCAATCAATCAATCAATCAATCAAAAAAAAAAAAAAAAATAAGAAAAGAATTTAATTTATTGAATCAAAGTTAACAACAACAACAACAAAAATCGACTGACAATGGAAGGCTGAATTGTTTTTTTTTGTTTTGTTTTACATTTCATTTATATACACATTTTATAAATAATAATAACTAACACACACAAACAAACACATGAAAAAAAAAATTATCTTTCAGACAACAACAACAACAACAACAAAAATGTTATATGCTGATGATGAGATCTACAAACTATGTCAAATAATAATACGTTCCTATGATTATATTCTCGTAAATTCAAATTTTGTTTTGTTTTGAAAAAAAACGCATAAATAATTCAATGATTGTGATGTGATTTCAACATCATTGAATAACAAACAAAATTCAACATATTCCAGATGTTCAGCCATTTTTTGTTAGTCCAAAAAACAAAACAAGAAAAAAGAAAGTTTCGAAAATTATTGAATTCTTTTTTCGCACAAAACAAAAACAAGACAATACAAAATACTTGGGATATTTTGTAGCAAATTTCATTTTTTTCATCCCCCAGTGCTTTATTTATTCACATTTTTTCATTCATTTGTACTTTGTACATGATGATGGTGGTAAACAAAAAAAGAAGAAACAAATGTTTTTATGTCAAATGTAACAATATTAATATTAATAATAAAATAATAATAATTGGTGTTATTATATACAACAACAAGTCAATGATTTAATTTTTCGAATCGAAAAAAATCTACTTCAATATCTTTTGTATGTTTTTGATGAAATTTATAAGTACATGGTAGATCATATCGTAGTTTGGCCAGAACTTTTCCTTTGGCACCGAAATCATGTGCTTTTCGAAGAACATGATCACGTGTCGAGGTTTTATGTAGGCTATAAACAGTACCGGATGATAATTCTAATGCTCTTCGTAAGAACATCATATCGATACCTTTGTTATTTTTCGTACCAAATGGTGGATTCATTATGACAACATCAAACAATGTATTGTTCATGAATCGTGACCATATGGAGTTATCACAAACATCGGCACAAATCGTGTCGAAATTATTTAGAAAATTTGGCTCTTCATCTTCTTGCAGACATTTACGATTAGCGACACATTTTTCAATAGCATCCGGATCAATATCCACACCGAGTACAAATGCAGCATTAAGACAAGCACAAGATAATCCAAGACGACCACATCCAGTTCCCAAATCAAGTATAATTTTATCTTCGATATCATCATAGGAATTCATCGTGAATAACATACGTGCACCAATATGATGACCGGTTTCATATTGTTCAAGCTGTATTTTTGGATTGTCGAAACCATCAATGGTTTCCAATAACATTTCCAATTGAACGAGTTTCATGATTTGGAAAATAAATTTAAAAATTCAAAATTAACCAACCAGACTGTGTACATGCACTATCGCAAATCATACATCATCATCATCATCGATTCAAACTATCGATTGTAATCGAAAAATTTACATTTCGTAATTTGCATTGATTGATTCGAAAATGGATAATGAGGAAATGAAAAACGATGAAATTATGGCACTTTCAGCCATTTATGGTGATGATTGGAAAGTAGAAAATCTCGACACTTCCACCTTTTCGTTAAGAATATTCTCTGAAAACGATCCAGATAAAATTCATCCATCAACTATAGAATTTCGATTACCACAAAAATATCCCAGTGAAGCAAAACCCATGATAACAATTTCAGCACCATGGATGTCTCGTGAAGATAAATCTATGCTCATCGATGATATCGATACAATCTGTGATGAACATCTAGGAGAGAATGTATTGTATATGATCATTGAAAAATTGAAACAATTTATTAATGAAAAAATATCATTTGAAAAAATCGAAGAATCTAATGAAATTTTACAAATGAATGAGAATATCGAACCTGCCGAGATTATGATATATCATGGATCACCAATAACCGATCGAAAAAGTACATTTCAAGCACATTTAGCTTTTGTGGAATCATTGACAAAGGTGAAAAATGTTTTAGTACAATTGAAAACGAATAAAAAGATTGATGAAGCAACGCATAATATTTATGCTTATCGAATTATCGATCCGGAACGTGCCAATAAATTGGATCAAGATTATGATGATGATGGTGAAACGCATGCAGGATCACGATTATTGAAATTATTAGAAAATATGGATGCCAAAAATGTTTTAGTTATAGTTTCACGATGGTTCGGTGGAACATTATTAGGTGTGGATCGATTTCGTCATATACAAAATGTGGCCAAAGAATTATTGGTTAAACATAATATTGGCAATAAATAAATAAATTGAATTCTTAAGCACTCATTACAGGTCGATGAAGTTTAGCTTCTAATTCATTGGCACTTGAATAGCCAGTACCACCTCTTTGAAGTGGAATAATATCCGATTCTTTCAATGGTTTATCATTGATCGGATCAATCATATCTTTTTTGATTATTTTTTCCAAACATTCTTCGGTAACAACAGAACCACTGAATGAATGAATGAATGAACAGACAGATAATCATCATAAGATTAATATTCAGAATTCAGAAAAACTTACGAAGTTTTTAGTACAACACATCGTGAAGCATTTGTTAAAATATCACCAGAAACGGCACATTTATACGTTGCTCGATATGGATTAATGCATTTCGGATCGACCGGTGTGAATTTCACTTCAATCAAACGATTTGATTTCAATGCTTTTCCGCTCATTGGACATCGAACAATAGTATCTGGTTTTTTTGTTCGATCTTCGGTTGATGGCGTAAGATTTGGTATCCAAAAACTGGGCAATTGTTTATCATTTCCATTATTCATATTGGATATTGATGATGATGTACTGGCTTGTTGTTGTTCATCATCATTATTACCACTCAATACTTTCATTGTTTCATGGTCAGAAAATTTTTTCGTTTTTGTTTCATCATCTTTTTCCATTGATTCCTTTAATCGTTGTTCATCTTTTTGTTTTTCTTTTTCATATCGTTTTATATTACGCATGATTTTTGCTTTTTGACGAATAATGTATTCAAGAATCGCTTCTTTATCATATAGATAACCATCTGGGCTGTTGATAACAACGGATAATTAAAAAAATTAATGAATGTCTGTTTTCATCCTCTCTCTAGATCTCGGATCTGAAAATATATTTACGTTAAAACCGGATTACGGCATGGTTGTAAACTTAGATTACAAGCATTAAAATCTTTTACAGAATCTTTATTCAATCGTTTATGCTGTGTTCCATAACCACTTGATTGATTATCACGTTGCCGTTCATGATATGAATATACTGATGATGCTGTATTATTTTTTGCATGTCGTGTCATTTTTTTTGTGAATTTAAATTTTTTTAAATTTAAAATCGATGATGATAAACAAACAAACAAAAACACCGATTGTTTCTGTCCTATTATTTATGAGTGACATCATCATGGCCAGAGAAAAAAAACCAGACCTGCGTTCATCGAAAAATCCAAAAAAATATATAGGCGTTTGAGAAAGAGAAAGAGAGTATTTAGACGTCGTCGTCATCATCATCATGATAATAATCATCATCATCAGGCAGATTGAAACGCCACCACTTTAATGCTATTGTACTACTGTTGTTGTTGTTGTTGGTAGTCGCTTTTTTTTGAACCCGAATGAAATTGCATCCTCTATCCACCGCCACCACCACTCACTTACTCACTCGCCCAATAGTGAAAAGCTCCAATTTTTTTTATCTCTGTGCATGGTTTCAATTTGGTTTTTTTTTGGTGACTATATATTACTCTCTACTACGTACATTTTATATTTCTATAGTCTTATCTCCAATATAGAAGCATTTTGGCTCCTCAAAAAAAACAAAATCCTCATCATTTTTATGGTAATAGTCATATATTATTATTAATCGAAGGATTCATCATTGCTACGACCGCTATCGGCTAGGTAAGGATTGGCCAGTTACGCCTCTTGTATTTTTCTTGTTTTTTTTTCACCATTATTATAATATATCTCTTTTCACATATTTGCCATTGATATTTTTGATTTTTTACCATCTAGAATTTTTCAACAGTTCAATTTGACGACTACGACGACATTTGATTTTTCAAAATTCCATCATCATCATCATCATCGATTCTTCTTAACATTCGTTTATATTCACAAACCAAACCAAACAAAACAAAAAATATAATTAATAATGTCTAATGAAGCTGAATTATCACCAGTTTATGCACCATTTTTCGGTGTACTCGGTGCCGCATCGGCTATCGTATTTAGTTCGTTTGGTGCTGCATATGGTACGGCAAAATCTGGGACCGGTATCGCAGCCATGGCTGTCATGAGACCTGAACTTATTATGAAATCAATTATTCCTGTGGTCATGGCTGGTATTATTGCCATTTATGGTTTGGTTGTGGCCGCCATCCTAGCCAACAATATTGGTGAAGGTGGTCTTGAAAGTGGTGGTTATCATCTATACAAAGGTTTCTTGCATCTTGGTGCTGGTCTTTCCGTAGGCCTTTCCGGCTTGGCAGCTGGTTTTGCCATTGGTATTGTTGGTGATGCTGGTGTTCGTGGTACAGCACAACAGCCACGTCTTTTTGTTGGTATGATCCTTATTCTTATTTTTGCTGAAGTCTTGGGTCTTTACGGTTTGATTGTTGCATTGGTTTTGGCGACCAAAAACTAAAATTCAAGTAATATCTTTCATTTATTCACAATTGAATCATCATCAAATTTTAATTTCACGATCACACCATCATTATCATCGTTTTTTTTCTTTGCAACTCATGATTATTCACTTAATCTCTTTATCACAATTCCCTGATTGATTCTTCATTATCTCTCTCCATACACACACACACACACACACACACAAATTTATTCTATTTGATCAAAAGGTGAAAATTCAATCTCAAAAACAATGGTTTGCTTAGTTACATTCAGCTAAAAATTCCTGCGCATACAGAAAACAGAAAAAAAATAACCGAAAACGCCCACTCGCCAAAACTCTAAAATCAATCCACGTTTTAAAATTTGTTTTGATTGTAAAAACAAAATTTAATTTATCAACGTTTTGAACATCACCATATTCATCTAATAATTATAACCAAATGTTTGAAGAACAGAACATCGTTTTTTTTCACACAACAATCATTCCATCCCAAAAAAAAAAAATATTCTTGCAGGTTTTGCCGTTTTTTTCCCTCGAATCTTTTCTCCATGTTATTGATATTCATTTTTTTTCTTTGATTTTTTTTGTGTAAAAAAATTTGTTTATATTTACGTTTCACATCACATACATAAACACATAGACATTGCATTGTATTGGTTGTGTTTGTGTGGTAAGCAACAACAACAACAACAACAACAAAATAAAACGAAAGTCATAGGTTAATGTTTTTCTTTTCCAAAAAAATGATTTGATCAAAAACAAAAATTATGTTATGCTAATTTCATTTTAATTATAATGAATAATCAAGAAATTTTGTTATGTATCATAATAATAAACATTTTATTCCAGATTCATCAAAAACATTCAAATTGACAAAAAAAAATTTTGAATTAAATAAAAATTATCATTTGGTGTGTGATTCGTTTTCAGTTTCACAAAAAAAACAATGATTGATATGGGTATTATGTCATATTACTATAATCTTCTGGAAAGCCCATTTTAATCGCATCTTCATATGTTTCATAATGAGACAGGAACATTGTATGACAACAGAATCGTTTTAATCCCAATTCCTTGAATAATGGTCTAAAAAGTGTAAGAAATGTATTTCATCATTTGAATTTGAAAAAAATAAAATTTGATCACATACTCTAATCCATTTTCAAGATTATCATTGGAAACTTTGGCTATTTGAAGTCGTTCATTGTATTCATTCCAAAGATGTCCAATTACTTTGCCACAGGTCCAACATCGAACAGGAAAGAGCATTTTTTTAGGATTTAGAATGATAAAAATTTCAAAAAAAAAATAAAATAAAATGAAACTTGAAAGAAAATAGCATCACAGGTGAAAATTGGAAATATCCATAAAGGACGTATCCAATCTTTTATGACAATTTCGACTTTTTTTGTCGATGAAAAAGATTTCAAATTGCCAAAAAAAAATTTAGCCAAATTTGTTAGTAAGTAGGGTACCATCTGTATTTTATTATTTTTTTTCACAGACAGATTTGAGAGAAAAAAAAGAACAAATGAAAAAGAAATAATGAGAAAAGCTTGGCTTCGATTTTTTTTTTCTTTACAAAAAAAAACAGATGAATCGATTTACAAAGTTATAAAAAATATAATTATGAATAAAAAAAAAATTGAAACATCTTGTGAAACTATAAGGATGATGATTAATTTAGTGTGTAAACACAGACAAAACAAATGGATTCTAATAATAGAATAATGATTAATTACAACTCAAGTTTTTCAATTCATGATTGATTTCAATTTCAGTCTAAATAACCAAACAAAAACAAAAGTTTTTTCCTGACAAATCAAGTGTTTGTCAAATTCATAACTGTTAGATGAAAGCAGAACAGAGTTTTGAGTAATTAACGAATTTCATCTTTGGTTTTGTTAGATTCGTCGTTGATAATTTATTAGAATTGACAATTTCACCAGTGTTTTCAAGGTTTTCATAGTATTCAATGTTTGTCCTGTTTTATTATCATTATTGATGACAGTAGAATTAAGACATTCATCTGAACTGGCATTAGTATTGGCCATTTCTTCATTTTCATTTGAAGAAAGAATATCTTCATCTGAACATGCCGAAGCGATTCTAAATGTCGGTAATATAGTAGTCAAATGGTTCCTAAAAAATTGTATAAAATATGAGTTAAAAATAGTATTATGTCAAAATAGATAAATCATACTTTTCGGTAATCAATTCGGAAATCTGTTGTGTCAGGTATTCTTCTTCATCATCATCGACATTCGAATGTGCACGTAATGCACAAAAAAAATAAAATTTGATCACATACTCTAATCCATTTTCAAGATTATCATTGGAAACTTTGGCTATTTGAAGTCGTTCATTGTATTCATTCCAAAGATGTCCAATTACTTTGCCACAGGTCCAACATCGAACAGGAAACAGCATTTTTTTAGGATTTAGAATGATAAAAATTTCAAACAAAAAAAAATATAAAATAAAATGAAACTTGAAAGAAAATAGCATCACAGGTGAAAATTGGAAATATCCATAAAGGACGTATCCAATCTTTTATGACAATTTCGACTTTTTTTGTCGATGAAAAAGATTTCAAATTGCCAAAAAAAAATTTAGCCAAATTTGTTAGTAAGTAGGGTACCATCTGTATTTTATTATTTTTTTTCACAGACAGATTTGAGAGAAAAAAAAGAACAAATGAAAAAGAAATAATGAGAAAAGCTTGGCTTCGATTTTTTTTTTCTTTACAAAAAAAAACAGATGAATCGATTTACAAAGTTATAAAAAATATAATTATGAATAAAAAAAAATTAAAACATCTTGTGAAACTATAAGGATGATGATTAATTTAGTGTGTAAACACAGACAAAACAAATGGATTCTAATAATAGAATAATGATTAATTACAACTCAAGTTTTTTCAATTCATGATTGATTTCAATTTCAGTCTAAATAACCAAACAAAAAACAAAAGTTTTTTTCCTGACAAATCAAGTGTTTGTCAAATTCATAACTGTTAGATGAAAGCAGAACAGAGTTTTGAGTAATTAACGAATTTCATCTTTGGTTTTTGTTAGATTCGTCGTTGATAATTTATTAGAATTGACAATTTCACCAGTGTTTTTCAAGGTTTTCATAGTATTCAATGTTTGTCCTGTTTTAGCATTATCATTATTGATGACAGTAGAATTAAGACATTCATCTGAACTGGCATTAGTATTGGCCATTTCTTCATTTTCATTTGAAGAAAGAATATCTTCATCTGAACATGCCGAAGCGATTCTAAATGTCGGTAATATAGTAGTCAAATGGTTCCTAAAAAATTGTATAAAATATGAGTTAAAAATAGTATTATGTCAAAATAGATAAATCATACTTTTCGGTAATCAATTCGGAAATCTGTTGTGTCAGGTATTCTTCTTCATCATCATCGACATTCGAATGTGCACGTACAACCGATGTTGCATCACGATGCATGTTCATCTAAGTGAAAATAATTAAGTTTTAATAAATAAATTAAGCATTTTGCATTTATTGTAATTTACCTTGGAATGTCGAATCGAAGATAAACGAGATGAGGCCGTATGACAGGCAGTATCCAATATATCAATATCGTTAAGTGTGTCAGATATCTGTCGCATTTGTTCGCTAATGATACTTTCAATGCAACTGTGTTCAAGGGAAAAGAATTATTCATATTAATAGTGATTAAAAAAAAAAAAATAAAAATTTTACATTGTCTGTTTACTGATATCATTCAATTTATCTTGCATCTGCATCGATTTGTTTGTTCGTAATATACAAGGAGCAAATACAATGGCCAATGAATTTGCGTTCATACGATTGGCCGATTCTTGGCGTGCCACACGTGCTAAATGAAATGTCAGACGTTCAAGGAGATCATAGTTTGGCTTTGGTAGTTTACTGATATGATTGAATATTATTTGATTTCGTTCAATAGGATCGGTAACTGTAGTGGCCCATAAGAAATCATCATAAAGTTCATAGGTCATTAGCGGTTCGGGCATTTCACGGAAAAATAATTTCAAACAACCGGCAAGAACATGAACGCTATAATGGTCTAAATCAATATCCAAACGTTGTGCATCAAACATCTGTTTCAATTCATTTATGCTTGTTAGCCTAGCCGATTTACGATAAATTCCTTCGGCATACAAGCCTTTTAGTTCGATTTTTGCAATCAAATGTTCAACAACTAATGGTATACGACATTCTTCCGTAACGAGTGCCGAAATTGGTGATCCAAAGATTAATTTATTAGAGGATTTATTATTGTTACCACAGGTGGAAGCCACTTTATCGAAACATTTTTTATGACAAGCAAGTTTACAACGTCGACATATGAATATCCTTTCCATCATCCAAACATATGAATCACAAACTTCGCATACCGTATAAATGTTGGCCGTTGAAATGTAGAATTCATGTTCATATGTTTTATAAACATCATCTTCTTTCTTGTTACGAGCACGTTTTTTACTTTGTTTACGTTTATTAGATTTCTTGAAAGTTGGTCCATTAATTCTTTCTTCTTTATTAATTTTCGTATTATGCATATTACGTAATTCATCCATATAACCGCGAAAAGCATTCACGCCAAGAATCACGGGAAATGATTTAAATGTATTTTCTATTTCACAGACATTTAATAAAATCTAAAATAGGTAAAAGAAATTTGGTTAATTCATAATAATAGGACATTCAGACAATAGATGATTAATAAAATACCTGTGCAAAATGGTCAATCAGATCCTTATAGGTCAATCGAACCACCATTCCATCTTGATGTGTCACCGAATAAGTGGAAATCAAATTATTTTTGAATTCTTTCAACGCTAACTTGAACACAATATCGACCATACATTCTTTTGGTTCATTAATTGTTTTCTTTTTGAACAGAATATTATCATCCATATCACGAATCTTTTTCGAAATGAATTTATCCATTGAGGTTAGTTCATCTAGATCGGTGATAAGAACATCATGTGGATCGATAAATTGTTTGACTCTAACTGATTGTTTAGCTGGTGCAGCAAATGGCGTAACTTTCGATGATGATGATGTTAATGATTGATTCTCTTTGGTTGATGAATCAAGACTTTTTCCACTAGTAATTTTTGACTTTTCTGCTTACTTCTTGGCGGCCGTGGTGGATTAAATGCTACAACAACAGAGAAAATTTTAGATACAATGAAAATTACAAAAGTGTAAATTACAAAATACCTCCAAGTACAGAAGAGCTTATGTTTGAACCTTCTTTGATACAAGGAATATCCGAACTAAGATGAATACATTTCTTATGAAACAATTGTTTACATTCTGAACATTTTAAATGAATTTGTGGTTGATTCGATTGCTGCAATGGTTGTTGAACCAAAATTGGATTCTCACAAATGGCACAAATTTCACCAGATTTAAAACTACTTTCATCATGGATCGAATGCCGTGAAAGAAGTGTAAAGTTTTCATCTTTAGCTTTCAATTGTTGTTGCTGTTGCTGATGATGATGCTGAAATGTATATGGTGTTGGCATATTCATAGAAGAAGAAAATATCGAATTCAATTGTGAATGCATATCACTTTGACTAGTTGAATTTTTCGATATAATAGGCATTTCATTTATTTTCATTCCTAAATCATTGTTTGACAAACTTTTACTATTTAAAAGATTATATGTTTGATTCATTTGTTCGTTAAGGTTGTTTGCCGATTCAAATTCCATTCCTGCTTTTACCGACATTGTTTGTTTCAACAAACGTTTATTAATCTCTGAATTACTTGAGGATTTACCCATAATGTTTCGAAATGTAGCTTTTGCTTTTTGAATGGGTCCCGATGTTGTTGATGATGATGATGATATGGCCGATGATTGAGATTCATCAAATGATGTTTGTTGTTTTGTCGTCGTTGCCGTTCGATTCGAAACATTGGGAGCTACTATTTGATTGGCCGATGTTACATTGATCGAATATGGAAAAGTCGTAGTCGCCAATGTTGTTGTTGATGATGAAGGATGTTGTGACTGTACATTATCGGAACCAATGCTTGTTATGGAAGTAATGTATTGTTGTTGTTCACTGTTATTACTATTGACACTACCAATACGAAGTTTTTGTATACTTGATGCACTATCACTATTAGTTAGATAACCGGAAGAAACAAACGAAGAATTAGAACCGGCAAGCCCGAGCACTTTAGAATCACTGGATAATTTTGTCAATTGTCGATGTTGCTGTTGATGATTGAAATTATGATCAGTTATTGTTAGATTCGATATACTTGTTGTTGTCGGTATCAGTGTTGCAGTCGCGGATGATGATTCTAATGTTGATGTTGATAATGACGAAGCTGTAGTTGTAGTTGTCATCATCGATGATGATGCAGATGTCGTCATCAATAGTTTTTCATCTGATAATGATTTATGATTATTTGCTTTACGTTTAAATGATGTTTTTCGTATCGGAATATTACGTTTACGATTCAATCGTACACGTTGATTATCACCATTTTCAAAATCATCATCAAGATCAACAAGATCATCATTAATATTACCAGTAATTGTAACAACATCATCGACGTCAATCACTGATGATGATGATGAAAATTCTTCATCACCACCAACACCAACATTTGCTGTAGCAGCCGGACGATTTATCACATTAACAGGAATGATTAGATTTGCATCCTGATTTGTAGTATCCGACTTATTGGAGAGAATATTATGAATGACTATTTCATTTTGATGTTGTTGATGATGATGAACATTTGTGTATGTTGTCGAAGCTGTCGAAACGTCACTACCATCTAAATATAAATTTACCGAATTTGTTTATATTTTCATCAATAAAACAGATGAAACAATAATAAAGCTTACCTTTAATCGTTGCCAATGATGATGATGATGACGATGAATTTGTTGTTGGTGGTGTTGTTCGTATCAAAACTGAAACGTTAGACATTTTATTATTACTGTTATTGACCGATGATGAATGTCGATTCGATTCTGGTATTTCTAATTCCGTTTTTTTCTGTGCTCGTTCTCTAGCACGTGCACATTCTTCGATAATATCGTTCATACGATTAGTTTTACGAAAAATATGACCACGACAACAGGCCTGAAATTTTACGATTGATTTTCGTAGATTTGTAAACCACTTTCGTGTTTGATATGCACGCCAATGTTTCTGTATTGCATTCGCTGCCCAATTCTCATATTGAGCAATCATTTTCAAACGTTTTAAACGTTTTTGTGCAATAAAACGACGGACAAATGTCTGCACGATGACCGCCGCATTTCGCATTTCGTTGAATCGTTTTCGACAGATCCATGTTCGTACCTAGAAATTCATATATATATATAGATGATTAAAAGCCATGAACAACAATAAAAAAGAGAATAAGATGATAATAATGGATTTTTTTCAAAAATTTATATCAAACAAAAAACCAATTAATAAATGAACAGCTTTCATTCAAAATTCAAAAGAACAGAACACGCGGAAGCAATTAAATTCATTCATTCTCTTCCCGATTCTGGTATTTGCCAAAAAAAACAAACAAACAAACAAACAAAAACAAAGTTCTCAAAGAATCTTTTATATTGAAAATACACATATTCTTCCTGTAAACATTGGATGCAATACGCATACATACACATGTATGTCACGTTTAAAAAAAAAAAAAAATTAAATAAAGACAAGTTCGTTAACCCAATAAGTGTGTGTGTGTGCGTGTTGTATATTTTTATGGTTAAAATCTTCTGTGTTTGTGTAAAAACGATCATTCAAAAATATTCAATAGAATAAAAAAAATAAAAAATAATGCACACCACTTTGTTGAAAATTATTATTGAAAAAATTTATTTTCAAAGTAAATCTATAATAACAAGCTAAAGGCACCCATTATTATGTAGTGTAAGAAAAAAAATTGTCATCAAACAAAATAATAATAAGACACACACACACACACACGAACAAACACATAAATAGACTAACAATCAATTTTCCTGTCACAAAAAGAAAATATCCACGAATTAAATTCACAATATGAATGAAGAGATTTTTTAGTTTTAAATATCAAAAAAAAAAACACTAAAGAGACATCAAACCAATGATGATGATGATCAAACAATCTATCTCTTTCGCTATAGCATTTTAAATCTTGATCAATTCTAAAAAACTCATGATCATCATCATCATCATCACCAAAGAGTTAAAAAAAATTGTTGGCCGATTTTTTTTCTCGTTTGTTTTTGTATATTTGTTGGTTAGTAGCGTTCAATTCATAATAATAATATATGTATGATTTATATTTTATTTACTTATGTGGGGCTTTTCAATTCAACATCGACAGCAGCAGCCGCAGCAGCAACAACAACAACAACAGCAATGATAATAATGTTGGTTAGCGTAACTAATTACTTGATGGTGATGGTGGTGATTATGATGATGACAATATTTATCAAATCATCAACAACATACACACACACACGTAGACGATTCATTTCAATTCTATCTTAAAGAAATTTCTCTATTTTTCTTTCTTTGTTTTTGTCATCAACTAAAGAAAAAAAAATCCATCATCTCTCATCTCATTTTTGGCCAATCAACTTAATGTGACCTAAATTTAGGATTTTCAACCCTCGTATGTATGTGATAATAATGGTTGATTGATATGAAAAGAAAAAATTGAAAAAATCCAAACTTACCCATCGTTGAAGATTAATAATACGTCGTAATATCTCTTCATGTAATCGTTCATCTAGGGCTAATTTTTCACTTTCACGCATAAACACTTTTGTTTTGCCAATCTGATACATTGCAGATGGTAATTTCATGTTGAGTAAAAATTTCTGTACATCCATTTTGGATGATAATAATCCTTTCGGCAATAATATTCGATAATGTTGAATGAATTCATCGAATGTTAAACGTACAGAATATCCAGATTGTCGTATTCGAACCGTTTCTAACATTCCAGTATAACGAAGCTGTTGCAACACTAGTCGATCATCAAAATGATTTGGCATCTTATCTGCATTCGATTTAATACAACGAACAAAAAATGGATTCGCATGGCTCAATGTGTCCATTAATTGTTGTAATGATTGTTGAAATTGATGTGTTACGGTTTGTGTTTGTTTTCGGGCCACCGTTCTTGACAATGAAACAGGTCTTTCTTTTGCAGATGTCAAACCAGGTGAATTGATCGTTGTAACTGGTGGACCTAATAGCTGTTTCAATAATTTAAAATTACGTATAGATTTTTCAAATCCATTCTTTTTCTGCCATGAATAAGCGGATGATGATGATGAGTATTTCTTTTTCCTGTCATTTTCAAAAAAATACACGGATTTCAATTATTTTAAAGTAAAAAAAATAAATATGCGGAAACGGAATCACCACTTGAAAAGGGGAGAGGGTAAAACAACGAGTAGATGAATGTGAAAACAAAAACAAAAAATGGGGAAATAAAGTGTTTTGATGATTATATTGTCCACAATCGACAGCAACAACAACAACAACAAATGTTCAATTCAATGTTCAATCATTTCCATTTCAAAAAAGGGATACCATACATCAAAATCATGATGATGATGAAGATGATGGAGCATTGAACATTTCATTTCATTTATTCATTCAAAAACTCATCATAATGAAAAAATAAAACTCAAAATCTCAATATCAAATGTATGGAAAACAAAAATTATTATGGTTGAATCAGAGAAAAAAAATAAATGAAAAAGGAAAATGCCGTGTATATCACCACACGAGTATTGTCAATGAAAGAGATGCCCCAATCATCATCATCATCATCCCCATATAAAGTAACATAAGCAAAGAAAAAAAATCTCCATATGTATCCTTTTCAACAACAACAACAATAACAGAAAATTGACAAAAAAGACATTATAATATGCCACATATTGTTGAATGAATGATGAACAATAATAAATAAATATAAAAAATATGCACACACACACACACACACTGAAGGAGAAAGCAAGGATTTATTTTTTTTTCTCCTTTCATTCAGGTTATATAAAACCGGGAATTGATGTATCTATCCATTCATCATGAATCAGTGATATATCCTTATACACTTGTTATTACATGATGATGGATATTAAGATTTATAATTTTATTATTATTATTATATCATGATGATGAATATTTTAACAACAAAAAAAAGATGAAACTACTACCAACTATTCAACTAATAAATCATTGATTATCAAAAAAAAAAAAAAAAAAAATATCATCTCACGATAGATATAAAACAACAACAACAAATCATCGACAAATGTCATTCTCATAAACATATAAATATATAATATGGGGCAAGAGAAAATGATGATGGCATTTCATTTTCGTTGTTTTCACACACTATATGAAGCTCAATATAAGAAAATTTTTTTTTTAAATAAACAAGACAAATTACGAGAACGTAATCTTTTTTCTTGTTTTGAGATTATTGAAAACTAATTAAATTAAATATATAATACATGCAGATACAAGTGTTATTAACTATTGTTTATATGTTTCTAGATAGACTGACAATCTAATTAAAATCGATTATGCTGATTGATTGATAATGAAGATGAGTGATGATGATGATGTTGATTAAAAATGAAATCATCAACATGGATTATTAAATGAAAATGAAATGAATGAACTCAAATAAAATCGATATCGATTTTGGATTGATGATGACATCAAACACACATACATTAGAATTTTATTTGCACGCGATAATACACGTGCTTCAGAAGAACAAAGATGTGCTTGTGTACCATGAAATGGACACGATAATGATGAAGATGAAATGGATGATGATGTACAATGTGAAGGTACAATAATTGCTGCTGAAGATGATGTCGGTTTACAACGGCTGTTGGCCAAAAATGCACTATAATTATGATGATGAAAATTTGATGATGATGATGACGATGATGAAAGCCGTTTAGCGATATCAGAATATTTGGCTTTCGATTCATTTAAAACATTTGATTGGTGTATAGAATTATTATTATTACCGGCAATTTTACTTTGATAAACAATACTGCAGCCTTTGTCGATTAAACTATATACATATACAACATGGAAACGTTATTAGAATTCAATAATTTTTTTTCAATAGCCCGAAATATCACTAACTAAATAACCCATCTCCCCCCATCACACTGAATGTTTTCCCAAAACCAAAAGAAAAATTCCCAAAAAAAATTCCTGATCAAAACCAAGAATCACATACCTTAATTGATTATTTTGCTGTTGTGCACCACCACTACTTCTTCGTTGATTGGCATTGGCATATTCTTTAACTAAATAAGTACCGGATAATCCTATAGGTTGAATGAAAAAAAAACGTCAAATCAGAATATAAAACTTTGTTTCATTGCAATGTGACAAACCTCGTTTCATTTTGGATATTTCACGTAATTTTGTAAAATGAAAATAAGCTTTAAAAAAAGCTTTAAGAATATGCCATCTAAATAATGCTAATGGATCAGAACAGACCAGTTCACGTACGAAAGCCATTTTCGATACTTTCAGTACGGCCACAATATCTGGACGCATGAGATCGAGATTTTTTTCACGAAAATCACGTATCTGATATTTAACTTTACCGGCATAATGTTTAATAGTGAATGCCGAACCACGACAAGGCGGTACTTCGAACAATGGATTTGAATTATGATGATAAATAAATTTCTGTAATATTGTTTCATTACTACCACAAGGAAAATTGCACTGATCATCCAATAGATATAAAAGACCATCTGGTTTATCTTCAATCAATCCTAAACATTCAGTATTATCATTGAAATCAATATTTCGCCAACTAATTCCTTCACGTTGATATTCTTCTTGTTCATATTTGAATACATGTGAATTAAAATAATACTGTAGCCGTTCATTGGCATAATTGATGCAGAATTGTTCGAAATTATTATGATCACCAAAATCTTCGAAACCAAAAATGTCCAATACACCGATACTGTTTCCTTTATGATCACGAGTATCTTTTTTCGATAATAATGCATGATTAACTTGCATAACGATCCAATCGAATAATACACCATACAGACATTTGGCCATTGCATCTCGAGTGGCTATAGCATCTGGTAGTTTATAATTTATGACCAACATTTCACCCTTTGCTGCTTTCGTTCGTTTACAGGTAAGTGCAGCGGTCAATGTCTCTTCTTTAACATTTAACAATTTAGAAATAATTGTCACCACTTCGGGATTTTTGATCATAACAGTTTCATCTGAATGATAAGTTGATTTTTTCGAAAATTGAACATTGCCCAGATGCAGGACAGCTGAAAGTACACTAAAACATAGAAATTGTTTATGACGACTAAATCCAACCATTTCCATTGATTGTGTGAGACGAAAAAATTCATGACGTTCATCGACACCTTCAAGTGTATAACATTTGGATTGATTTAAGTAGAAATAATCTTGAGGTCTAGTTAGATATAATTTTTCTTTATCTTCGGTTGATAGGCCATCGAGTAAATAATAGAACACATGATAATTTCGTTCACTTTTTACTTGCGATACGATTCGTGATTTTTCTAACAGATATTTCTGCACTAATGCTCCATGAACGGCACCATTTTCTTTATAATTAACTTGAATGAATTTTCCAAATCTTGATGAATTATTATTGAATTTTGTTTTAGCATTACCAAACGCTTCCAATACGGGTCCAGCGCCAAGAATCGTTTGTTCAACACCAGTACCATGTGTACCTTTTTGCGATAGCGCTGTCAAATGATGTAACAATAGATTGGTAGATTCAGTTTTACCCGAACCTGATTCACCACTTATCACAATACATTGATTGGTCCGTTTTCGTAACATTGACTGTATGTGGAAAATAGAAAAAGTAATTAATTTTATCAATAAATAAATTATAACAACAGGTGGTTATGAATCGATTAATACCTGATAGGCAGCATCTGCAATAGCAAAAATATGTGGTGGTAAATCGCCCAATCGACGATTTTGATATAATTGAACATATTTTGGATTATAAATTGGATAAAATGTGAATGGATTTACTGCAATAAGTATCGATCCAACATATGTATAGATGTGATTTTTTTCGAATCGAGCCTATGTATAAAAAAAAACTTAGCTAAAGAACAACAACATGACAAACGAATTAAAATTTACCTTAAGGTTATCCAAAAGTGTTTGTTCAGTAAGATCGGGTAATTGGCACAGATCTGGATATTCAGAATTTCGTGGCTGATAAAGAAAACGTAGAAAATAATCACGTATCAATTGAGAATCATTTGAATCGGTCATGGATAATGGCCATAGATTGCCCATCCATTTTCGTCGTAAACAGAATTTATAATCAACATGGCCACCAGCTAATGTTCCTTTATCACTTTTTTTTGGCCATAATAATTTCAATGCAATTGGACATTCATTTGGACCTATACGACGTTCTTTACAATCTTGTCCACCCTGGTTACCGATTACTTCGGCCAATTCATATACATCGGTACCATCGGTAAGGCCTAATTTTTCACAAATACAATCGACAATTTCACGTGCCGTAGTGTTCTTTTCAGCTTCGATAGATAATGCTTCATATAGACGGCTATATGAACCAACATGTACTTGTAGAACGTATCGTTGTTTTCTATTATCACCCATTCTATTATTTTCTTTTTTTTTTTTACTTGTGTTGGTTTAATGTTTCACCAGATATGAGGGGTCAAAAAAAAAATGTTCACTTTGATTTTCGATTGTATCAAGTCATTTTGTATGTATCATGTGTTTCGATGTGTGCAATTTGATAACTTGTGATACCATTATACCATCATCATCATCATAAGAAAAAATCCTAAAAAGATCTAAAAAACGAAAGAAAAAAAAGACAAAAAATCCAGGATTAAATAAAATCGAAAATATATATAAAATTTTAAATATCAAATTCCATCGAAAGTTTAGCCAAATTTAAACACAGAATCAGATCTTTTTTTTATTTGTTATTATTTCATGATGGTTGTTTGTTTGAACATCATCGTCAAAAAAAAAAAACAAAATTCTTTCAAAAAAAAAATCCTCCTTCTCACCACAATCATCAACTGACAACAAAAATTTCATGTCATATCAAATGTACATGTGTGTGTGTGTGTGTATGATTGTTTGATGATTCATTATTTGGAACAGACGAGGAATACTCAAAGCAGCACATCATCAACAAATAAACATTTGATAACGTTTCACATAAACACAAACACACACACACACACAAAAATAATAATGTTCGAGTATATTCGGTAAATTCAAGATTTTTTTTTTGTTTAGAAATGTAAAAAAAACCTCTTTCATCATCATCATCTTATTTGCTTGGTTTAATGTGGCAGAAGCATCATCATATATCAAAACATGCACATTCAAAACAAGATTGTAGTTTTCGAATCTCTCTCTCTCTCTCTCTATCACTCTTTCATTGCCTCATTTGTCGGATTGCCTGTTTTGGTGTATGAATGTGATAACGATTCGATTCGATTAGAAAAGAAGATGCACATACACACAACAAAAACAGACAGACAAAGATTGCAGACATATTTAAAAAAAAGCAAAAAGCAACAGGTATAAATGAAAAACAAAACAAAAAAAAAAATGTCTGGTTGAGAATTAATTCATAGATTATGTTATTATTTTATATCCTTTCAAGATTTTTGTTTTTCAAATGAAAAATTATTCATATTCATCATCATCATCATCATTGTTGTTTATTATGAGAAATTTTTTCAATATTTTTCAATTCTTTTAAATCAGAATTCTGTTGCTGCTGCTTCTGTTGTTGTTGTTTTTGTTGCTGTTCATATTCGTGTTGTGATGGTGGTCCAACTGATGATGATGATTCCAATCCACTAATAATCGATGATGATGATGATGATGTATCTGGACTGATCATATGAAAATATCTACGACGTTTATAATTTTGTTGTTGCTGTTGTTGTTGTTGTTGTTGTTTGTTATTATCATTATTACCAACAATAGCTGAAAATAAATTAACACCACCGCCACCGCCACCACAACCAATATCATCATCATTATTATCAATAAAATTTTCATAAAATGCTAGATATAATGCACGTAAACATATAATAACTAATAGACCAATGATTATGCCAAACAATAATATTGATGAATATAATAATATTTGACATATGGCCAGATAATTACAAATTGAACATTTATTATTCACATCCATTATTACTCAAGAAAATAAAAAATGAACAAAACAAACATTCGAAACAAACAAACACACACAAGCTATTTTTTTCCAATAAATTGCAATATTAATTAGAGAAAAAATGGAAATTCGATCAAACAACAAACATGTAAAAACAATAACAATCGATCGATTGATTTTATTAAAAAACAGCCAAAATAATAATGACGACGACGACGACGATAGAAATAATTGGAATTTAAGAAAAGTGAAAATTTTTGAAAATTTGTTTCTTAAATTAGATCTAGTTATAATTTTTTTTTCTATGACTCAATTAAATCAGAAAAAAAATTTGCCAGACATTGGAAAAATAATTTAAAAAAAACTTGAAATGAAAATTCCCGAGTTTGGTGAAATAAAACAAAAAAATTATTCGATACTAATGGATTTCAGACCATATGGATTAATAAATGGGGATAATCCAACACCACCCATCATCATCACTATTTTATGATGATTTAATGACGCACACAAATCCTTGGCCTATTAATACAAAATTTTTTTTTATTCGATTATATTAGTGTTGTGTGTGTGTTTTTGTATGATTTAGGACCCGAATGATGATGACGATATTATTACGTACTACGTACCCAGAGATTTATATATTTAATCAAATTGAACAGATAAATAATCAATCAATCAAAATTTAACCAGAAAAAAACCAAAATGAAGCTTGTAAATTTTTTTCTACATTTATCAATATACGACGATCATATTATCGTCATCATCATCACCCAAAATGTGATTGATGAAAATAATAGTTACGATGGCTGGGAAAAAAATTTCGATATTTCCGACAAAAATTTTTTGTTCAACACAATATGTGATCGATTGGCGGGAATCAAATTTGCGTTCTATGTACATTAGATGTAAGATTACATAATCATGATGATATTAAATTCACACACACACACATACATAACGGATTATCATTGCATCGGAAATAATGTAATGTATTGACACCCAAAAAAAAAAAAAAATTGTAACATGATGATTTGTAAACGATACAACGGCATTAAATGATCAAAATTCTCATGATCATATGATACGGCATACGTGACAGGAAAAAAAATACCAACCATTTAAAAAAATTTGATCCAAATGTGTAGAATTCTGGTGGCCACCAAGTCAAGTGAAAATAGTTGTCAACAAAAAAAAATTGTTCGAATTCGAACATTGTTTCACAAAACTTGACAATCTAATGTCACATGTTATGTGTGATTATCGTTATCATTATTATCATCATCATGGTAGTGTTTAGAAATAGAAATTATCTGTATAGATGATGATGATGATGATGATGTTCTATCTAAATATAGATCATCATCATCATATATCTTTCATTCATCACATTTTTATTCAAAATTCAATTTTTCTAATATGAATATAATATATGCACTAGAACTATATGGGGTATATACAACTATCATCATCATCATCATGAATAAAACAAAAACGCCTTCACCATCTCCATCCACAAACCATGTATATGTGTGGTAATGGAATATTCAAATCATCATCATCATCATCATAATAATAAAAAAAAACAACCCTCTTTGTCCCCCCGCCTCCCCACCGCAGTCACCATCATCAACAACCATGGCCTGTAATCTTAAAATAGTTTTATTATTATTTTTTTCATAATAATATCACTCATTTGCAACTATCAAAAAAAAGAAAATCATATGCCATTTAGTATGGATGAATTCAGATGATGTTTGTTTGTGTGTGCATGTTATAATTCGACAAGAAAAATTTGTACATATGAAATTCTTAACGTTTTGTTTGTTTATTTGTATGTTGTTGTTGTTTTTCTTGGAAGAATTTTTCTTCATTTCTCATAAACACACACACACACACATATGCCAATTGAATCATGATGTGATAATAATAATAATAACGACGCTAATGTGTTTGTTTGCATGTATATGAAACGAAACTAACCAAAACCAAAAAAAAAACATCTTTTTTTCTTTTCTACCATGCAATAAAATGATTAATGGATTATAATTATACACAAATATATAAAATAATAAATAGTATATCATATGGTCTATAGAAAAAAAGGTCAAATTTGTCAAATACAACAAATATTTGTTCATGTTGTTGTGGTGGTTTTTTTACAGAGACAAATAATACAAAAAAAATGGCCGGACAAACTTTACAAATTATAATTTTTTTCTTGTTCACTCCCTCACATTATTATTTATCACATAATAATGGAAAAAAAGTGTGAAATAGGAAGATGATGAAATGACAGAAAACAAAAATAAATCGATGTGTTTGATTTGTCTTTCATTCTGTATGTTCAACAAGTGTCAATCTGTGATGTGTGTATTTTTGGACAATAAACACACACACACACACATGTAAAAATCAATAGTCAAAAAAAAAAAAACAAAATTCTGATTGAATATTGATCGAAATCGAAAGAAAAAAAAAATAATCACCGTTATTGCTAGTAAAAAAAAGGGGGTGATATTCAGGTCAAAATCATTAGATCAGCCTTGTTGATTGTTGTGTTGTGATTATCATTCTGATCATCATTCATAGCATCAAAATAAAATCCACTGATGATGATAAGATGAGAGAGAGAGAGAGAGAGAACACAATGTTGGATGGTGACATTAAACACACACACACACACTTGTTGAACATAAAAAAATTTCCGCTTGAACGAAAAAAAAAATCAACAACAACAAAAATTCGATTGTTTTTATTTTAGGTAAATTTTTTTGCAATTGACAATTTGACAGATTTCTCATTATAGAGATCTTTTTCTTCAGATTCCTTATTTCTTTTCTATCTAGTTCATAATACAGAATCTACTAAACAAAACATTTTAAACATGTCAAAAAAATGGCGAAAAGAAAAAATCAAACGAAAATTGCTTTTTTTGACATTCGAATTCAACTAAATCCAAACATTTAGAAACACAATACACACACACACACAGTTATTTGGTTCTTACATTCGATTCATTTATCAAAAAAAAAGAAACTTACCACTTGGTAGATAATAATGATGAAACAGATATGTGTCCAAATAAAGTTTGAAGATCAATAAGAGCAAGAAAAAAATTATTATCAATGATTCAGATTTATGTCGATGATTATGATGATGATGATCAGATTTTTTTTTTGTTTAAATAAATAAAAATTAATTCAAAGATCAATAGGTTTGAGAATTCGAATTCCAAAATGAGATTGATGAAAATTTTCCGGTAAGTTTCAACAAAAAAACAAAAACAAAATCGAAATTCATTTAAAATTCATTCATGTGTTCGATGTTGTTTGTTTTTTTGTTTGTTATCACCAGATTTTCATTGTCAATTGTTTTAGTGGATAAAAAATTTATTGAATAAATAACAAACCGTTTTTTTTTAATTATCCACAGTGTTGATGTGTCAGTGTTTTAGATTTGATGGCAATAATTTCGGGTTCTTATGGTGTGTGTTTGTGTGTGTGTGTGTAATGAATTTTTTTTTTTTTTTACTTTGAACAGATATATTGTTGATGTTGATTTTTTTGTCGGTTGTGATGTACAGAAGAAGAATATTGGCTTGGTTGGCTGGTTCTCACAAAAATACTCACACTGTGCACAATACATAGCAAACACACATACACGCTCGTTTCGAAGACTTTATCATCAAATACATAAAACAACAACAACAACACCACCACCAATGTAGTCATTTGATCATCATCATCATCAACAACTCCTATATTGGCTGTATGTGTGTGAATGAAACTTGAAAATCGAATCAAATTTACCTTGTTTTCACGAATTTAAAAATCACTCTCAACGAGTTATACCGGATATCAAGATAATATTCAAAAAAAAGATACTACCATAGATAGTGTAGTACTCTTATATTCACTGAGTTTATGACGTGATAATACGGTAACATATATTCAACAACAATCTAGCGTAACAGGCTTTGCTGCTGCTACTACTGCTACTACAATTTTGATTTTCTCTCTCGTTCGTTTCTCACTCAATTCATTCACGATCCAAGCTGGCTGAATATGACTTTTTGTTGCTTTATTATTGCTACTACAGTAATAATTTGGTTATAACACAATAGTTACGCAAGTGATCATTGTCATTAAAACAGCGAATATGACTGTATTTTCTTTTTATTTCCAATAATGAATACCATATAAATGAAACGGAATTGATTTCCAAGAAGAAAATGAGTGATGATGAGCAGCAACAAGTAATAAATTTTTGTATGATTCATATTTGTATGTTTATTGTGAATCATAATTTATTAGCCAGGTCTAGATCTTTCATCTGCAGATAATCGAATGAAATAAAACAAAACAGGAACTTTGAAATTTGGTGGGAAATTCGAATTTTTTTTCATCTTACAACCATATGAATCATATTGAGCGAAATCTAGTGTCAATTCCTGTCATTAATTCTGGATTTTTATTTCGAGCCGGTTTACAAACGAACAAAGATATGAATTTTACTGAATGGTAATTTTTTTTTAATTTTAACAAGCCCAATTCTTTGTACATGATGATGATGATGATGATTATCTTGTCGATCGTTTGACATGATTAATCGATTGTAATCATTTTTGCCCGCCTTTTGTATACAAGAAGATTGTTGATTGGTGATGAAAACTTTCGTGTGTATAAAGAAAAAAATGTAAAGATTTTTTTTGTCTCGCGCGCACGTTGCGCACGTTTCGTGCTCGACATTCTCGATATCGAAGAACCCCTAAAAGAAAAATCTTAAGTTTGGAATAAAAAAAAAAAAAAAGTTGTTGAGCTACCCAACATATATCAGATTTATAAATGGACCCTTGAAAAATAAGACTAACCATTATGTACTGCCGCCACCACCACCACCACCACCACTATTACACACTATTGGACGATATATATCGATGATGATGGAACGATCATGTCTGCACTATTTTTTTTTTCTATGGTGTATGGCATGGCTAATACTTGTTGAAAGTTTCAAGAATACAGACAAGGCTTACATTTTTTTTTTGTTGATTCTTGTTTATCCATGAGTTCGTCGTCGTCGTTGTTGAGAAATGTGATTGTTGATCAAAAACCATGGTTTCTTTTTTTTTTGGTTATAGGAAAACTAGTGTGTATGTGTATACCAACAACAACAACAACAACAATCATCGTGTGTCGTAGCGGCTAAAATTGTATCGGGCTTTTACCAAAAAAAAAAAAAAAAAAAAAAAAAAATATTTTGTAGCCATTTGTCCATTTGGGTTGTTGCCATATTAATCCCGCTTTAAGTATAGTTTCTTGGTGATTACTCTTGTCATGTGTGTATAAATGTGTGTATCGTTCGATCGTATCATTTTGATCGCATAAAATTTATTTATTGATGCTATATATACTCTCTCGAATGATGGTGTTCAATTTTCCTTACTTTTACTTTTAATGCAACATGTTTTTAAAAATCTGATCTCATTGCCCATATAATGTCCAACTTTTTCCAAGAATTCCATTGGTAGCTAACATCATCATCATCGATCGTACATACTCATCATTGTCATGTCTTGAATCAATGAATTTTTTTTTTTAACAAAAAACCAACAGAAGAAAAAATCATGTCAAAGAAAAATGTCAACTTTTTGTATTCAAAAACAACAACATCAACAACAACAACAATTCAAACCATCAAATATCAACAAAACATTGATGATATAACCATTTTGGATCCATTCACCAATCGAAATGTTATTCCATATTATCACAAGTGTTTCACACTATTTATTGCAATTTTATGGTTGATAAATTGTAAGTTTGTTGATTGTTACAACTATATCTAATTTATTGTTTAATAATTTTCATCATCGATTTTTCTAGTTTTCTGTACATATCCTGTAAATTGTTCTCAATCAATAATAGTCGCTAATCGTAAAGATATAAGAAAATTAGATGAATTAGCATTCAATAGAAATATTTCACATTATCATCATCATTATAATAATAAAAAAATATATGATGCTACCATACTCATTGATCAATTGGAAGATGCAATTGCCATTGATTTTGATTATGAACAGAATCTACTATTCTGGACTGATCGTGGTTTTGAAGCTATTAAAAGTTTAAATCTAATCGATCGTCATCATGTATTCGATGTAGCCAATACTGGTATTGAATCACCTGAATCATTAGCATGTGATTGGATAACGAAAAAACTTTATTGGGTTGATTCAGAAATCAATAATTTAGTAGTCAGTAATTATGATGGTACACAACGAACAGTTTTGGTGTGGAAAAATATGGATACACCGCGTACAATTGTTTTGGTTCCAAGTGAAGGGTAAGTTTTTTTGTATTCATTTCATTGTTGCTCATTCTCTCATGAATTTTTTACAGTTTCATGTTCTGGTCTGATTGGGGACAAGAACCAAAAATCGAAAAAATTTCAATGGATGGTGATGAATCGACCAGAGTGATTGTCATCAACAAAGATATTTATTGGCCAAATGCATTAACTGTTGATTATGAATCGAAACGGCTGTATTTTGGTGATGCAAAATACGGTTACATTGCTTCATGTGATTTTGATGGAAAAAATCTAAAGAAAATCGTGTCAAATGTATCGAATATATTTGCATTAACTATGAACAATAATATGTTGTATTGGACTGAGGTATCGAATGATATGCAAAATAATCGAATCCATCGAAATGGTCTCTATTATTTTGATATGGATACCGGTATTGTTAGTACGCCGAATCTGAATCCCGAATTACGGCTATCACCGATTGGCATTACAGTGTTTAGTTCATCAAGGCAGCCAAAATCTTTCAATCCATGTGATCGAAATAATGGTGGTTGTTCACATTTATGTTTATTATCGTCAGCTAATCCATCGCATTATTCTTGTGCTTGTCCGACCGGTGTCATCTTGAAATCAGATAATCGAACATGTCATTCAAATGCACAGAAATTTTTGCTATTAGCACGTCGATTCGATATTCGAATAATTTCATTGGATACGGCTGATTATACGCCTGTTGTGTTGCCCATACGTAACATGAAAAACACAATCACATTGGATTATGATCCAGTAGAAGGTAAAGTTTATTGGACCGATGATGACTTACGTACGATCAAATGGTCCACCTTAAATGGATCTCATCAAGAAACGATTATATCGTCGGAAATAATGCATACAGATGGTTTGGCCATCGATTGGGTTGCTCGAAATATCTATTGGACAGATACGACCATCGACCGCATCGAAGTGGCACGACTAGATGGTTCTTTTCGAAAAATTCTAATCAATGAAAATATTGATCAACCACGTGCCATTGCCGTACATCCATACGAAGGTCTAATGTTTTGGACAGATTGGGGTCAAACACCAAAAGTTGAACGAGCTTCATTGGATGGATCGGATCGAATTGCTATTATAAATTCATCTCTGACCTGGCCAAATGGTCTTGCTATTGATTTTGAATTATCACACATTTATTGGTGTGATGCTAAAGAGAAAACTATAGAAATGGCACGTTTCGATGGATCTGATAGAAAAACCATTGCATCATTTGATCGTTCACATATGTTTGGTTTTTCTATGATCGATGAATGGATTTATTGGACAGATTGGACATTGCGAACAATTGAACGTGTACATAAAATGACTGGTCATGGCCATTCGATAATCATTGAAAATTTGCCCGATTTGATGGGCCTCAAAGCAGTGGGAAAACAATTTACCGAAACAAATGCATGCAGTGCACCACATAACGGAAATTGTTCACATTTCTGTTTCAATCGTCCTCATCAGCGATTTGTTTGTGCCTGTTCGGATGGATTCGAATTGAATGAAGATGGACAAACTTGTAGCAAATCTGAATTATATTTTTTTGTGCTTCGCCATAATGATACGACAAAAATTTCTTTTAGAGAAAAAAAGAAAATTCCTTTGCCCATCAATGATATGCATTGGGCTTCATCATTTGATGTTGACATTGGCGGCAATCACATATATTGGACCCATAATAGGAATCGAATAATTTACCGATCATTGATCAATGGATCAAAATCTGAAGCAATTGTTCAAACTGGACTTGGTAGCCCAGTCAATTTGGCCATTGATTGGATCAGTGAAAATCTTTATTGGGTGGATGTTGAATTCCGACGTATCGAAGTGGCCAAATCAAATGGATTTTTTCGTCGTATACTATTTTATGATCGTTCACGACAACCAAATTCATTGGTTGTGGATCCAATTGATAGCCATTTATTTTGGAGTGATTGGTCCAATAATGGTCGTATAGTGTCATCATTTCTTGATGGAAACAAACGAAAAAATATTGTTGATTCTGTTGGAAGAGCTACCGGTCTAACGATTGATTTTTATGCAAAAAGATTGTTTTGGATTAGTTTGGATAAAATCATGTCTTCATATTATAATGGCACTGGAAGATCATCCATTACTTTGGATTTCACCGTTCCTATCAAACCTATTAGCATGGCTATTGATGAAAATTTCGTATATTTTCTTAGTCCAGATTCGAAAACATTAGAATTTGTGAACAAAAGTCATGAAGAATATTTTCAACAAAATATATGGCTAAAAGATGATCTATTCTCGGCTGCAAATCATTTATCAATCTACGATGTTAGCATTCATAAAGGCTGGAATATGTGTTCCGATAAGAATAATAAATGTGAACATTTATGTTTTATTAAAACAAAAACCACGCAAAAACATCGACATCAAGATCCTTATTGTAGCTGTGCATCACATTATACGCTGGATACACATGATTTTAAACGATGTTTACGTATGTATTTTATCCGAATGTTTTATTGATTGATCATTTTTTTTCTTTGATTCCATTTATAGCTCCAGAAAAATTTCTTCTATTCAGCCAGAAAAATTTAATCATGAGATTCTTGTTTGATCCAAAGACAACAACATCCGGAGATTTTCAAGACATCATATTGCCTATACACAATCTTAAAAATGTTCGAACATTAGCATTTGATCAATTTGATCATTTTGTTTATTGGATTGATGGTAAATCAATTAAACGTACTAATGCTAGTGGTCTATATCCGATCGAAACATTACTATATCCACATCAATCCGTGCAACCAATAGATTTGGTTATAGATCCATATGCAAGAATCCTATTCTGGACATGTAATATTACTAATTCAATCAATGCAACACGTATTATTGGAAAACCAATTATGGTCGGTACAGTTCATCATAATCCAGCCACACAGGACCGACCACGTTTATTGGCCTATCATCAGAGAACAAAGTATGTGGAGAAAAAAAATCTTAATTCATTGTAAAAACATTATTTTTTTTCTCTCATAAACAGCATTCTATTTTGGACCAATAATATTGCATATCCACAAATCCGTCGAATATCATTTATACCGTCAATGAAAAAAACTACTGTAATTAAAGATCTCCGATTTGAAGTGACAGCCATAGCAGTTGATCAAGAATTGGATATACTAATTTGGTTTGTTTCATTGATGAATCAAATCGAATGCAGTAATCTGGAAGGTTATTCACGTCAAGTGTTATATAGTGAAGATAATCTTTATCCAATCGCTATGGCTGCTTATGATCGATATTTATTCTGGATTGAAAGAGATAAGAAATCTGTAATGAAATTACCATTAGATCTGAATGAAGGAAAAAATAAACAAACCATATTCATCAAAGATCATACGTTGACCGATATAATAGCCGTACCACAAATGTCAAAATATTCATCGGATTTATTTTGTAGCGTAGTTTTTTTTTTGTAATCTAATTAACAAAACATTCGGAAGCAACATTCATAAGAGCTTTGTTTGAGCATTTTTATCCCTTCTCACTCGGAAGGGAGAATTTCTTTTTCTCAATCATAAAGCATATGTTCTTCCAAAAGAAATTGCGAAAAAATCGGTTTCTGAAGTTTTGTCTTTAAAGTCAAATGTTTGCCTAACTTTCGTTCCCCGATTAACATTTTTTTTGTGCTTGTTTTTTGATTACAGAGAGAAAATGGCGGATGTTCACATTTTTGTTTCGTATCAAATTATTCCAGTTCATTTAATTGTACCTGTCCACAAGGTCTAATGTTATCGGATGGTGAAACCGCTCGAGATTGTATTGATGTTATTGAATGTAAAACTGGTGAATATCAATGTCATACGGGAAAATGTATTCCAGGATCGTTACGTTGTAATGGAATCTCAGAATGTCCTGACACATCGGACGAAATGGATTGTCCGATTTGTGCTACAAATCAAACAATTTGCTACAATCATGATAATTTGTTTTGTCTGGAAAAACGCCAACTATGTGATGGAATTAATGATTGTGCCGGTGGTTTCGATGAAATCTGCTGTAATCATGAATATGAATTCCGTTGCAATAGTAATAATTGTATTACTAAACAACAGCTATGTGATGGAAAACAAGATTGTTTAGATGGTGAAGATGAACATTCGGATCGTTGCCATGATCTTGCCAATAACATGAACAATATTGGCAACAAAATATCCACATCTAATCCTATTCCAAATCTGCGTTTTATTTTTTTGATCGTGATTTTCGCCATCATTGTTTTCATCTATTCATATTATCAATGTCGCCGCTACAATCATTCTAACCATAATGATGATAAAGATGTTGGAAATGGTGTGAACGATATGTTAATGACTGAACGTTATTCATTGCCTGGATCAACAACCACTACTGATCGTGGAAATATTATCATCAACAATAATAATCGTAATCCACATAAAAAACATCAATTGAATGGATTCATTAATACCACAAATAATAATCTAAATGGCACCGTTGGTAAACTTGATTGTAATACAATGACAACGACTACGACAACAATATCGAATGGTATGGATACACTACCAACCGAACATTTGAACAATATACTTGGTGGTGTTGGCTCATCAAACATGAACAACAATATGACATCAATGAATCCATCATCATCGATTATATTGACACAAACTGAATCATTGATTGAACGCAATGTTACCGGTGCATCAAGTACAAGTTCATCGGCAAATATTGCAGCATATGCACAGCAAGCAATCAATCCACCGCCTAGTCCGGCAACACAACGTTCACAATGTTCAACATTATCATCCTCATTATTCGTTGCTCGACCACGACAAGGTCGTAATATTAAAAACAACATGTTCGCTAATAGTAGTGGTAGTAAAAATCGTAAAAAAACCAATAAAAACAAGAACAAATGGAATAATAAATTATCGAATCGTGGTCCACCACCAACACCATGTAGTACAGATGTTTATGAAGATATTGAACCATCCACAATCAAATATGTATATTATGATAATAATCAAACAGAAATGGATGATGAATATGACTATAAACCACCACCACCAACACCGCGTTATTTTTCCGATCCAAGTTGTCCACCATCACCGGTTACTGAACGTAGCTATTGTAATCCATATCCACCACCACCATCACCAGTTCAAGATTATGAATGAATGGTAAAAAAAAAATCAAATTTCATCATGTAAATAATCATCATCATTTTTTTTATTATTTGTATGTAAATATTCTGTTGAACATTTTTTAATTTATTTTCGAAATAAAAAATTTTTTGTCTAAATGAATGAAGAAAAAGGATGATAATTTTTTATAATAATAATAGAATAATAATCTTAAAATAAATGAATGAATGAATTTTTACGGTGATTGTTTATATGAATCTGAATATTTATCCGTGCTACCATTATTTGTTGATAATAACTCATTATTATAACGGTTACGTTTACGGCTATCAGGTGATCGACTACTGCCATGACGATCACGTTTACGATCTCGATCGCGTTCACGATCACGATGATGGCTTTTACTATTATGATCTCGATGATGGTTACGTCCACCACTATTGCGGTCACGTTCACGATCACGACTTCGTTCACGACGATCAGATCGATCACGACGATTACGATCACGTTCACGACTTCTACTTCGTCTCATTGGTCGATCTCTATCTCGTTCGTTGCGACGATCGCGCATAGAATTTCTAATGTGGACAAAAACAGAATAAATTGAATGCATAAAAATTTCCATAAAAAAATACATACTTTTCATCTCGATCATCACCACCGCTACGGTAATCATTTGAAGATTTCATTGAACTACGACTATCGCCCAAACCGCCACCTAATCGTCGTGGTAACCATCCTTTAACTGTACGGCCACGTTCAACATCAACTAATACACGACGTCCTTCGATTTTTTTACCATCCGCATGTTTATAAGCAGCTATATTTTTTGCAAAATTGGCAGGATAGACACAAAATCATAAACACTTACCCCCAATAAAAAAAAACAAACACAAACAAAAAAAAACATAAGAAATCAAATTGGAGATCGATTGCGATTCTCCATATATGAAGCAATACCTGACCACCTAACATCTGATATTTTTTTTTGTATCTCACCGTTTCATTTTCTATCCATCAAACGAATGTAAAAGAAACCTGACCATTGTGGCAAAATTCATTTTTTTTCATAAATTATTTTTTTTCACATTTACCTCACAACTTACGGTAATATCCAAATCACATGAATGATTTCGAAAAATAAGGATCTATATGTAATAATAATAATAATATAATAACCGGATCGAAACATGCAAACGGTTTTGAGTTTTTTTGCGGTTTAAACGGAAACGATCTTACCCCATCTTACCACAATCAAGTATAAGATGGTAGGAGATGGAATCAAGTCCGAAGTCAAATCGACCGATTCTGGAACAATTAAATGTACTTACAAAAGTTGTATGTTCGGTCGTTTTGGAAATTGTTTTTACTTTTTCGATAAAATGCGAACAATGCTTACCTACTAAATCATTCATTTTAGCTTACTGTTTTTTTGTTACCTTTCTTACATCTGTATTCAATTTCAATTTGCTTTGATTCTTTGATTTATGCAACTCAATTCATTGTATGAAAGATGATTGATTGTTTGATAGAATAGCTCGAACATCAAATTACGTCAAATACTTACAATGCATATCCCTTTCATTTTCAAACTCAATAAAAGCATAGCCTCTAGGTTTTCCTGATATTTTGTCATGTATTAACATTACCTGCATTAAAAGAAAAATAAGATGTAACAATCACATGAAAGTAAAAAATGAAATTGAACAAACTTTTTTTATTGGACCATATACTTCGAATTCTTTTCGAAGACGTGATTCCGATGTATCGGAATTGATACGGGCCACAAACAGCGTTTTATATGGATCATTCGTAGCATATTGATTATTACTTGGATCCCCTGTTTAATAATCAATTAGAAAAAAAATAGTTGAATAAATAATGAATTTCGATAATTTTACATACATAAAGCTATTCCCTGTTCACGAATATAAGCAGCTCTTTCCAGTTTTTCACGTTGTTTACGTTCCAATCGTTCTTCTCTTGTTTCAATTTTTACAGCAGGTGGAGTATCTTTTGGATCCTATTTTATTTTAAATTATAAATCATTATTAATCAAAAAAATCACATATATACCTCAAAAAGATGAAGATATTGTCCGACACCAAAATAGCCATGTGTTTTCTTTTCATGATTTAATTTGGTTACCGGCGGTAGATATGGAATTGGATCTCTTGGCGCAAATAATGCCAAAAGATTTGGTGGTAAAAATGCTGTCATCAATATTATTCTTTATATCGATTTTCAACAAATATAATGAGATTTTCAAGTAAACAAATTATGAATTTTGTTTGATCATCGAACAAAGATCCAAACCAAAAAAAAAAAAAAAGACCAATGCATGCTCAGAGAAACAGAGTGCGTGTATTATTCATAAACACTATACGCCATTTTTTTTGTTGTTGATGGTCTTCATCACTCACATGTCAATTGAGTCAATTTTTATATTCGAAAATCAAAAAAAAGTTTTTGTTTAGTTTTATTTGGATTGAAATCAAGAATATCATACATATAAAAAAATGATCATCCCAATTCGTTGTTTCACTTGTGGTAAAGTAATTGGAAATAAATGGGAACCATATCTTAATCTACTTCAAGCCGAATACACTGAAGGGTAAGATATTGGATATAATGATGATAAATTTGAAAAAACTTACAAATTTTCATTCAATTTTCAATCAGCGATGCTTTGGATGCACTTGGCCTGAAACGATATTGTTGCCGTCGAATGTTACTTGGTCATGTTGATCTTATTGAAAAATTACTCAATTATGCTCCTGTAGAGAAATCTTAATTTTAATTTAATTTTATCAAATAAAAATACACATTTTTTTAAATAAAAAAAATTTTTTTATTCATTTTTTCAAAATTTTAAATTTTTTAAGCAGTCAAAATACAAGCACCACCAACAGCTTTAATTTTTTGTTCTGCATTTTTACTGAAAAAACGTGCCTTGACAATGATTGGCTGTTGTGGTAGAATTCCTTTGCCCAAAACTTTGAAATAACCCTAATGAAAATTTAAAAAGAATAAAAAAAAATGTCATTCAAAACTTGTGATCAATTTAAAATTTAAAGTATTGAAAAAATTAATACGAAAATAAGCCATGAATATTTTAATATATGCCCCTTTTGACACCCAAAAATCATTGGTTTTAAAACGATTAACAGGTAACACGGAGGCAAAAAAAGAAAAAAATTACAGAATCAAATATAAAAAAAACTTACATGTTTAACAAGGTTTACCACTGGTGCTTTACCACTTTTTTCTTTAGCATAATGTTCACGTGCTTCATTGCCCAATAATGACCATAAATTTTCCACATTTATAGTTGGACAATAATGTTTCAATGTATTCTTTTTCACATGAAAATTCCTCATACCAACTTTGCCAAAGTAACCAGGATGGCTAGATTAATTGATGAAAAATATAGGGATTAAATTCAAAATCAAAGAACGAAGCAAAAACTTACTATTTATCGAAATTGATTCGATGATGAGTGAGACCACCAGCATTACCACGACCACCTGGATGTTTACGATGTTTTCCAATACGACCATGACCATGTGAAACATGGCCACGAAGTTTACGTGTTTTAGTAAATCTGGTTGGCTACATAAATTAGTAAAAAAATTGATTAAAAATTTAAAAAAAAATTTGGAACCAAAAAAAAAATTTTTACCATTTTTTTTACAAGTCACACACACAATGTTAAGCGGAAAAAGGAACACTCAATTGCCACACACGAAAACAGCACAGCAAAGCACAGCATTGAACTGTAAAGTGTGAGTGTGTGTGTGAGAGAGAGAGAGAAGGCACATGTCAAGTTTTCATGTGCCATTCATATACACTATAATACGAACATGCGCATTGCTACAACTTGAAGCTCAAAATTTTCATTTGTTTCATTTCAGGTATTTTGAATGAAAAATTCTTTTAACAAAAAATTTATATCGTTGTATTTGCATAATCAATCAGTGATTAAAAATGTTTTCCTCACAAACGACTGGAACAAACACTGGCTTTGGCATCGCACCGACATTCGGTGCAACAAGCACTGGATTTGGAACAATCCAACAGCCACAACAACAACCAACAGCAGCTGCTGTTACAGGTTTTGGAATGTTTAATTCGGCCAATTCTTTTACGAATAATAATAATAAACGAACATTCGGTGGTCCAATACAGCCACAACAGCCAACATTGACATTAACATTGAATACTCCGGCATCGACATCCACAACTGTAGCAACGACATCGACAACAACTTCGATTGGATTGGGTGGTGCACCACTTCCATCAAGTAATGGAAAATACGTTGGTGATAATGTGGCCAAGAATAAATCATATCGTGACCAATTGGTTCCACCAGAAATCATTCCACTTGTGGAGAATATGAAAAAATTTCTAGAGAAACAGAAACAAATCCACGATGAAAATGCACATGGACATTTCTATAAAGATTCAATACTCGAGATCGGTACGACCATTGAAGATGAACTTAAAGTTAAAATGAACAAAATCGATATCCAATTACAAAAGAATGCTAAAGCAATCGAATTTCTTAAAAAAGATACGAATAATCTATTATCTAATGGTGAATTGGTATATCGTATTTCAAGACTTGATTTACCATTATCTAATTCTGCCGAAGTTATTGCACAAAATAATTTCATCAACGCCAAGACACATCAATATTTTATGGAAGTTTTGGATAATTGTAAGAAACAAATGGCCGAATATTCTGAACAAATTCAAACATTAAAATCTCATTGTGCATTGACAAATGATCGACAACAATATACGGCCGATGAAATCAATCAAATTATTCGAAAACAACATGAAAATTTTGTTGCATTAGCATCGAAAGTTTATTTAATACATGAATATGCCAATAAATTACGTGTAAAAGCAGCGAATGATTCAAGCAATGATATTGCATTGATTAATCGTAATAATATAGAAATGTCAAATCGTAATCAACAACAACAACAACAACGTCTAACATCAAGCGATCCATATGGTCCGACACCATTTTTGGCCAAATCAAATAATATTTTAATCAATATGGCAGGTGTTCATCAAACACCCGTTTCGTCAGCAATGCCAACCATTACCAATTTCAGCCAACAACCACAACCAACAACATCGTTTACTAGTTCAATGTTCAATTTTGGTGGCAACAGCAACAGCAACAACAACAACAATCTAATGACATCAAATGCCAATACTTCATTTTCATTCGGTAAAAACAAAAAACTTTGATCCATTTTTGGTGTTCCATTTTGAATTGTTTCAACTTTCTTATTAAATTATTAATATTGGATGATAATTTCTTCAAGTAAAATTTTGCTTCGCTAAATGAGGATTGAATTGTGAATTATATTTCTGCTTTAAATCACTGTTCGCTATGGAACGTGATGAAGACGACGACGGTCCTTGAATCAATTGTATTGCACGATCACGTTCTCTTCGTTCACGATCCAAACGTTCAGCTCGAAGTTTTTGTAATAAAATTTTTTTACATTGATTATCTGAATCCGAATCAGATGATGATGATGATGATGAATGACGATGTTTACGCTTTTTACGTTTTTTATTCTTTCTTTTATGATTTGAGCTCACTAGATCTATGTCCTCGTCTTTAATGATTTTTGGTGGATGGGTAACTTCATTCATGTTGAATGTTTCATTCTTTTTCATCACTGACAAATAGCTTTTCATATTTTCCAATGGATCATTCATTCGTTTATTACGTTCATCTTTGGCATTTTTAATCGTATCATCATTTTTGGCATTGATATTCATACGTTCTTCATGTGATTTTAGATACCATTCATCGTTGGCATTTTTTTCATGTTTATATCGGCCATCCAGATAGCTAAATATTCCGGTTCGAACTTCCCATTTTTCTTGTTCAGCTTTTTTCTCTTCTTTTTTTCCTGAATCTTCAGAAATTTTATCTTTGAAATCTTTGAATAGATCAAACTTTTCTGATGTATTTGTATCATTTTTTCGTTTATTATCATTAGTTTCAATACCATGTTTATGTTTTAGATGATCAATTCGAGCTTCATGTTCAGCCAAACTAATTCGTCGTTGAAGTTCTTCTTCTTCAAGTCGTGCTTTTTCCTCATCACGACGAACACGGGCAATATTTTTCTTGGTACGAACATGCCAGGATTTATGTGGCAAGATATTCATTTTCAAAACAATAAAATATCATCATCTGAGAAAATTAAAATAACACAACACACACATTTCATCATTATAAAACGATGACCTATTTCAAAGTATCGATTGTTCCATATCGATACCTGTAATGTTTGTGGAAGAATAAAATTTACAATCCATATTGAGCCAGGTTTTTTTTACTTTGAATCTTTTGAGCCAAATTGATTTTTAATAATTATTCTATATTTCTTATCCGATGAAAATATTTTGTTTTTGTTTTCATTTCATACCAAAAATTTCAATAATCAATCATTTATGTGCCAAAAAAATGATGATAATGATGACTAGATGATCTCCATTTGTATTTAATTTAATTTAATTATTTATTATTTTAAAACCTTTCATCAATCATGTATTAATCCATAAGTAAATACTACCTAACCAAAAAAAAACAATGATAAGCAACAAAGAAAAACGTTTATCACATGCAGCACCAACATTATCTAACAATGATGGTTTTAATTTTGCATCGGATGCAATCATAGTGAATCATATAAAACCGCCAAATTATGGCCTAAACAACAACAACACTAATCATCATAGCAATGTGCCAATAAATCATATGAATGTACCAATGAAAGATCCACATCTGAAAAAACTTGTACAAGAACAACGAAACAGTCATAGTTTAAATCATGATTTTTCACAGCTGTATATATCGAATCTAAAGAATCAGATTGAAAGTCATACAACATCATCTGGTGTGAAACATCGAGCCATAGATCCTAATCGTGGTTTTGAAGAGATGAATTCCTACAAAAAAGAAGCGTTGGAATCGAAAAAACAAATGTTTCAAATGGAAAAGGTTTTTTTTTTCATTTTTGATGATTTATTGTTTATTAATTTGAAAATTTGAAATTTCTCTCTAACAGTCAATAAGTTTTTGGAGTGATTGTACCGAGTATTGGCGAAATAAATGGCGGATAACAAGAGATGAAAAAAATAAATTAAGAGATGAAGTGAAACAACTTCGTTCTCGAATGAATAAACTTGAACATCAGCTAAAAACATCCGAAGAGAAACGAATACGTTTGGGTAATGAAGTGAATTTTTTGAATGAAGAATTATCACGTTATATGTATCGATATGAAGATGATACAGCAGTTAATAATCGGAAAAAACCGACAACACATAATCCTATTCAATATAATTCAGATCGTCGTGTTGATTATCGGAAAAAACATCGACGAAAAATCCATAATTTGATTGCTAAATCATCTACAAATCAAACGACAATTCCATCAAATATTGAATCTTCCAGTAGTGATTCCGAGAATCAACATCATCATAATGCTCAATCACATCATTCATACACAATGGTGCAACCACAACAACAACATCAGCAGAAAAAACATTATGATATCGATCAAATTCATAGCCTAGGAAAATTTTCATCAAATTCAAAAATCGTATTCCGTCATCATGAGAGACTATTTGACAAAAGAATTATGAACAAAAAACGTTTCTCACAAGTAGTCATGTTAGATGAGGATGAAATTTTCCAAATGAACAAAGATTTTCCATTGGCATCGTCATTATCGAAAACCAATGCAACGACAAACGATGATTGCGATACATTGAAAATTAGCCATAGTAGTAGTATAATGCAACAATCTGAACTCAATGATACATTGAATACTTTTACAAATAGCCATAAACATCGTTATATGGATTATCTACCCGAAGATGTGGAAGAAGAAGATTCATTTGATGATCGTATAAAACCTGGACAATTTTTTAGCGATGATTTAGATTTTGAATCAACTGGACTTGGTTCGTCCACTACAAACATTGTTGCATCAACAAATAATATAGCTACAAATAATAATAATACCTCAGAAAGTATTGCAAAAGTTCACGATGATTCAATTAGTCAAGATGAAGGGAATGGTGAAGAAAAAACGGACAATAACAATAACAATGATGATGATGATGAAAAAATCGAATGAAACATTCGAAAATGGTAATAATGATGATGACGATGATGATGAGGTTTAGTGTTTGTTAGCCATATTTTTAGCTTTAATTACTTATATTATATCGACCGTAAATCATCATCATCATCATTGAATAATCCAACAAATATCTGTGATTGTATAATTTAGATTTGAACTCGATGTTTTTTTTTGCTGCTGCCAAATAGATTACATTTTTCATTTCTTTGTTTTTTATTTCAATTTTTTTTCGAATTTAAAATGTGGTTGATTGATAATAATAATAATAAAATCATTTAATTAATAAAAAATATATTTGTGAATTAGATATAAGTAAAAATAATATAGTATAGATTTGAATTTTAAATTTCAATTTTTTTTTAGAAATACAAAAAAAAAATCACTCAAAATATAATCGATATAATCGTTCAGCTTTTTTTCTATTGTTTTTCATGATGATGATGATGATGAAAACCTCGAGTACCATCTGGTCCTAATGGTTGTCGAATAATTCGTTCATTATCATTGTCATTATTTGTACGAATCAAATTCAATAATGGCTGTTTATTATTATTGTTATTATTGCTGAAAACGTCCGACATCATTGTTGGCTGTGTTGTTTGTTGATTTTGTTCGCTGCTATTGTTCAGATTTATCGCTGCAGTCATGTTGAACACTAAATCTTCATCGGGCATTACTTCGCCCAGAATCCGCAGCCTTGCTTTAGCATATTCTGCTTGTTTTTCTTTGAAACTTTTCTTTAATTTTTCATGTATATTTTCTGCTTCATTTGATTTGGTCTCATTTTTTCCAGAATCAGAATTCTTATTTGGCCTATTCAATATACGTAAACCTTTAACAAATTTTGTACGAGTATTATCATCTTCAAGGATAATTTTCGGTTGATTTGTGAATGGAGAATCTGTATCATTATCATCGATATTGTTGGACACACGTTGTATGATTCGAAATGAAGAAGATGATGATGATGATGATTCGCCATTTAAGTTTTGATTATTGACGCTCAAAGGCGATTCAAAATTATCAGCAAAAGTAACATTGCCAGTAGCAACCGTGGCAGAAGTACCAACACCTGAATCGATTTCATTTTTAGTATTTGCTGCCAATATACTCGAATAGGTTGGCTTTTTATTGGGTTTGATCACAATTTTCTACGAATATAATAAATCAATAAAAAAATGAAAAATTTTACAGGTTTTAATTGAGCAACAAAAAAAACTTACATCGACATCGACATCTTCCCATGATTCACAAACATCGTCGGTCATTTTTAAAAATTGAATGTTTTTTCTCAAAATAAATGTGATATAAAAAGTTTAGAAAATTCTAAACAATTTTTAGATGCAGAACATTTTGTATTTTGTTTAAAAAAATTACATTCAAAATACCGTTCAATATTCAATACTCTCATCTGAAGATCCAGAAAAATTTTTCATTAGAATTTCTTCTTGAATAAAGCTATTTTGATTATAAATATCACAAAACCAGGTGAATGAAATAATTATATGAATAATGATAATGATGAATACAGGATGCAAAACGAAAAATTATCAATTTATTTTTCTTTCGTTCGACACGATATATAAATTGTGAATAATAAATATATTTATTGGAAATATGATGATTGCTGCCAACTAAATATGTGTATTGCTTGAGATATTACCCTAAAATCACGACTATAAGACGTTCTTATACGAAAAAAAAGTTGAAAAATAGTCATACATCATACAGTAATTTAGTTAATTGGTGCGGGTTATAGCCGTTATATTACTTTATGGGAAAAAATATCTATAGTCACGATTTTAGGGTAGATAGACACACATATGTATAAATACAACATAGATAATCGAATAGGACGAATCTATCGATTGTTTGTTTGTTTGAATGTACCGTTTTCAAATAAAAATATTTCTTCAACATCGTGAAGCACACCCACATGCACATAAAACAATACAGAAATACAAACAAACACCCATTCATTTGCTAACCTCATGCAATAATTTCACCACATTTGTATGCGTAAATTCAACAACGCATTTAAATACACACATACCATCACAATATAAACAACAACACATAATTTTTTTTTGCTTTATTTTTTCACTTTTATTTGTATAAATTTTGATGATTTCTTTAATTATTGGATCTTATACATGCAAAAAACATCCTTTTGGATGACTCACCATAAACAAAGTATTATTATTATTGTTGTGACAATTAGAATCCGGAATTGATACTTTTTAGATTTTCGGACCATCATTGGCCTCATTATTTTTTTCTGTTAATGATGATGATTGATGATGATGTTAAGTTTATTTCATTTAAAATGTCAAGTTTATCTGATGTAACGTACTATGTGAATGTATTATTGTGAGCAAGTTTTTTTTATGAAATCAATTGTTATTGTCTTTCTGTTGTTGAATGATGATGTTGTATTCTGAATTGATTCATTAAAAATAATTAAAACGATTATTTTCAATTCTTAAAATATCAACATTTTCATTATTGAACACACCATGACCACTTTGCAGGTAATTTAAATTATTATTTTTATCATTTTCATTCAATTTATTTTTCATTATATAAATCTTGATTGAACAAAAAAAAAAATGTAGAAAGCGATTGATCTGGTGACCCAAGCAACAGAAGAAGATAAAGCCAAGAATTATGAAGAAGCACTTCGATTATACAAACATGCATGTGAATATTTTATGCATGCAATTAAATGTAAGTCCATTGCCAGTGTGTCATGTCAATGTTTTTTTTATCGTTTTCCATTACAGATGAAGCTCAAACAGATAAAGCCAAAGATAGTATTCGACAAAAAGTTTTCCAATACATTGAACGTGCAGAAAAATTGAATGATTATATTAAAAAAATAAAAATCGAAAAGTAAACCTGTCAAAGATAATCCAACAAATGGTACAAAAACCAAAGATGACTCAGATGAAGATGATGATAAAGAAGAGGATAAGGAGAAGAAAAAATTGATGGCTCAATTGGAAGGCGCAATGGTCATTGAAAAACCAAACATACGATGGGATGATGTTGCTGGCTTAAAGATGGCTAAAGAAGCATTAAAAGAGGCTGTGATATTGCCAATTAGATTTCCTAATCTATTCACTGGTAAACGTAAACCATGGAAAGGCATCCTATTGTTTGGACCACCTGGTACTGGTAAATCTTATCTGGCTAAAGCTGTCGCCACTGAAGCTAGCAATTCGACTTTCATTTCGGTTTCCTCCTCAAATCTTGTATCAAAATGGCTTGGTGAATCGGAAAAATTGGTCAAAAATCTTTTTGAATTAGCCCGTGAAAATAAACCTAGTATTATTTTCATCGATGAAATTGATTCATTATGTTCATCACGTTCTGACAATGAATCTGAATCTGCACGTCGTATAAAAACCGAATTCCTTATTCAAATGCAAGGTGTCGGTAAAGACATGGAAAATATATTGGTATTGGGAGCCACTAATATACCATGGGTTCTTGATTCGGCCATTCGAAGACGTTTCGAAAAACGTATCTATATACCATTGCCCGATGAAGAGGCACGATACGTTATGTTAAAGATGAATATTGGAGATACTCCTAATTCATTGTCCGAACAAGACCTAAGAGCATTAGCTGATCGTACTGAAAGGTTTTCAGGTGCCGATATTTCTGTTCTTGTTCGTGATGCCTTGATGCAACCTGTTCGTAAAGTCCAAAGCGCCACTCATTTTAAAAGAGTTAGTATTCCATAATTGCAGGTTTGATAATGAATCATTAATCATTTTTTATCCTTTTACTATAGTGTCGAGGACCTAACCCTAGGAATCCAAACGAAATTGTCAACGACCTTCTAACACCGTGCCTACCGGAAGAATCTGGTGCTATAAAAATGTCATGGACTGATGTAGCCAGCGATAAATTGTTGGAACCACTTGTATCAATGTCTGACATGTTGAAATCATTGGCTAATGCTAAACCAACGGTAAATGAAGCAGATCTTGATAAATTACAAGATTTTATGCAAGATTTCGGTCAAGAAGGTTGATTAATTAATCCCATGTTTTAGTCGATAATAAAATTTTATTGATTTATTTTTTAATGAAAAAAAATCGAAAAAACTTACTAATAATAATAATACCTTTTATTGTTGTCGTCGTCGTCGCCGCCACCGCCGCTTCATTGATTCTTCATTTTTGTTTTTGATTGTGAATTTAGTTGATTAAAACTTTTATTTTTAAAAATCATCATTAATAAGTACAAAATATATTGACAAATCTTTTGACAAGCTGCACACACACTCATAATATTCACGTAAACATACACTCATTTAAAAAAAAATTTGTTATTTGTTTTTACCAATTATTGTTTCCCCACTTTTCCTTCTCAATAAAAACAAAACTTGTCTCAATTCAATCATGCCAAAATATCTTCCAATGTTATGATTAATTTTTGATAAATTGGATTTTCTTTTTTCAATACGGACCATTCAAATTCTGGTTGTTGATTTAATATTCGTATACAAATGACAGCTTCAGGTGGATTAATGAGGCCAAGATCTTCACACACGGCTAATAAATAAGAAACATCGATGGCTATTTGTTTACGAATCCTAACGGGTAATTTACCAATACGTTTTGATTTGATTGTCATCGATATATTTTGAATATGATCCAAAAATGATTGTATTGTTTTTCGTTGAACAAATTCTAATAACAATTCAGTAGGAGCTATCGATTCATTTGGTGAAGATCGAAAAATATCTGTACAATATTGTAGAGCTACTTTGAATGATGAATTTTCATTTAAATTGAACGGTTCTAGATGTTGAGGCAACAACAGCAGATATTGTCCAATTTGAGTTACATATTCGTTTGGTGTATATGTTGTCGATTCATCCAATTCAATATTGTCGACGGTATCATGTTCGGCTAGAGATTTTTCAATAAAAATATCAAAATTGTTCAATTGAATCTGTACATAATTGAACATTGCTTGATCAATATCTTTTGCATTAATTTTGATCAGATCGATACATTCATTGAGCACCTGATTCATAAGTGTTGATGGTGTTTGAATAAAATTCTCTATACGATCACGAAATTCAGTGTTGTAATCTAGATTCAATATGAATAAATCATATCGACGAAATGGACTTATCACATGTGAGTGTCGTTGCTGTTGTTGATGGTAATTTTTTTGATATTCAAGAAAATTGGAATGAATTTGTTGTAAAAATCCATGAAATTGATTGACAAAATCACCGTATGTTTGAAATTTGAATAATGTTTTTTGTAAACAAGACCAATTTGGCTGAATCGATGTAGTGTTTGTTTTTTTCGTGTCATTAATGTCATGTAGTAGCCATTGTTTTTTATTGTTCGTAGAATTGAGATATTTTAACAACAGATCTTCGATAACATCTTCAACAATCAACAATGGATATGTTTCAACATATTCGGAATAAAGTTTATATGAATCACGAACTAATGAAAATAATTTCAATACACAATGACTATTAATTAAATCTTCGTATTCTGTATGCATATTATCGAATTCATCATCCATTCGTTCTTTTTCATACAATACAAATGATTCGTTTAGCTTGGCAAATGGTTGATAAATGGTTCGAAGAAAAATGTCCAATGATTTCATTTTGTTCGTGTGTGATTCATTCATATGTTCTTCATCGGCTGAATATTGAGAGCAGATATTTTGTTCAAGATTTTTAACAAAACTATTCGTAAATTGTTTCAATTCAATCAATGATTTTTGCCGATATAATCGTTGACCATTTGTTTGATGTAAAAATTGATGAATAAATGTATCGATCGGTGGTTGAAGAGACATGATTATATCGGTGAAAATATCACAAAGAATTTGTAAAGACATTCCAAAATCTTCTGGATAAATAACTTTCATACAGAAATTCATCTGAATTTTCCATATCATATTGATTCGATCATAAAGAAAATTTAATTTATCCAATACGGTACCTTCGCTATCCAATTTAACTTGTGTAGACCATTCTTTCAATAATTCATCACGTAAACATGAATGATAATATTTAATTAATCGATCTGATCGTCGAAATTCTTTGAATAGATTGGAAAAAAATTCAATCGATGATTCGGATGATTTTGAAAATGCATCCATTAACATTGGTTCAACAAGTTTTTCAAATCTATCTTTCAGATTTTCCATTATTTCTATTTTATCCGTTAACTGGCTACCATCCGAACTACTTAAAGATAGTAATTCTAAACTTTTTTGCATACTTGAAATTTTCATTGATATTTGTTCAATATCACCGGTTTCGAAAACCTCATCAACATCCATGGATAAAACGGACCAATTATTAGCTTCTTGTAATGCTTGATATAAATCTTGAAGCTGTCGTTTAGCGTTATCCATTTTCATTAACGATTCAAGTACATCAGCATGTTGTTGTTCTGAACAGATTAATTTCGTACGAACATCAACAATTTGATCACGAAGTTCTTTCACTTCTTGATTCAAAGCATCAGCTTCATCCATCACTTTTGGCATCGATAATGACATACGTTGTGAGATTTCCTGCAATGAATGATTTGTCTCTTCCACCATGAGCTGTAATTTAAAGACAAGATTGTTGGCTATCGATTTTTTGTCCATAACGGTTGATGAATCATTATCATTATCATTATGATCGGTTGATGAAAATATCGAATTAAGCCATACAACCGGATCGAATGCATCTTTTGAGAAGGCAGAAAAATCCTTGAAATTTTTAAATTTAATTTAAAAAAAACAATTTATAAATAAATAAAACTTACGATATTATCCATTGTTAGATGTTAAAAAAAAACACCGGTTCATGGAATATTTTTATCGTTTATGTGTCTCATCAAAAAAAAACATGATCATGTATAACGAAAAAAGAAAATCGATTGTATCGCGATAATGGCGGTAGATTCGAACCATTGGAAAAGTATAAAAATTATATAAAATCAAATAATCGAATAATGAATTTATTTCAATAATTTGGATGATAATGGTGTTGATTTTTTAACATTATAAATATGAATGATCATCGATTCGAATTTTTTAAATAATCTTCTAAATAATGACAGTAATAATAATAATATATAATATATTTCCGCCAGCGGAAAAAAAATCACACAAATTTACAAAAAAAAAGGGAAAAAATTGGATTTCGTCATAATGATTTTGTGTTTGTGTGTGTATGGGGAATCAAAAAGAAATAATTATGAATAGTGTCGTGTGTGTGTGTGTGTGTATGTATTAAGAATTGAGATCAATTTCATGGCCATCAAGTTCTTTGTCACCATAAGGAATAATTTTTGAACACATTTCTTCAATGTATAATTGATTTGTTTTTGTATTATCATCGTCGCTTTTATTTGGATCTTCATTTATGGCTAGATGTAGATTTTTTTCACCCACATATCCATAAACGATTCCCATGCCGTTCGGTGTAAGTGTACAGCAACTAATATCTTTATCCGGTGTAAATGTCCACAGACAATTACCTAATATTGAAATATTAATCAATTTTAAATGGGAAATGTTATTTATTAATTACCGTTTTCAAGCGACCAAATTCTTAATTGTGTATCTTGGCGACTAGAATTATAAGAAAGAAATACATTGGATTTTGGTGCTGGATCCAATAGATCCGGTGGTGCAGTATGGCCTGACAATGTGTATCTAGTTTTTGTTTGTTTGTTTGTTTATTATGTTAAAAAAAATATTAATGATAATTGATCAATTCATTCATTCTGATTCACACTTACTTAATATTACCGGTGGAAAGATCCCAGACTAGTACATCGTTATTTTTAGTGCCATTTATAACACATCCACCGCATTGAGTAGAAATTGCAACTGATACTGAATCATGTTCGGGTTTCCATTTTTTAAATAATGTACCACTTTGGAGATCATAGACTATTAGAAAATTTGTTGCCGAAGTATTACATTCCTATTGAAAAACAATGAAAATCAATGAATAAAATTTTAAATTTAAATTATCAAGTTAGGTAATGAATCATACCTGACATACGGATACAACATAATGGCCATCATCACTGATAGCGGATAACCTAGTAATGAATTCATGATGTGGTATTCGCAAATCATACAGTAATTTTCGATTGGATAGATCCCAAACTAATAAGGGAAATGGTTTCTGTGTTTCATCACCACATACACATATTTTTCCATTCGCTGAGGTAAGTAGACTATTTAGGAATCGATCTTCACCAGCTTTAAATGTCGTTTCCAAATCCTAAAATACAGTACAATAAAGATAAAGACAGAGAACAGAAGATAAATTATAGTCATTAAATGTTTTTTTTTCTTTTTCATAATAATAATAATACTCACCCCTGTATCAAGATTAATCATGTTGACATACATTCGATTACGTGATAATGCTACGACATATTTACTATTATGAAGACCATAGTATGGCATTTTTTGATTCATCACACCCTTGAGCTTAGTAATCAATTTTGCCTTATTGAGATCATATAAAGTTAGTTCACGATTACATAATACAACCGTACATAATTGATCAACCATTCGTATAGCTCTTGGCTTTGGTATACTTTTCAATGTACGTGTTGGTTTCTGTTGATAAATATTCCATACAACAATCTCATCAGATTCTGTACTTAATGCAATCAGATAGAAATCTTCTAAACCAATTTGTTCTTTATTCAATATTGTTGTTTGATCACATCGAAGATGAAATAATTGTGTAAATGAATCGGCACGTATTGATTCCGAATATTGACTTAGATCGATGTGTCCGCTTATTGGCGATATGTTCGTATACGATTGATGGCCACCACTCATTGATGAATATCTACTTGATGAATATGGTGATGGTGTTGAGGCAGTTGGTATTGGTGATAATGATATAGGATCAGGTGATGGTGCTGTTATCGTATTGGCTGTTGTTGTTGTTGTTACTGGTGCTATTGTACCAATATTGGTCGTCTTATCCAGAATTTCATTATTAGGACGAATTTCTACTGATTGATTTACTGGTTGAGTATCTTTATGGACTTGAGCATTGGCAGTGGTGGTTGTGGTTTTAGTTGTTGTTGTTGATATTGTGCTTGTGGTAATTTTCGTGGCAGTTTGTGTTGTTGACGTTGCAGTTGCGGTAGTTGTTGTTGTTGTTGTTTCACCTGCCTGTTCAGTTCCATACGGTATACTTTCAGCTGAAACTTTTCTTTCGCTAGAATTTGCGAAAAAAAATTGAACAAACAAATTGAAATTTCCATCATCAATAATGATCAATTTATTAACATTTACCTTTGTTGTGATTGTTTTGAAGATTTTTTAATTGATGCACATGTGTTTCCCATTTTTTCGAAATGTTTTTTCTTCAAAGGAAAAAAAAATTTCAAAAATATTTGTTGGAATCAAATACAAGACACAAAAAAAAAAAAACCCAGGAAATCCAGGATTCAAAAAACAATTGATTCAGATATCACACACACACACACACACACAAACACATGAATCAAATTTGCATTGAAGATTATGGGGAAAAAAACATATCAAAGCATCATTTGTATTTTAGTATTTGTGTCTTGGTGTGTGTTTTTGAATAAATCTTGAAAAAAAATTCTATATTTTATTCATAAAGAATCCTCATCATTATGTTTGTATGAAAAAAGAAGAAGATGAATGGCAAAAGTCATTTTAAAATATGAGGAAAATCATCATCAACCTTACAATGAGTATAGACATTCAACAACAACCACGATGATGATGATGACGATGATGATGATGTCAAAGATGTGCAAGAATAAAAGAGAATCAGAATTCATAGGAAAAAAAAGAAAAAGCACGTAAAACCAAAAGATGATGAATGAATGTTTTAAATTTAGAAAATTCTTTCCTAAACTCGGAAATTCTTTGCCTAATTCACACCATAGTATTGCACAAACACAAAAACAAACAAACAAACAAACGACTAGATAGTAAAAAAAAGATTCGATTCGTTCATTATCGAATCACAAAAAAAAACTTGGAAAATAAATTATGAATTCTGGTCTATTGATGATTATTAATGAGAATTGGATTTTTTTGAAAAAATGAACATCAACAAGTTGGTATTCGTTGAATGTATACAAATTATAAAAAACGAACACAGCGATGAACGAATAAATGTTGTTATTGTCGACGATGATGATGATAATGATGTCGACGTCATATATTCAGCTGCATCAATATATTTTTTTTTTGTTTCACAATTTCTCTTTACGTTTATAAATGTATGCTGTGGTTGTGATGATACATCATGACTTTATGAATTTATCACACACCAACGAACATAGAAGATGGAGATGATTTGTTAAAAAAAACCGAAAAAGAATAATGAAAATTCGAACGTTTTTTGTTTGTTTGTTTGGTTGAGAAAATATTTTCATTTTTCGTTACTAAAAAAATTTTTTTCTCAATTTTTCATGATTTTGAATTCAACGATTAGATTGATTGATTATCCATCATCAATGGCATTGATGTGTGCGTGTGTATATGTATGTTTGTATGATCAAGATCATCAACATTATCATTGTCGATGGCTGCTACTTGTTGTTGTTGTTGTTGTTGTTGTCGTCGTCGTCGTCGTTGTTGTTGTCATTGTGACTGTATATAATTTATTCATATACGATAATTATAAACAATTTAATAGATCAATTTTGATCAATCATAGAACCAATCGCATTGGATGGCTTGATAATTTTTTTTTGTTTTCGTTTTCATTTGAAAAGAAGGGTCATTAAATGATGATGATGATGATGATGAAGATGTTGTTGTTTATAATACAAAATGATGATTATGATTTGACCCGAACAAATTGTTTCGAATGAATCGAGTGATCCAATTAGATGAACTTGTTTTTGAGCTTGTATAAGTGTGTTCAACATTTCATTTGAGGTCGAACATTAAATTTTGTTTCATTTTTATCAGAAAAAAAGAAAAACTTTTCGTTTCTAATTAAGATTAATCATGTTTGTCCATTTTTTTGAGAGGGAACAGATAAGAAAAATTTTTCAAAAAAAAATAAAATCATCACATGATGATGATGATGAAAAACAAATGAAATGGGAATTTTCAAATTAATCGAATGAAAAACAATTGAAAAATTTCCGAGAAAATTTTCACAGACAAATAACCAAAAACAACAACAAAAACACTCTAATCAAGAATATCATTTTTTTCCATCGATTTATTCATTCACTTGGTGGATGTTTTTTTGCATCAATTAATAATAGAATGAACTCAGCATACAGAATCAAATGATGCCACCGACACACACACACACACACTAACTGGATTTATTATATTCAGAATCGGATAAAAAAACTTTTTTTGTTTTTTTATTTTAGCCGCATCCCATGATGATTTGATATTTTCTTATATATACGATATATAATCAAAGATTATGATTATGTTTTTTGTCGTTGGTGGTGGTGGTGGTGGTGGTTGGTTGGTTGGCTGGTTGGTGAGCTCAAATAATAATAATAATGAAAACAAACAAACCAACCATCATCATAGAATATTTGAATGAATGATCTATTCATTTTAACATATTCATTCGAATTCATTCATCCATTCATTCGATTCGATTCAACCCAAACAAAATCTATACACACAAAATGTGAACAGAATATTCTTCTATATAATAGACTCTTTTTTTTCTAGGTCTCTTCCACATTCTGTATGCATTATTCTCGGTGTATGAGTGTGTGTGTGTGTGTGTGTGTGTGTATGTATGTATGCTGAGATTCGAGACTTTTTTCTTTGCTAGTTGTCGAAATATAGAGCTTACAGAATTGTTTTAGAAACATAAATGTCGTATAAGAAAATAGGATTCTGATGGCATTCAAAAAAAGCAAATAAAAACCTTTAGAAACAAACAAAAAAAAACATAATGAAAAATTCTATTTGCGGAAGAATTTATCTCATACAATGAGAGATTCTTCAAAAAAAAAAAAACAAATTAAAATGTTTAGGAAAAAAAACATTGTATACACACACACACACACGCGGACTTATACACAAATATCGATTCAATTCTTATAATTCTTATAGAATTGGAACAAAGAATTCATTCTTCTATGAAGTGATGAAATAATTTTTTTTTATTTCATTTATTTACATGGTCATTAATAATTTAAAAAATACTCATGAGTTACTGGAAATGATAATAATAACCATGTTTATTTATTTATATCTAAGAACTATAGAGCTGACCAGTGAACGTCAATTGTATTAAAATCTTATTATATATGTTAAGAATATTTTCTTGAAAAATTTGCTTTACGTAATAAAAGAAATCTTAAGAAATGTTCTTTTCAGCTAAAAAAAAACAAATGATCAAAAAAAAAGCTTTTTTTTTTTTTTTTGAAAAAAATCTTTATTTATTTTAGTTGGAAAAAAAATCAATCAATCCATTTTTTTTACAGGACAAATGATAATGTGACATCTTTCCTTAGGCCTTTTGTTTGCCTTTTCTGCCCTTGGTGGTTGGTTGTTCTTCAACCTCTTCAACATCGGCAGCATCATCAGCTTTTGTATTACGGGTGAAAATCATTTGCGAATGATGTTTTTCAATCAAACGAATAAGACCTTTACCATGTAATTCACTTAATGCACGTTTAGCCAATGATGCACGAACTTTAAGACGTTCGGATACTAAACTTGGTGTTATCAATTTATATGATGGAACTTCTTTCACAAATTTATCATATGTAGCCTTGTCAAATAGAACCAAATTGTTCAACTTGTCACGAACTTTTCCTTTGGACCACTTCTACTTGGTTAGAGATTTAAAAAAAAATCAAACAAAAACAAATTTAATTTTTCAAAAATCAAAACAATCATCACAACATACCTTCTTTTTGGCTTTTCCACCTCCTGATCCTTCTTTTTTGGATTTCCCACCTTTGGGATCTTTTTTTCCTTTATCTTGTTTGGGTGGCTAAAATTATTAATTAAAAAAAATTAATTTGGGCCAAAAAAATTGAAAAAAAGTCAGAAATTAGAAAACATACCATGTTGTTCAAGCGTTGTCACACAAAACATTGTAGCAGAAAAGGAAGAAGAATTATTTGAACACGCTGCATAAAAAACACACAATTGAAAAAAAAAATGTACATGCAGCAGACGCCGCTCACAATTTATTTTTTTCTTGGAAACTTTTTTTTTTGAAAATTATTATTTTTTTACAGAAATATTTCTCAAAAATTAGCTTGTAACAACAACAGATGGCAGTATAGGTAAATTTCTTTAAATATTCTTTTTTTCTGTCTATTTATTCGAATGATTGGACGAGCATCATTTTTTTTTTTTTTTGGTTCCATAATTATTGACATAATTTTTGTTATTATTTCCAATAATGTCGATAGAATTTTATGAAGAGAGAAAGAGAGAGACAGGTAGAGAGAAAGTTTTTGCATCTATAATTATACTCCTTTAATTGTGGTAATGAATCGACATTTTTTTGTTCATGTACATTTTTGTTATTTCTGTGTTTTATCACCAATCATTTTTTTTTTTTTTTTGGCAATGACGACATTTTTTCCGGCAAATCCAAAAATAAATGAACTTGAAAAAAGGATTCCCGATCAGCAACATCATCATCGATCAGATTGATTGAAAATTCATTCATCAACAAAACGTTGAATGGTTTTTTTTTCTCAGACCGGATAACCTTTTAATAGTCCAGAAATAATTTAACCCGGTAAGTACAAGCTCATTCAATATTCATTTCATATAATTTTAAATTACCAATTGTTTGTGTTTAATTGTGTGTGTGTTTTTTTAAAAAAAGAAAGATTCCGTTTTACGGTTCATGATTTTTTCGTTCTCTCGTTTTCTTCTCTCAAGAAAAAAGCAAAAATTTATTGAAATTTCCCTTTCTCAATTTTTTTTCTAAATTGTGTTTGATCACGATCATCATATCTAATTCAGGATCAAAATTTTTAAATTTATTTCCATCATCATAATGTGACATCAACGAAAATAATCAACGACCTTGAGCCCATATAATTGTGAACAGATTTTTCTTTTTTACTTTCTTCACACAATCCGGTTTCATTCATTCATTCATAAATGAATTTGAAACATGAATTGATATGTATCTTTCATTTTTTTCTTCTGCATAAAAAAAATCACGTCAATAATAATACCGGCTCAAATGTTTCGATTGTACAGGTGCAGCTTGTGTGTTGACCTACTAACTGACATCCTGACACGTATAATTAATTCATTCATTCATGCAATCAAATTGATAGATGAAACAAGAAAAACAAAATTGAAAATTGAATTAAAATTTGCAAATATGTAATAATAATATCAACAACAACAACAACAACACAACAACAAAGATTCGATTCGAATGTTTTATTTTATTTTTATTTTTTGATCATTCGATCCGTTTCGGGATTTTTTTGTTTTGTTTTGTTTGAACATAAAATTAGTTCTGACCTTTGTTTTTTTTTATTATCATTTCATTTTTTTTCTTTGTACCCAAATATGAACGAATAGAAAAAAATAATGCAAAAGGTCATCAACTTGTTTGATGCTCGCGCTAGCTAACGCTCGTGTCCGTCCAATGTGAACTTCCGTGATCCAAATCAAAAATCTTTTTTTGTGAATCCAAATTTTCCAAGTATGCCAATGTCTGTGTCTGTGCACATGTGTGTGTGTGTATTTACAACACTAAATGTCCGACACGGTTTTTTTCTTCTTCTTCGTTTTCATTTTTGTTTTCTCTCTTTTTTCCACTTTCAACCATCTAAAAATGATGAAAGTGGTGGTTCTATGAGGTCAGAAAAAGTTTTTTTTTATTGCAGACAAAAATTAGATTCAAGATAACATCTTTTTTTATGAAAATTGGAAATGTTCCCAAAAACAAAAACAAAAAATGAAATGAAATGAAAATCATTAACATTGAAAAAAAACTTTTTGAATCAATGAATTCATTACTTTTTTCCTTACTTGTTTTCATTTTTCGTTTTTCTTTTTGTGACTTTCAAGTTCAAGTCAATGTTCAAGTGATATATAAAATTATTTTGATATTTATTTCTTTCAACAACAACAACAACAACATAATAATAATAATAATGAAAAACTCTTCCGCATTCATTTTCTGTTTTTGTTTACAAATAATAAATAATAAAAAACAACAAATTATTATAAATATATACATCGATCGATTCACATTAACTATGACCATCAAAAATTATTGAAAAAAACAAACAAAAAACAACAAGATCGACTAGGCACGATGATGACCTCGAAATTTACTGATGAATTGAGAAAATGGAAAACCAAAAAAAAGGTTTATCAAATTATTGTTTCAATTCAATCAAATCAACTTGATTGACTTTCATTCGTTAAAGTTATTTTTCTATGGAACCGTTACTTTTTGATCTTTCAGAGTTTGAAGCACAACAACAACAACACAAAGATCAAGCCAACCTATTAACACAGATATTTTGATATTTTTTTTATATAAAGATAACGATTGCCCCAAAAAAGGTATCATGTTTGAATTATACAATGTTTTCATCGTCCCTGAATTTAATTTATGAAATTTTTTGTTTTACTTATTTCTCCCTTTTTTTTGATTGTTCCAATTTTTTTCTCACGTACACGCCGTGTGCTTGAACTTGATTTTTTTCCAATCACAATAATCGATGGCCTTGATTTTCGTTGTTGTTTTTTTTATCCGTTGTTCGGTCTGATGATAAACTAGTTTTTTTCGGACATTATCATCATCATTATTGATGACCACATATGGTGATGATCATTTCAAAAATTTACATTTTTCATTTGAATAATAATAATATTTTTAGTTTGTACATCACATCCTTTTTGATTTCTCTATTCAACTATTATCATTGAAATTATTCCAAATGAAAAATTTCTCAATAATAATATGTATGAGACAAGATACAATAACAATTTGTTGTTGTTGTTGTTGTATGATTTCTTGTCTTTTCATTGTCTACAATAATAATAACAACAACATAATTTTGACGACAATTATGAATACATTTTGACAATAATCATAATAATAACAAATAATGTCAGGCAGTGAAGAAGCCATTTTTGATGCCTGTACAATTTTGTTTCAGTTTCAGTTTGATATTTTTTTCTGGAACATATAAAATATAGAAAAAAAATTTTTTTTTTTACTTTTTTTCTTTCTAATTTTCTTTTTTTTTTGATATATATGAATTTTTTTTTCTCTTCTCTATAAATGATGACGATGATGATGATGATGATTTTTGTTTCAAAAATCACAAAGTGGTATGATTTTCTAATGTTGCAGCCATGTGTGTGTGTGTCTGTATATCAAATGTCTAGCTAGGACTCTAGATCACCGTTAGTCATTCAATTGAACACACACATACATGAGTTTGATATTCAATGTCAATGTTATAGTCATTTTTATGCCTATGATGATGATGATTATAAGATGAAGCTGTTGTGAAGGTGGTTATGATGACGATGATGATCTTGATCATCATATCTTTGATTTTGTTGTTACGCTTGTTTCAAATTTCAAATTGAATTTGTTTATTTGTTTGTTTGTTTTTTTTTGTCATTCATATATTGCCCTTTAAGTTTTCCGTATTTTTTGTTTTTTAACAAAAGAAAATTATTTTTTTTTTCTAAATTTTAAATCCCATAATAAGTGATCATCATTTTTTTAATTTTTAGTCATTGTGGTTGTAGTCGTCGTTGTCGTTAGATTTTTTTTGTTTGTTTGTTTGAATGTTTATTTGTTGTTTGTTGTTTTTAGTCATGACTTTGCCACCATCATAATCATCATGGCCATAATTTGTTGTTTTTGTTGGTGTTGTTGTATGTGATCAACGATCAATCGATCGCGATTGATCAATCAATCAATTAATCATCATTGGTGTGTAATGGTGTGATTGTCGCATGTCACCAATATTCATTGAATTGAATTCAAGTTTAATATTTTTATTTTGCAACAACAAAGAAAAAAAAAGTTTATATTGTTAAACAACAAATTTTGTGATTGTAACCGATGCATATAGTGACGACATCGACACACATGCACCATTTTTTTTATTATATTCAAAATCATCATCATCATCATCGGTTCATATTTGATTTTAGCCCCATTTCATAATATTTATTGTTTTTTTTCCAATAACAATCACATCGAAAATTCTTTATTTGGATCATTCACATTTCATTCAGCCAAATTGTGATCCGGTGTTGCAAATAATAATAGTTTACATTACATTGTCAATGTAAATTAGCGACAAAAATTTTATTTGGTCCATTTATTATTAAAAAAAAAAAATATCCATTCCTGTCCCACGATGAAGTTTCTGTGTTTGTTTGTGTTTGTCTGCGTATTATTTCAACGATTATCCCCATATATTTTTTTTTTATTATTTTTGTTGTGTTTTTTACAAATTTTAATCCTTCCGTTTGTGTTATCTCTTTTCTCTATATATATATAGGAAATTATCAAATAACCATTTTATAGTGGCTGCTTGAAAAATTAATAAAATTAACAAAATGAAGACAATGAATGAAGATCATCGTAATGTCATTGATGCTAATGCACAAGAGATGCATACATCATTGGGTGAACTGAATTCGATTGGTGATTCGTTGATTTCATCATTTTATGCGGGAAAATCGATTTTTATTACCGGTGCCTCTGGATTTATGGGTAAAGTTTTGGTAGAAAAATTACTTCGTTCATGTCCTGATGTAAAGTCAATTTATATTCTTCTTCGTACGAAGAAAAATGTCGATCCTTGTGACCGATTGGATGAACTTATCCGATCAAAGGTTTGTCAATTTTTTTCCATCATTTTTCTCAATAATGTATCGGGAATACTTAAACTTTATTGTTTATCAGATTTTCGATAGAGTTCGTGAAATGAATGCTAACCTGTTGAATAAAGTGGTCGTCATTCCTGGTGACATCGTATTACCCGGTTTAGGTATTTCCAATGCTAACATTGAATTATTAAGCCAAGAAGTTTCCATTGTTTTTCATTCGGCTGCCACCGTTAAATTTGATGAGCCAATGAGGTTTGTTAATTATTCAAAAAAAAACAATTTAATAATTTTTTTCAACCTCATCATCATTCAGAACTTCTATCAATTTCAATGCATTGGGTACGAGACACATGTTGGAACTTTGTCGTAAAATGAAAAAATTGGAAGCATTTGTTCACGTGTCTACAGCTTACTCGAATTGTGACCGTCATGATGTTGGTGAACAATTTTATCCAATAACTGTGCCATATCAGAAAATAATCGAACTTAATGAATGGATGGATGATGAAACGCTGGCCGCCGTAACTCCTCAATTGTTAGGTAATCGACCTAATACTTATACATATACGAAAGCGTTAGCCGAAACCTTGCTATTGAATGAGAAAGGTTCACTTCCAGTTGCTATTGTGCGGCCATCTATAGTTACTGCTGCTTGGCGTGAACCATATCCCGGTTGGGTGGACAATATCAATGGACCAACTGGAATGGTATTGGCATCGGGTAAAGGATTATTGCGAACCATGTTGTATGATTCAAAGGCTTGTGCCGATATAATCCCAGTGGATATGGTAATCAATCTAATGATAGCCGTTGCATGGTACACTGCAGTGCGAAGACCAAAAAATATTCAAATTTATAATTGTACTTCGGGGACGTTAAACACATTGAAATGGAAAGACATAGAAAGGATTGTTTTTCCATTGTTATTGAAATATCCCAGTGCTAATGTGTTTCGATATCCAGGTGGAACATTCAAAGAATCGCGAACTTATAACCGAATTTGTGGTGTATTCGGTCATATAATACCGGCTTATCTATTCGATGGTATTCGTTTATTATGCCTGCAAAAACCAATGTATGTTGTAGAACCAAGAATATGACTATTTTAATGATTGATTGTTTGATTCTAATATAGGCTGATTCGAATCTATCAAAAACTTCATCGAGCAATTGAAGCTCTTGAATATTTTACCACACGTGGATGGGATTTCAGCTCCACAAATGTGATTGCCTTGTCTCAAGAACTTCAAGGCATTGATCAAAAGGTAAAATACATAAAAATTTTTTGATTGATTGACTGATTCTGATGATGATAATTTTTAAAAGGAATTTCATTTTGATGTCCGAAATCTTAATTGGTTGTCATATTGGGAAGATTATGTTATTGGAATACGGAAATTTATTTTAAAAGAAGAAGATTCAATGTTACCAAAAGCGAGAAAAAATTTAAAAAGGTTTGAACTATCATCATCTATTGTCTTTCTAGCATTTTCATTTATATTATTTTACATTTATTGAATAGAATCTATTACGCACAGAAATTTCTCTATCTATTTATTGCAATGATTATTCCATTTATATTGGCCACAAGTACATCATTTATTTCCCTTGAATGGCTATCATCAATCATAACTATTATTTGGCCATTCGAATTTATTGTACAACAACAACAACAACATAATCTAAATTTTCAATCATCTCCAATTATAGAAGAATCATCATCAATGAATATCACATCAATCATTTCATTAACAACAATACCATCATCACAATCCCGACAATCATCAATTTGGACATTATTGGCATCATATATTGGTTTACCAATCTCATCGATCACTACTTGAAAATAACTAAACACAGACCTACATTTATTACATTCACAATACATACACATATATACAAAAATACAATACAAATTTATATTTTACAACTACTTTCTAGCCATCACATTTTTATTATTAATCCACCACATCATCACTATATTATAAGTTATAAATAATTTTTCCCGTTAAAAATCGTTATTCGTTATTACTATTATTATTGTTGTTGTTGTTGTTGTTGTTATTGTTGACCTTGGATGCATTGATTGCAATTGTTGGTTTTTTTTGATATCTATCGAGAAAAATCTATTATTTTTAACTATATATCTATTTAAATTAAAAAAAAAATTTATTAAATCATATAGTTTTTTTCTTCATTTATTGTTTTGGAGGGAACGATGGGAAAAATGCAAACTTCAGTATCCTATATATTCATTCATTCATTCATTATTATTATAATAAAATGGTCTCTTAGTTTTATCATGACATAGTATGACAAATAAGACAATATATGACAAAATGACAAGTATTTTTTATATATTTTCTTTATAATTAGATTTTTTTTTTCAATAGAAAAAAAAACATTATCAAAATCATCTTCACGAATTGTTGTCAAAATTGTTTGTCCTTATATGATTTGTAGGGTGACAAATTTGGACCAATCTATTCCCATTCGGTTGTTCCGGGCGGTTTCGGTGTCAGATCGTATAGAACACGTGAAATACCAGGTATCTGTTTGATAGTTTCGGCCATTTCATTAAACACCTATTTATAAAATGATTAGAAAAATTATTGAAATTGATAGCAATATAATTTATGCTTACGGCGAATGGTATTTGTTTATTTGGAATAACGGGAACGCCAGTCATAAAATCTTCAGTTAGAAAAGTTCGTATGACTACTGAACGTTGATAGGATTGCTGTCTTGTTATAACTTCACGATCAAAATGTATCGGTATAAGTATAACTGGCATTTGCGAAACTTTATGGCCCATGTTATGTGCAAACATTATGGTATTAGCTACGTGGTCCGCTTCACGTAACTGAGCGATCACAGTTGGCGTCAATGTTGTCTGAGTAATGTTCACCACTGGAGATTTGACCGATTCGCCGAATATATAACAAACACGATTCACATTATGACAAATACGAGGTATCAATTTTGCCAGCCGTGCCAATTGTTGAAATTTATCCGATATGGTCGCTTCGTTTTCATTTGATGGTGCATCTTCAGATAAACCAACGACATAACTATATGAACGGCAGTCACCTTGAACACCGACCGATTTAATTGGTAATAAGCTGGCCACAAATTTATATTTGGTGGAAAATTTTTCTAAAAATTCACGATCATCTTCCTCACAGCTACTATGAATTTTACCTATCATCGAATGTTTCTGTGATTGACAAAAACAATTAACAAATAATGACACAGTCTATTAAGAAATTTTTAAAAACATACCCTTTGTAAAGAGGTGGCATAGCTGACGATCACTTTGAGAAGGACCGATGTTTCCGAATAATCCTTTTCCATATAAGGCTCATCGGCACACAATATACGAACAGCCAAACCAGGTCCAGGAAATGGATGACGATGGACCAGCTCATCTGGCAGGCCCAAATCCCGACCAAGTACACGAACTTCATCTTTATGAAAATCTTTTAATGGTTCAACTACACGACCTTCATCGCGTAGCTTTCTAACCAATTCGGTATCATTATGATGAGTTTTTATGGCATCCGCTTTTGAACTGGCCAATGAAGATGCACTTTCAATTAGATCAGGCCTCAATGTTCCTTGTCCAAGAAGAACTTCGTTCGGATCTAGTTTTAGATCACGAATAATATCATCAGCTAGCCTAATAAATGTATCGCCAATGATTTTTCTCTTTTCTTCAGGTGATGTAACTAGACACAATGGTTTGGTGACGTATTTCTTGTCAGGCTCTTCTTTTGACAATGAAATCACTGTGGTGGCATTGTAGAAATTTAATGCAGCATTAATGACTAAAAAGAGAGATGAACAAACAAAAATATAGATATCAAAACAAAACAAAACAACAAGTATGGTGAATTTATTTACTTTTCAAATCAAGGCCAACTTTATTAAGCGATTCTTCTACAAGGCGACTTTCGTTTTTGCGCATAAATCCATTGTCAATATGAATTGCAATCACTTGATCTGGATTTAGCGCTTTACGAAGTAACGCTGCACATACGGATGAATCAACACCTCCACTAACAAGATTCTGAAAATGTAGAAAAAACAACAATATAAATTTATATACGAGAACATTATTGAAAAAAAAAAAAAACAAAACATGCACCGGAAACATACCAGAACTTTATTATTACCGACAACTTTACGAATGTATTCAATACATTCAGATTCTCTTGATCGCATTGTGAATGTTCCTTTCAAGCCGGTAATGTTGTAGAGAAAATTCTTCAACATAGCGTTACCATTAGTGGAAAGTGTTACTTCAGGATGGAATTGAACACCATAAAGTTTCAACATATCGTTGGAGATTGCCACAATGATATTATTGGAAGTAGCTATCACTTTAAAATCTTTGGCCACCACCGATATCGAATCACCATGTGTCAATAGGACATCTTGTTTTGGTGCCAGATTACTTTATAGATTAGATACATTATTTAAAAACATAAGACATTAATAATCAACAAGAAAAAAAACAAACACTACCTAAACAATGCATTAGTATTATCCACAGAAATGGTAAATTGTCCATCTTCACGTGAATCTTTTCTTATGACTGAACCTCCAAATTCTTTGTTCAGCATTTGCATTCCATAACAGATACCCAATACGGGTAATCCAATACGAAAAATTTCAGGATCATAAGGCAAAGCTTGATCGGAGAATACGGATCCTGGTCCACCAGAAATTATTATAGCTCTGTAATAATAATTATATCAAATTTGTTAGATATTTTTATTCATCAACGACTTACTTGTAATGTTTTTCCAACAAAACTTTAGCCGGTGTTTGCAAAGGAAGTATATCTGATTCGACATTTAATTCACGAACTTTTCTATCAATCAATTTTCCATATTGAGCACCACAATCAAGAATGGCGATTTTTTCATCATGAAGCTGACCATTCGTTTTGAATGTTGATCCATTTGTTGAGGACATTTTTTTCGGATAGATTTATTCTTTGTTTTGTTTTTGTGTGTTTATTGTGAGTATAAAATATAATAATATTAATTATAAATTGTGTAATAAACCAGAAAAAAATTGAATTCTAAATTTATAAATTTGATGAATAAAAATGTATGAATGAATGATATTGCATTCAAAATAATAATGATTCAAATTTTAAGAAGAAAAAATTACAATAATCAAGAAAAAGCCATTTGTTTTCTTTTTTTTCTCTGTACAAATTGACTGTTTGAAAAAAATTTTTCTTTCACTCACTTTCTCTCTCCTTTCAAACAGATGGTTTAATGATGTTAATTTCAATAATCGACTATCACATTAGAATGGTGAAAATATTAACATGACAAGAGATGATTTTATGATCAATTCTTTGGTGGTTGATAATCAGTTGAAATTTTTTTTCTTGCAGAATCGTATAGTCGCAACTATGTCTTTTTAAATGGATGATATTGTATGTTGGTTGTTTGTTTTCTTGCCAAGAACATCGACAAACAAAATAGTGTGTGTGGTTAACTGAATTATAGAAAGAATCTAATTTTCACCTAAGAAGATTAAAAATTGGATAGAATAGAATTTTGTGTTTAAAGTTTTTTTTCGAAAGAATGAAAAAACAGCTGTCATGAATGAATTTTAAAAGAATGGTCAAATAAATTGTCGATAGCGGCAATATCGGTTTGAAAAATGTTGAATTATCGTATTCACAACAAATATAAAACTGATGATGATGATTATTTTTCTATTGAAGACAAAAGACACGATGATTGACATTGACACAAACAATTATCATATTATCGACGATTTGAATTATATATCATCGAACGATATTGATTATTATTATCATCATCATCAACATTTAACAGTGAATGTATACACAGAATTTTTAAAATTGAAAAAAAAATTCAATTAAAATCCAAATGAATATTTGATCGAATGGAAAATAAAATGAACTTATTATTATTACTAAACTAATTTACCCGAAAGAATTATATTAGCCAAGTGAAAAAAAAAGCCGAAGCAGAAGGCACACATATACAACACACACACACACGCCTCGCCTTTAGTTACATGCCACTTCTAAATGTGTATAGTTTATTGGGCAAAGACACACACACACACACACAATTTTTTTTGGTAGCTCGACATGAATGTTTTATTCATAAAAAACGTTATCGAATTTATAATTTATAAAAGATTTTTAATTTTAATTTAAAAAAAAATTTTTAAATTACTCACCTTGTAAAATATGAAAAAAAATTTTTAAAAAATTTCCTAATATTATAAAATGATGACTATTTTTCTGTGTGTATATGAAGAAAACGACAAAATGATTGTATACGACCACCAAGAATGATCAATCGAAAAAATGAATGAATGAAAAAAAATCGATATATCAAACAAACAAAAAACTTGAAATTTTTTTCGATTATATCCGATCATTTATAGATAAAATCAAGGGATTCATATGCTTCTGTGATACTGTGTGTGTGTGTGTGTGTGTTCCTGATCTAAAAAATGATCATGTTGGTCCTTCAATCATTCATTTGTTCACTTAAGAAACGATAAGATAAGATAGAACCACGTTAATCACGTTTTGATCATTTGCATATATATGCTACCACATTCTTTCTTTGTCATTTGATTGATTATTATGGTAGAAAAAAATGATGATGATGACATTATGACATGATCATCTTTGAATTCATCATATCGAATGTTTTTGTTATTGGATGATCCAAAAAAAAAAAAAAATTCTCCTCCTATCACACTCCAAGATATATAAAAGATAGATAGATATGATGATGATATGTTTAAAGTAAATATTTTTCTTTTATCAAAATATAATAATAAAATGAAATTAAGCTGGCAAAAGCCCTAAATACAAACTGAAAAGATAATAATAAAAAAAAAAAATAAATAAATGTAAGATAAAGAAATAAAATAAAGTAAAAATGATGGCATCAAAATGATTTCATTTCAAAATCTTCGATAAATTTTGTTCAGAAACTGTTAAGTGAAGAAAAAAAAAGAAGAAAATGAAATCAAAATTAGATTTCAAAGTACACTTTTTTTTATAAAAAAATTGACATTTTCCATACCAGTTTCTTGTTGCTGTATCCGGCTAAATTCTCTCAATGAATCACTGGTATTATTCTGGAGAAAAAGCTTTTCATCGTTTGAAAGTTGATCGCCCAATCTTTGTAAAGCAGCCAGAATTTCTGTTTTCTGTAAATCATACGATTCTTTTGATAATGTACCAATTTTATAATCACGTTCAATCTGATAAAATTACGAATTTTAAATTAAAAAAATGTTGGCCTCGAAAACAAAACCTGTACATATAATTTGGATAACATACTTCCGATAGCTTAAGTCTTAATTGTGTGGGCTGTTTTTTGGCAAATAATCGAATAATTTCTGGTGTACGAAATGCATCACTAATAGCTGCCTGTATGGCCAATTGAAATGAACTAATCTCATCGATCAAGGTGATGTCACCTTTTTTCATTTTAGCTAATGATTCATTAAATTCTTGTAATTGTTCAATAGTTTCTTTTTTCGTTTCTTCATATTCATCGATATCGAGATCATTTCTATTTTTTGGATTAGAATGTTACCAAAATTAAATCAAAAAATCAAACAATGAAAACAAAACTTACTTGCAAGCTTCAAGATCGGCTAACTGTGCAACCAAACGATCTAGTTGACATTCAAGATTAGCTCTAAGTTGACTAGTTTCTGCTTGTCCTCTTGTATTCATTTCGGAAGATTTCGATGATTACGACGATTGGTGGCGACAAAAATAATCGCTTGTTATGGATAAAAAAATTTCCCAGAAATATACACTTTTGGAAATGAAAAAAAAGTTTTTCGAAATTTATCATTTTGGGCTTATATTGCATCAATCAATTCGATATATTTTTTTTTATATTTCAACAAAAATTTGGATTTTATTATCTTTTATTTATAAAAATGTCAAACGAAGCTAATAATGATAATTCGACAACCGATGAAGATCCTACAATCATTGATCCTAATAAAACACAAAATGATGGTAAAACCTATTTGATTATAAAACGATATGAAAAATATGAAGATTCTGATGAACAAGATGATTATGAACCAATAGCATTGGATATTGATTCAACAGAATTGGAATTTACTCATTGTCGGATAGCTACCACTAAAAATTTCGATATACTTACTAAAACTGAATTTCTTGGCCTACGAAATAATTTGATAACAAAAATCGAAGGTTTCATTCAGCTTATTACTCTTCGTGAACTTGAATTGTATGATAATCAAATTGAAAAAATTGAAAATCTAACTAATCTCATAAATTTAGAGTAAGTGTCCAATAAAAAACCATTGAAATTTGTTTTAATTTTTTTTCCACTTACGATTACAGAGTTCTTGATCTTTCATTCAATCGACTTAAACGAATCGAAGGTATTGATACGTTGGTTAATTTGAAAAAATTATTTCTGGTCAATAATCAAATTGAAAAAATAGAAAATCTAAACACTTTAATCAATTTGGAGACATTAGAATTGGGTGCAAATCGTATAAGAAGAATTGAAAATATTGAAAATTTAATAAAATTAGAAAATCTATTTCTTGGAAAAAATAAGGTGACCAAATTGGAAAATCTTGATCATCTGAAATCATTAACATTGTTGAGCATACAATCGAATCGTATAACCAAGATCGAAGGATTAGATTGTTTGGAAAAATTGCAACAACTTTATCTTAGTCATAATGGTATTGGCAAGATTGAAAATCTAGATAAAAATTTAATGATCGATACGCTTGGTTTGTATTTGTACTATTTATCTTTGTTGTTTACCCGTATTTTTAATCTTTATTTTTTTTCACAAAAATAGATTTAGCTGGTAATCAAATTAAACGATTTGAAAATATTGAACATTTAACAGAACTGGAAGAACTTTGGTGTAATGATAATCAAATCGATGATTGGCATAATGTTCAGGTGTTAGCTAAAACTGCCTAAATTATCTACCGTTTATCTTGAAAGAAATCCAATTGCAATGGATCAAATGTATCGAAAAAAATTGATGCTTATTGCATCGACATTGAAACAAATTGATGCAACATTATGTCGATAGACTGGATAGTATTGTCTTGTTTAAATCAAACAAACAAAAAAAATTTTTGTTCACTCCGGTTTGTTGTGAATTTTTTTTTGTTTGTTTGTTTGTTCGACAATTTTTGTCTTGTTTTAATATATTTTTCTTTTTCAAATAAAACAAAAAAATTGGCTTCCCTATTTCGAATAATTAAAATTGAATCCAATTTATGTGTGATAATCATCATCTTGTTGTTGTTGTATGAATATCAAAAAAAACATGTGACCAATATAAATATAGATAGATATGAATTGCACATAAATCATTAGCAATTGAGTATTCATCGACAAAAAAAAGTCATGATGATCGATGATCAACTTTGATTTGATTTAATTCGATTCGTGGCACATTTTTTTTTCTTCGTTGATTTGTTTGTTTTTTTTTTGTCTAAATATTCATTTTTACATTTCGTTATTATTACTTTTGTCTGGGTACACTGGATACTAAACTTTGTTCTTCGGCTTTGTCTTTCTGTTTCTATCATATATAATATTTCAATGTAATTTTGATTCAATGAACTGATTTTTTCGATGATCGATTGATTCGATTAGATTCGCCAAAGAAAAAATCGTTTATTCATTTGGTTGGTGGTATTCAACAACAACAACAACAACAAAAAACGAATCTAATCATCCTCATTTTTTTTGGTTTGCTCCATTCACCAATTCGGAAGGACAATATTTTTGTAATCAAAAAAATTTTTTTTTTTTTGATTATTCCATATTCATATACGGATGGAATACAGTGACATTTCGGTTGATGAACGAATTATCGATACTAATCGAATGTTTACTTCACTACATTGCAAATCATCATCATATATTTTGTTTTGAAAATTTGGAAAAAAAAAATTTTATCCATAAAATCAATTTCGAAAACAAAGACATGACCTCATTGTTTTTTTTCTGGTCATGTTGCCGTGAAATAAAAATTCCAAAAATTTTTGTATTCAAATAGAAAAAAAATGCCAACATTCTAGCAAATTCTATTCACAAATAAATTAAACATTAAACAGACAAACATTAAATATTTTAAGAAAATGTCCAACAATATTTGCTATTTGTTTGTTTGTTTGTTGGACATTTCGAGATGATTCGATCCTAGATATGTGGAAAATACCCGTGTAGTTTATCGTCACACATGCAAACACACACAAACACAAACACATTCATTGGACTTTATGTAATTTGGGTTTTCTCCGGTATCCTTGTGATACCCGATGTATATAGTAATAATAATTTATTAATTACCCGATCATTCGACCACCATACCTATATGGTGACCTCAATTTTTTCAGATCTTTTCATTTTCATTTTTTTTTTTGTTTGTTTGTTTGTAAAAATTGACGATGATGATTATGATCTCCTAAGTGGTATTGATAAGTGATATACATATAAAACAAAACAAAAAAAAATAAATTGAGATCTTGATCCAGAAGAATGTTCAAATCCAAAAAAATTTTTTTTAATTGTCAATAAGATTATGAAAACAAAAAAAAACATTGAAATCATCGGAAAAAAAACAACAAAAATCGGAACAAGGTCATCTTAAACATAAAAACCACAAATCTGTAGCCATTTTTTGTCTCTTTTGTTTTATCGATTAATCGATTAATTGATTGACATTGACTGACAATTAACGATCAATGGCTAGTGTATGGATTCTTAATTAAAACAAAAAAAAAAAAATCGCTGACCCAGGAAAGGAAAAGGAAGGATGGGTTTTCTACATAAAATTCATCACTGTAGTGCAATTCCACTGAACTTTTTATTTATCATCATTATTTTCATTTCAAATGAAAATATTCTAAAAATAAGTTTTTTTTCACTTTCTTATTCATAATTATTGATGATTAAGAATTAAAAAAAAAATTTATCAATCAATCAATCAATCAAAAAAAAAAAATCGATCAAATGACCAGGCTAATCATGCAATGAATACATGCACCGGATTTCTAATCTAAGATTGTTTACTTTATGCAAACTACTGTGAAACTACCACCCCGTCACAAGAAAGATCATATTATTCATGATTCAGTCATTCATTTTTGTAGTTATCAATCACAAATCATTGATGATCGAAATTTGATATCAATTATTCAAGCAATTAATTTCAATTCGGACCATTTGGTCCTTTTTCTTTTTTTGTTCAATTCAATAACATTGCATTTAATATGCAATACAGATATATAGATAATATAATTTAGCTTCACATGATCGATCTATCGATTGTTCGTTTTTTTTTGTTTTGTCAATTTTCATTCTCAAAACTTTGAACATATTTCATCGTGTACCAAAATGGATTGTTACATATTGCAATTAATTCGGGTTCATAACCGATTTATTTTCTGATGGTTGAATTGAATCGAACACAATGTATTTATATGCTAAATGTTCTGTACAAAATTATTATCATTTTTTTCATTACTTTTGTAATATTATCCGAATGATGATGATGATGATGATGTGCCCGTTGATGATGATTAAAATAATGAAAGACCGTATTCATCATTTCATCATTTAATCTGACGATTTTTCTTCTTGATGATGCTGATGATGATGATGATTATCAATTTGATTAATATTAATATTTTAATCAATAAACATGTCACAACTACTACGACTACTTTTATAAGTGTGATCCACACATTTTAATTGTGACAATACACGCACACACACACACACACACACACACACACGTTTTTGGTTACAGCATCCCGGTTTTTAGGATAATAATTTTTTTTTTCTATTTCTATATTTATTTTATTATTTCTAAATAAAAAAAAAATGCGCGTGGTTTTTGCAATGCTCTTTGCAATGATGATCATCACATCAGAAGCATTTCATGTAAATTGGATATAATTCATATAAAAACACCAAATCAATCGATCGACAATACAAATGAAAATGACAAAAATCATTTTCAAAGCCAAAAAAATTTAATCCATCATCATTGTTGAAAATTATATATACCATCGATCATCATAATTATTGTACGACCATTATTCAATTTGAATGAAACCAAAAAAAAAAAATTTAAATTTTGCATCAAAATTAAATCCAACGAAAAATTCAATACCGAATCAATTCTAGAAATTCAAGATTTTCCAGTACAACAACCAACAACCAACAACAACAAAAGCGAAAAGAGAGAAAGCTGACCACTTTTTTTTTGGCTGAAAAAAAAAATTTTCCACCAAATTTTGACACCTGTTAATGGCATTTAATTTTTCATTTTCGTTATTATTATTGTCATTTGAATCATATTTTCCACATCAAACAAGTTGAAAGGAAAAATTTTTTTTTGTATCACCAAAAACACACACACACACACGAACAAAGAACGAAAAAAAAAATGTTTCAATCTAAACATTCCATTGGTATAAGTAAATTTTCACCATTAAAAGAAGAATTATCCAATAATGGTAGCCTATCAAGTAATGGCAATAATGATGATCATTTGAATGAAAATATCAATATAACAACAACAAAAAATAAATTATCACAATCAAAACGGCAACAATATTCATCCATTATTCATAATTTGAATGATGATAATAATAATAATAATCATTCATGCCATCAAAATTATCAATATCCAAAAATGATGATTAAATCAAATTATCTGCTAAATACGACAACTTCTTCATCATCATCCACTTTAGTATCTAATGATAAATCATCATCATCATTGAATATTATCATATCGGTAAGTGAAAAGAAAAAAATTTATCAATGATTTGAAAAAAAAACAATCACACTATATATATATACAGACGAATCAATTTTTTTTATTATTAGATTATGATGTGATGAACGAAGAAATTTCAATAATTTTCAAGTTCATCACTTATAGATCCGGTCGGATGTTTGCACACACACACACACACACACACACACACACACATACAGTAAATACACTAAGAATCATTTTTTGATTTTCATACTTACACCTTAAACTACATGATGATGTAATTTCAATTCAATACAGCTACAGAATAAATGGAACAAAAAAAAAACTAGAAATCATCATCATCATCATCAAATCACATCACACATAAATCATATAAATAGTAGAGCATATAGAAACGAAACAATAAAATAAACAAATGACAAAAATTTTCAAATTGATAGAAAATTTTCCATTACAAATAATCACCGAATCAATCATACAATGATTTTTGATTTTCATCACTTACACCTTAAACTACATGATGATGTAATTTCAATTCAATACAGCTACAGAATAAATGGAACAAAAAACTAGAAATCATCATCATCATCATCAAATCACATCACACATAAATCATATAAATAGTAGAGCATATAGAAACGAAACAATAAAATAAACAAATGACAAAAATTTTCAAATTGATAGAAAATTTTCCATTACAAATAATCACCGAATCAATCATACAATGAACTTGCAACTTTTTTTTTCTCCACACACATTTATTTATTTAACTTGAATACACACACACACATGTGCACACACAAAAAAATGAAATGAAATGAAACAAAATAACCCCCGAGATCGACTAACAACTAACCGCCAACTGTAAACGTTTGGCAGATAAAATACACTCTACATCACTGTCATAAAATGATGATGATGATGAGCATCAATAATTAGCTTGTTGTTTTTTTTTTTTTTTTTTGGCGAATTTTTCTCTCCATCTCTCTCGCTCTCTGACTTTTTCTCCCCATAAACTCACAAATATATATATTCAGACTCACTCATATTCATTCATTCAACTCATACAAGTAACAAGTTGAAACAAACGAAAAAAAAAATCAAAGCTCTAAATAGTGTCAAACAAACAAACAAACAAACAAAAAAAAAGCCATCTCAACACAAAATAACCTCGTCCTGGCAGAGATTAGGGAGAGAATAGGAATTTACAAATTCATTACGTTTTTTCCATTATTATTATTATTATTTATAAGTAGATAAAGTGCATTGATTTTTTTTTCTCATTTCATTTATTGAAGAATCGTTTAGGCTTTTATATATTTAATGAATATTCTGTTCCGTTTATTATCATTATTATATATTCTAATACATAATTGTTTTAAATATTTATTCAATAATAATAATAATACAATGTTTACACGTTTATTTATTGATTATTTACGATTTAAGGATAATGATCGACAATATAAAGAACCATTAACTACTATTGATGATTATAATAATCAAACAACATCTGGTATTACTGTTAAAGTTTTTATCGGTGCTTTTGTCGTTTTTTTCACTAATTCATTTGCTTCCGGTTATAATATTGGTGTAGTGAATCTTCCTGAACAAGTAAGTATTCAGTTTTCAATCATTTTTTTTCTTTTGCTTATGAAAATTTTTTTAAAACTTTCTTTCTTTTTCTCTCTAAAGATTTTTAAAACATTTTTCAACAATACTTTAAATCATAATCGTATTGTGGATCCATTGGATTCGAATCAAATTGAATTAATATGGTCATTAGCAGTTTCAGTACTAATCATTGGTGCAATGATTACATCGATCATCACTGGCTATCTAGCTAATCTATTCGGTAGACGTGGTGTCATATTTCTAAACATTATGATCGGTTTAATAGCCATGTGTTTAACATGGGGTTCCAAATATATGACAAACGTTCCTATGTTTATGGCCGGTCGTTTAGTTGCCGGTTTCCATACAGGAATTGCATCCAGTATTGTACCAATGTATCTGATGGAAATATCACCAAAAAGTTGTTCATCATTATTAGGCACATTACATGTGATGGGCCTAAATGGTGGTCTATGTTTTGCACAAATTATGGGTTTAGAAAGCATTCTTGGTACAGCACGATCATGGCAATTATTATTCTTTGTCAATGCAATGTTTATCACTGTTGGATTGATTGGCCTGTTTTTTATGCCAGAATCACCGGTATATTTGTTTGTCATTAAAAAACGTGAAGATTCAGCCATACGTGTGTTAGAACAAATCCGTAAATCACCAATGGAAGTAGCTGATGATTTGTCTAATCTACGACGTGAACAAAAATGTGAAGAAGGCAATGGCAATAATTCATTATTACAATTATTTAAACAATCACAATTTCGTAAAAGTTTATTAATCGTTTGCCTATTACATGCTGGACAACAATTAGTCGGTATCAATGCTGTTTTCTATTATTCTACAAATACATTTCATGGTGTCGGTCTAAGTCAAATACAAAGTCAATATGGAAGTATCGGTTGTTCATTGTTGAATACATTATGTGCAATTCTAGCATCACGTTTATTGAAATCATTTTCTTCACGTACAATGCTATTGGTCAGCACTGTCGGTACCATAATAGGACTATTGATTCTTCCGATCTCAATGTCATTTAATGTAAGGAAATTTTTTTCATTTAAAAAATCTAAACAAAAAAAGTTTATTTCAATTTCACCACCATTTTCAGGATCAATTTCAATGGCTCAACTATGTGACCATAGCCATGATGTTTTTTTACGTTTTCATGTTTGCCATTGGTCAAGGTCCGATTCCATTCATGATTGGTGGACAAATGTTTGATAGAGCGGCAATGAGTACCGGTTTGAGTATCGGTGTGTTTATCAATTGGTTTTGCAATTTTCTAGTCGGTTAGTATTTTTTTTTTTAATAATTTTTGTTTTCTCAATTTTAAATTGAATTTTTTTCCTCCTGTTTCATTGAAATTCAGCATTCGCTTTTCCATTGCTGGTCATCCAGATTAATCAATTTGTATTTTTCATATTTCTTGCATTCGATGTTCTTTTATTCATATTCATCATATCCATGGTACCAAAAGCTGATGATCAATCTGATGAAATTGGAAAAAAACCATTGGAAAATTCTATATCCGAATGACGTAGACGGTACATTGAACTTTGATTATTCACGATAAATGATTTCCTTGATATATATACATGATGATCATTCAAAACCAAAAAAAAAAAAAAAAAAAAAAGAAAGATCAATCGATATAATCGAACTACTACTACGTACATGAAATGATTTTTTTTCTCTTCGTTTTTTTTTTTTATCTATTTTTCCTATTCTCATTTTAAATTTAAATATGTAATAACGCACACACCACACACACACACAAAGTGCATGTGTGAATTCATTTTTCATGTTTTTCAACAAATCACATGGATTTTTATAAGTTTTTTTTTCATTCTTTCGTTTATCTTGTACATTCATGTTCCATTCTCATTGATTATCATTTGTTTTTTTATGGATTTTTTTTTATTTTATATTAAAATTATTAATAAATATAATATTCACTTTTCCGATCAATTTGTATCGATTTTACTAATTGTTGTTAGTGTGGTTGTTGACCTGAATTTGTTTTTATTTCTCTGTGTAACCACTTGTTGAACCATTGGTTAAATCATGAAAAAAAAATTTTTTAGACACAAAAAATGTTTTCATTTTTCTAATGATAATAATCAACAGGAAAAAAAACGATATTGCCATATATCGATTCTGGCAATATATAAAATTAACAGGCAAATTGATCCTTGTGCCAAATGAGGCCATTTTTTTTTGTTTCTTCACAAGGATTAATCAGTTAAAAATAAATTTATTTATATAAATAAATATAAAAAGATTAATTTTTAAAAATTTATGATAAGTTGGGATCAAATGGCGAAAAAAAAACAATGTAGAAACAATGTCAATGTTGATAAGTTGTAAACATGATGATGATGATGATTCGATGATTTGTGTGATATTAATCTCGTGTGACAATATACTTGTTTATATGTGTTCGTTTTCGTTTAATCCATTTTTTTATTCATTTTTAAATATATGATCAGAATAAATTGAATGAAAACAATTTTTGAATTGCTTTGATGAATGACAATCAACGATTATGTTGTAATTCGTGTAACAATTTCACACGTCATCAATGATGAAATCCGGTGCAATAATAATAATAATTTTATAATTAAAAAAAATAATAACAAGATTAACGAATAGATTAAACGATTTGATGATGATTGAAAGATGGTTGTAAATAATTTTGATCATCTTGTTGTTGTTGTCGACGTAAGAAAAATAAAAGTTTCACAATGGCAGCTGGTGTTACACCAGGAATTCTGGTTGCTGCACCAATTGTTGTTGGCCGATATTCGGAAAGAATTTCTTGAACTTCAGCCGATAGATTAAGACTATCATTATAATAATCAATATTTTCAGCTATTCGTGTTGATTCTTCACGCCGTACGGTATCCATTAGACTTTTCTGTTCGATAATATCACGACAATAAAATGCTTCGGATGTTAATCTTTGCACGAGAATTGGATCAGAATTAATTTGAAATAATTCATTCGGGAATATTGAATAGAATTTTTTGAAATTACATAAATTAAAAATTGATAACATTTCCAGACCATCTTTGACTTTTGTACTGGTTGTCTGGTTATTATTTAGATTCAGAATATTCGCCCATTTAATCATTGAATATCGATGTGATTGTAGAAATTGTTTTGCATTCTCTAATATATCACGAGTTTGAATGAATTTTTCGTATCGTTGTTTGGAAACACATCCAACGTGATGGCCACGTTCCGTCAAACGAATATCGGCATTATCTGGCCTTAGATATAGACGAAATTCAGCACGACTAGTAAACATTCGATAAGGTTCATTGGTGCCTAAAGATGTTAAATCATCGATTAATACACCGATATATGCTTCCGTACGATTGACAACAAATTCTGTAGGCAAATTTTGATTATTTGTTCGACGAGCTTTAAGTGCAGCATTTATACCGGCTATAATGCCTTGTGATGCAGCCTCTTCATAACCAGTAGTTCCATTAATTTGTCCGGCAAGAAAAAGATTATCCACTTTTTTCGTTTCTAATGATGGCCGTATTTGTCTTGGATCAACATAATCATATTCAACACCATATCCTGGTTTAAGCATTGTAGCGTTTTGTAGACCTTCAATCGAATGAATCAAATTTCGTTGTACATCTTCGGGTAGTGTACAGGAAATTCCATTTGGATAGATAACATTAGTATCCAATCCTTCAGGCTCAAGCCATATTTGATGTGAACGATTAGTGAATTTCAAAACTTTCGATTCAATGGAAGGACAATAACGAGGCCCACGAACTTCTTCACGAACATGTCGGCTTAAATGGATATTTTTCATTACAATATCGGCTACTTTATCGTTAGTGAACGTAAGCCATGTACAGTATTGATCTTCAGGTCTGATCCATACGGATGAATTTAGAAATGAAAATGGTAATGGAGGATTATCACCAAATGTTTTTTCTAATCCGTTGAAATCAATCGTATCTCGATCGATTCTAGGTGGCGTGCCTGTTTTGAGTCTGCCCATTCGGAATCCAATATGATTTTCGAATGTCTGGGCAAGACCAATGGCCGGTTTATCACCTAATCTTCCAGCTGGATAATGTTCGAGCCCGATATTGATTTCTCCACGTAAAAACGTACCGGTACAAATGACGACCGAATAACTAGTTAATTGTTTTCCATCATTAGTGACGATGCCTTTGCAAATGAATTTTCCATCATTTGATTTCTCAAGCAAAAGATCTTCGATCGAAGCACAATGAACGGTCAGATTAGGTGTCTGTCGAATTTCTTTTTGCATATGATGTTTGAAAAGTTTACGATCAATCTGAGCACGATATCCCCATACGGCCGGACCTTTACTGCGATTCAAAACTTTGTATTGAATGCCAGATTTATCACAGATTCGAGCACAAAGGCCATCAAGAGCATCTATTTCACGAATTAATTGTCCTTTGCCAATACCACCGAAAGCTGGATTACAGCTCATCTCACCGATTGTTTCGAATTTATGCGTTACCAATAAAGTCTTACATTTCATTCGAGATGCAGCTGCTGCAGCTTCAACACCAGCATGACCACCACCAACAACAATCACATCGTAATCGGGTTTAATTTTACCACTTAAATCATGACATTTACGAAACACGAAACAATTTGTAAACGAATTGATTCGTTTTCTATATTGAAAAGATGCATTTTTCCAAAAATATCTTGTGATGAACATTTTCCATGCACTAGAATGATTTTATTCATAAAATTTAAACTTCATCATCATCGGCCACAATTTATGGAAAAATTCAGAAAAATGTGGAATATGAAAATCAAATGGACAAATTTCTACAACAAATGAACGACACTATCGATAATTGATTCGATATTTTCCAACTTGCATCAACAACAAACATACTAAACACATTCAAGGTAGCAATATATTTTCTATTGATGTGGGTGGTTTTATTTTTGTGAATTAACTATAACTATACGTGTTTTAAAATCACAAAAATATAAGCAAAAAACAACAGCCTTGAATTAGACAAAAAAAAAACACTTATTAATTGAAAGAAAATAGAATTCGTCAATCAAAATTGTTGCTCCATCATCATCATCATCATCATCATTCCCATAATCGAAATGAATTAAATTGAGCATTTATAAACACATCTGTAAATGGAAACAAATCCTGTCAAGAAATTTTGTTGTTGTTTTTATGATTCACCTTTACAACAAACAACAACAACAACAATAGAAAATCAATTCAGTTTTTTCTATTCGGAAATTTTCGTTACTTTATAGTAGATTTCTTGTGTTTTGATCCAAATATACACACACCATTCATATTTTTAAAAAAAACATGGAAAAAATTTTATAGCCACGCATACACCGGAAACATTAATTTCATTGTTTTGATTTTCACTTTTTCCCCATATACTTGTTGATTTAATTAAATTCATTGTTATTGTTATTATTTGGTTCCTAAATGTTATTTCAACTTAGGTAAGTGTGACTTTTTATTGTTGTTGTTGTTGTTGAATTGAATAATGTTTATTCGAAATTTTTCATCATTTTTAAATAGATTTTATGAATTTTATAAACGACAAAATTATCGCCACATACGATTATTGTTGATGATAATTGTTTTGTTATTTATTTTTTATTTCATTAAAAATGTCCATCATTCATCATTGTCATCGTCAACGTCATCATCATCATCACTATTATCTGATCAATCATCATTATCATCATCATTATGGTTATCATCTATAAATCATTTTGATGATAATCTTGATTCAATGAAAAATAAATTACAATATGCTGTGATGATTGATGCTGGTTCAAGTGGTAGCCGTGTTTATATTTATGTATGGCCACCACATTCTGGTGATATGAGACAATTGCTCAAAATTCGTATGTTACGTGATCAATTAGGACATGATGTTTATCATTCAATAACACCTGGATTATCTTCATGTGCCTTGAATACATCATCAGCATCATTTTATATAACACCATTGTTGGAATTTGCTGCCGAACATATTCCAAAGGAAAAACATAAAGAAACACCACTTTATATATTGGCTACGGCTGGAATGCGTTTATTGGATACAAAAACACAAAATTCAATTCTGGATAATCTACGTCAAGAAATACCGAAAAAATTTTCATTTTTATTCACAGAAAATAGTGTGGCCGTTATCACCGGTAAAGAAGAAGGTCTTTATTCTTGGATTGCATTAAACTACATGATTGGTCGTTTTGATCATACAATTGAAAAAGGTCCATCGATTACAATCGAGAATGATGATAAACAATGGAAACGTATGAATACTGTCAGTATGATTGAAATGGGTGGTGCAAGCATTCAGATTGCATTCGAAATAACAACCAATTCACAATATAATCAATTGAAATCACGTTTTTCAAAGGAAAAATTTGCCAGTAAAATATTTGAAGTAAATCTTGGCTGCCATGAACATGATATTAATCATCAATATCGATTATTTGTTACAACATTTTTAACATTAGGTGCAAATGCTGCACGTAAAAATTATGTCGATTATCTAATTAACGAACAATCAACAAATCTACAATACCATAATAGTAGTTTGACAACCAGAGAAACGATACTATTTGATCCATGTTTATCGATCGATAGTTCTGAAACGATCAATACTACAAATCCTAGTCATACATCAACATTATCATCTACACAATATTTATATCATCTTAAAGGTAGTGGAGAATTTGAACGTTGTGTGGAAAAACTTCGTCATATGATCAATATCGATGGTATTCATTGGTGTCTAGATAATAATACATGTCCATTTGAAGAATTGAAAAATATTACTGTACCATTCATTGGAACGGATTTTTATGGACTTTCAGAATTCTGGTATTCAATGAACGACATATTTCATATGGGTGGCCCGTATAATCCAGATAGTTTTGCTAAATCATCTGGAAAATATTGTTCAACCAGTTGGTTAGTAACACAAGATCGTTATAAACGAAAACTTTATCCAAATGCTGATTTTAAACGTTTATTATATCAATGTTTTAAATCATCATGGATTTATTCAATATTACATAATGGATTTCGTATGCCAACGAATTATCAACAATTTCGTTCAGTATCAATGATCAATGATGAACCAGTACAATGGACATTAGGTGCATTAATATTTCGTACAAGATTTTTTCCATTACGTACATTAGATCAACAGCATGGTGTTATGAGTGAACATGTTGTTAATCCACATGAATCAACCAATCTTTATATTCAATATTTATTATTCACATTATGTATGTTGGCCGTTATATTCTGCATTTGTATCTATCTTCATCGTTTACAATCAATGTTGAATGTCGGTGGTGGTAGTAGTAATCATAATAATAATAATAATTATAATCAAATGGGAAAAAATTTCTATCCATCCAATGAAGAATTGGTACAGGAAACATATCCATTATATCAAGATGATGATCATAATGATTTTCATGATGGTAATAATAATAACAACGATAAATCATATCGTAAACAGCAACAACAGCATCAACAACAACTTCAACAACAACAACAACAGGTGTTTATTGATTTTGGATAAATCAATAAATGAACAAAAACAACAACAACAATAATGAATTGAATTTTTTTTTTAATAATTTAAATTTGAAAAAAAATATTTATATATAAAGTATGTGTATGTGACTAATATATAGGAATAACAAATTCTTTTTCTTAATTTTTTTTTTTGTTATTTTTATTTCTGCATTTTTCCCATTTCAACATATAAATAATGTGTGTGTTTGCATGTTTGTATACTCCAATCAGGTATTCATGTTGTCTTTTACTAGTCGATTTGGTCATTATCACCATCCCCCTCCCAAAAAAACAAAAACAAAAACAAAATGAATTATTAAAAAAAATTTTTAATAATCAATAAACTCGGATGCCCTAAAGATTATTATTGTTGTTTTCTGTTGCTTTTCTTTTCGATCAAAATGAAGATTTTTCATTGCTTTTCATCTGTTGCGATTGCTGTTGTTGTTGTGGTGGTGGTGGTACCGTTGATGATTCAATGTTTGTATCATTTTTCAATTGTTTCTTTTTCTTTTCTTCAATGTTTAATTGTTCCTCTTGGATCAATAGTTTAATAATCTCTTTGATCTGCTTTGGTGTTAATTGTACATTTTCTCGTCCGATTAATTCAATGACCTGGTTTTTTTTCATTTGGATGAAATAAATAAATTAAGAGTTGGTCATTAAATGTTAATGTTTTTTTTTACAAACCTTAAAGACGTGTTCCAATTCGATTAGACCATCATGATTGATATCCAAATTATCCAATACTTCAAGTATTCGTTTGGATTTTGTATCATCCGATACATCGGTAAATGGCCGTATCGTTTGTAATAATTCATTAATGCTTACAACATCCTTTTTCACCTGATCAATATCTTTTCCTTCTTTTTCCAATTGATTGATTGCTGTTTCCAATTTTTTCTTCTTTGACTCTAGGCTATCGAAAACTTTATCCATTTTACCCACCATTTTATCCATTCGTTTTCGTAAACGTCTTGCTGCTTTACTTTCTTTCAAACGTATTATATCGCCAGTTTGTTGAGCAATATCTTTGAATTCAATTAAATCTTCTTTATAATCATCTAATTCTTCTTTGATTTCATCAAGTTCTTCTTTTTCCAACATTAAAACTTTTTTCTCTTTTGCCAAATTTTCCAATGCCGTTTCAATTGATTCTATGTCTTCTTTTGATAGTACCGGTTCCACTTTTGGTGGTTCACCACTACTACCACCACTGACTGTTTCGAAAATTTTATCAATAACTTGTTCTTTGATCATTTCTTTTTCAATAGCAGGTTCAACTTGTTTCTTTAGTCTTTCTTCTTCATTTTCACGTTTGATTGCTTCCTCTTCCTGTTTCAATAATTCAATCTTGGTACGATTATCGATTTTACCTTCAGTTTCACCAATTTTATATCGTGTTTCGGTTCCAACACCTTCAGGTAATGCCTGTATGGTAGCTTTCAATTGATCGGTGGCTGGTATATTTTCCGGTAAATATAACACACGAGATAGTAATAGTAATGAATTGGGAATTTTTTCATTCAAACTCAATTCCAACCACTGACTTAGCTGAAATCGAAGTCTATCTTCAGAAATACCAAGTGCACGCATACCACGTGAACGGCATGCCTGTTGTAATTCCGAAACAGTCAGACTTTCGATTCCTTCACGAGCGATCATTTGATCATCAGCTTTAAGGCTTCGTAAACGCATTCGAAGTTGAAATAAAAGAAAATTACTGGTACCAATTGGTTGTAATTCTAATAAACGACATAAGGCTACTAGCTGAGGCCTGGATAATGAATCCAATGTAATTTCATCTTCGAATAGTTTGGAAAATCTTAATATATCATCATTTGATGCTTGTTCACCGGATTTTCTAATCTGACCACGGGATAAAAGAAAAAATTGTAGATAATTTTTCAATAATTTTTCATTACTTACATTATCAAAAAATTGCTTAAATTCTTTCGCTCGATTCGAATGTGATTCACCACGTGCTTGAAGTGTCATCTCGTCCAATGTTGTCTGTAGAAATTTTGCCATGTCTAATTTAAGTTTAAGTTCTTGTTTGACTTTTACTTCCTATATATCAATAATGATCAAAAAAAAGTCAATTTTTCAAAGAATAATAACAACAACAACAAAAAAACATACTCGTGATGAAGCCGTTTGAAATGTTGATGGAAGCATATTTGGAAAAAATTTCAGGAAAACAGGTAATAAAAGTTCCATGAATGGTATGATTATAAATACGGAAAACGGTGCTAAACGAAACACATCGGATGATGTACGTACTAATTGTCGATATTCACGTCGTGATAGACTATTACCATTCAATATTTTCCATATCAATCTTGAAGCGATACCAATATCGATAATTAATAGACGAAATCCATGATAATAATGAACAATTTCATCCCATATTCTTTTGCCTAGACTTCGTTTTGGTTCAATTTGAACAGCTTTTTGTGGTTCTTTTACTTTTGATTCTCGTAATGCTTTAACCGTTTGTTCCACTTTTGATGAATCTTTTAGGTCATATAATGGACGATTTATATATAAATGGCGATTGATTATCATTAGATGATTCGATTGAATTTTCAAACGTTTTTCTCTTCTTCTATTATCATCATCATTATCATATGGTACAAATGCCGAATGATGTGGATTTAGGAATTGATTACGATAAAATCTATAAGTAGTATGATTATAGATAAATATCTGATTTGAATTTGGATGAAATATCATCCGTGATGATCGTTGTATTAATGGATTCATTGATATAAATCTAGGTAATCCATATAGATTATGCATAAGCATTTTATTGAAATGGTCAATTTGTTTCGTTGTTGTTGTTGTGATAATGAATGAATGAATGAAAAAATAAAAATTCGATTCGCAATGAAAAGAAACAAAAAAAAACTATTGAATAAATCTCGAGCTCATTTTATATGAATACAAACGATAACAAACAAATAACGATAACAACAATGACATTGGTCTGGTCACGATGTACACGTGATGATTTATGGATGCGAATAAAAAAAATGATGCAATCAAAAATGATTATTTTTTTGCCGGTTTTTTATTTCGAATAAATGATTGATGAACAAAGTATGTCCGGTATATGTGAATATTGTGTGTGTGTGTGATGTATCCAACAGCCACATAAAAAAAAAGAGAAGAAATTATTTGTCCGTGATCGAGGTGAATGACGACAATAAAGGTTGTATTATCATTGTGTTATGCAACACTCGATTATTATATTCATCCGAAAAACTTGGCAGCTGATTTTCAAGATTTATTGATATCATCATCATCATCATCATCGTCATCCATAGACAACGTGTGTTTGGCCGTGAAAAAACAAACAGCTGATCGTCACGTCATCAAAAAAAAAATTTCTGGTCGAATCGCGTTTTGCAATTTTATGACAGCGATAATGTATAACCTAAATTCGTTATGATCATAATTGATCTATAGGTAGAAAACAATGACAACTATCGTACAGAATGTATGTAAATTATCGCAAAACATTTTCTCATCATTTCTTCGAAAAAATGGCCAAAAATCAACGGCCGTATTGGATGAAACGAATGTCGTGACATTGAAAAAATTATTTTCACAAATTACATTGAATGATATTCACTATGATCTCGATGAATTATTTTTGCCATCATCGAACCTTATGAACAATGAATTACAAACAACACTACCATCATCATCATCGGCACCGATTACCTATACATCGATATTTCAGAATCAATTTTTTTCATTAACAATTTTTGGTTTTCGTAAACAAACATCACTAATACCATTACATGATCATCCTGGTATGCATGGTTTCATTAAATGTGTTTATGGCAGTATTTCGATTAAAAGCTATACTATTCTTGATAATCTATGTGCTCCAAATGAAATTCTGAACAAAGTATCCGAATTAGATCATCATTGTTTGGGTAAGTATTAGATTAATTGAATTTTTTTTCAATAATAATAAACTTATTGTCGCTGTTTTGTTTTTTTTCTCTAGTTCCAGTCATCTATGTTGGTGAAGATATAATTACCAGTGATGATTATAATGTTGGAACATTAACACCATTTGATAGTAATATACACGAAATTCGACCAATAACAAATTCGGCAATAATGGCCGATATTATATCACCACCATATACGGAATATACTCATAGCTATTTCTATTTATTTATCGATACAGTTTTCGATGATCGATTGAATAAAAATATTACATGGCTTTTACGAACATTGGATAGTCGAGATTATTACTGTGATACGTTAATCTATCGTGGTCCAAACATTCAACTGGTCTAATCAAATTGTTTTGTTTTGTTGTGTTGGTTTTTTTTGGAAAAATTTGAACAAATAAAATAGTGAACAAATGAATTATTTTATTGACACACATAATTTAAAATACTAGATTAGAATTTGAATTTGTTTTTTTTTTTCTCTTCAAGAATAATCCTGATCATCATCACTTTCAAACAGTACAATATTCGTACATGCCAATGATTGTTGATCGAAATTATTTTTATTAATCTGTATCGATTTACCAATTATACTGTTTGGTCCACATAACGGTAAATGAATGTCGATGAAATAATATTTTTTCAGATTAACATCACCATTTTCATTGATTTTATATGGTACAATTTCAATTGTTGACAATTTTTTCGACATATCACCAATAATACAGGCAATCAAATTTTTTCCATTACAATCACGACGATAAATGGTGTCCATTGTTTTATTATATGGATTAAATATTTCATCCGTTTTACTACAATCCGATGTACTCCAACTATTATCGGTGAATATTGGACTGCGATGTATATTCCATTCATGATTATGTGTAATTGTATCATTATCATTGGAACGTGAAATTTCAAAATAAATAGATGTATCTTCATTACAACGATTTTTTGGCTGTTTAAAAATAATCTGTCCTTGTATCGGTTTATCAAATGTAGCAAATGAAACGGTCATATCAACATCGACTAATTCTAGATTAGCACATGCAACTGTTGTTCCATTTGGTGCATAGAATACTAATGCTCGGCCCACTACACTTTCTGGTCCAAATAATGGTAGATTAAAATCAACTGTACTGATTTTTTCATCCGATTTCTGTAATAATGTACCATATTTTCCACTTAAATCTCCAATAGCATATTGATCACTTGTACCTAATCCTTCGATCGGTACAGAAAATGGACTAATATTTGTTGGATTATAGATAATATTATTGATATTTGGACAGGTTTTATGTGCTTCAGCTGCACGTGAAATTGATGGCAATTCATCAATACCATAACTATAGCCATATTTATTCGTTTTCAATTCAATATCCACTAATGTTGGATCGATTGGACTTTCTTGGCTAAACATTACCTGTCCAATTAGATAATCAGGTTCATTAAATTTTGCAACTGTTTTCCGTGGATATAATTGATGTATAGGTGCACAGGCAATGTTTTGATTATTATTACGTAGTATTATATATAGATTTGTTGATGATGATGATGATGATGATGATGTTAAATTCGGTACATTCAATAGATTTATATAGCTACGGCTATTTAATGTGGATGATTCACTTGAAACACTAATCTGATTTGTTTCCATCTATTATTATCAGTGGAAGAGCGAAAAAAATTGAATGAATAAATTAAATTCAAAATCATAATAATAACACTTACACTTTGAAGTAATGGCTGTAAATTATCCATACTTGAATTACAACTTTGTATTTCATTTTTATAATAAGAATCAAAATTTTTTTCATCATTTTTCATTGTTGTTTTCAATGTTGATCGATGATTATCGATCATTGATACAATATTCCAATCATATAATGATGTTTTAATCAATGGTGATAAATGATGTAAACTTGATACAATACTGAATAGATTACCACTTTGTAGAAAATAAACAATACCATGAATATTTGTACGAAAATATGCAATAAATGTTGATTTATTTTCAAATGGAAGTATTATTGCACATGACATACGGCCACTATCATTACCTTTCAATACTAATGTTTTACCAAGAAATGAATGTTCACCGGTAACAAAATTCAAATGTACATTGAATATATTCTGTCTGATTGGTTCTATTGAACCCATCAATAATGTTAGATCAAAACTTAAATAGATATTATTACGAACATTACAATCATTATTATCGATCATATAGCCAGCATTATATACTTTCCAGCTATAAGTTTCATTATTTGATCCATTATCGAAAATTTTCGTCGATATAGATGTTGATGTACCATTTTCTGTGAACAATACATAACCACGTATACCGTTGGATTGAAAACGTGCAATTAAACTATTTATAAATGTTGTCGGCGTTGTTGTTGATTGATCATTATTAGTTGCAATGGCCAAATCGATTTGATTTGTTGTAATAATGATGATGATGATAAGAAATAATAATACAAATTCAATGGTAGAATTTCGGCCATGGAGGCAACGATGATCATCCATATTTAGTGGATGAAAACAAAACAAAACAAGACAAAAAAAATGTTTGTCCTTATTCAATGGTGACGACGACAACAACTACAACGATCGGACAAAAAAAGTTTTTTTTTATTTGAACAAAATTATTGTTATCCATCACATTGTGTTGTCGTTTTTTTTTTTTTTGGATTTTGGAGAATCCAAAATCGTGATGATGGTCGTTGTCAAACAAGGACGGTGCATGTGAAATGTGAACCCAGAAAAAAAGAACAACAAAACACAACAATCTATGTATGGATTTAGTATCCATATACACAGGCATCATGTCCTAATTTCCATTCCTGTCAAAAAAAAAAAAAAAAAACGATATCATAACAATCTTTTTCTCACTTTCTTTTCATTAGAAAAAAAAGGATTTTTGAATCTCATTTTTTTCTGCAAAAAAAAACATAAATGGATACAGTTGTTGTTGTTGTTGTTGTTGTTGTTGTTGTCGTTGAAAACTTTGATGCTAATTTTTTTCCTATTTTCATCAAAATCGACTAAAAATAGCCAACAGCGTTAGAGAAAGAGAGAGAAAAGAAAAAAAACGCGAAAAAGAAGTGATGATTATGATGATGATGATGTTTATTGTCACCGGACATCAAAAGAAAAAAAAACTAGTTTCCCAGTAAATTTCATCATTAAGAAATGGATAAACATCTGGATGGATAAAATCTCACTACTTATCTTTTTAGTTAGCTGCATGATGGGAAAAGAAACAAGTTTTTTTTTCTCATAAACAATTGAAATATATATAAATGGAACAAACCGTTGATACACTCTTTTTTTTGTCATCAATGTAAAAATTTCATTTTTTTTTATTGAATTCTATCGAATCTGATATTATAAGATCTGATCTATTGATTTTTGTTGTTGTTGTTGTTTCATTTGATGAATAATATTAATCTGGCTGGCTATACAAAAGCATTCGATTTTATGATGTGAGAAAAAAAAATCGAAATTCGTCATTTTCAATTGAGAATAAACACACACACACAAACACATTGGATGAATATTCAGGATGTATGATTTGTATGTATGATACATGATTATGGAATGAAATGAAATGAAATTTTGTCTTTGTCTTTGTTTTTTTGGTTACACCACATCAATTGCCATTTTTTTTTCGTTTTTGGTTACTGTGATTATTGTGATAATAATAAATAAAAATTATTTTACAAGTTTACACAAAATGAATTCTGTATTGACGATTTTGTTGTATATGTATGGAAGCGCTCCATGAATAGAAAAATATTTTCGATCCTATTTTTCGTTGTTTTCATCATTTTCATTATTTATTGCACGAGAATGTAATTAGCGTTCGATTATTATTCAACTGGCAGCAAAAAAACTTTGTCGTTTACCATTAGATGTTGATGTTGTTTTGAGCATTTTATTTGTTTCAATTATTTCTTCATCATCATCGGATGAATAATCATCATCATTATCATCATCATCTTCTGTTGGTGATGATAATGCTGTACGGCCATTTGCAGCCATATTAGCTGCATTTTTTTTCTTTGCTGTTGCTAATTCGGCCGCATGTCTAATATGAATGGAAATAAAGATAAAAAACTCAATGTCAAAAAAAAAAATTCATACCTTTTTCGCCATTTTGTTCTACGGTTTTGGAACCAAACCTAAAAATTTTTAAAAAAGTGGATTCGAAAATTAGAAAATTTTTTTTCACTCATAAGCAGTCGCCATCTAACGGGTAATCAAATCAACTATGAATGGAATGATAAAAAAATCTATGACGAATGAAAATATGGTTTTGATCTATTGCCTGCCCGCCTGCCTGCTGTGCAATGTGTCACTTACTTTAACCTGACTTTCGGACATTCCTAATGCATAGGCTAATTTTGCTCGTTCCGGACCGGCCAGATATTTAGTTTGTTCAAATGTTTTTTCCAATACATAAATTTGATGGCCGGAAAATGTTGGACGTGTATGTTTCTTTTTACCATCTTTATCCGTACAGGATTGAGATACTGTTAAATTGTAAAGCAAAAAAATTGATTAAATTTGAAATTTAAAAAAACAATTAATAAATTCAAATATACCTGCATTAGCAAAACGTTCACGCCATAAATTTGAATTCTGTACCATAGCAGTTGGCCAATAAATATGACGACCAGATAATGGATCATTTAATGGATTGATTTTATTACCACCGCTATTGACACCACCATTGCCAAAACCATTTGCAGCAACGGCTGCGGCAGCAGCAGCTGCAGCCGCTGCATTAAAACAAACATTATTAGCGGACAATGGAAATTTCTGTAATGAACTCGACACTGATAGTGCATTATTAAATGTTGTCGATGATGTTGATATTGTTCCAGGTGAATTATTAGCTGTATTTGATATTGCTGTTGTTGTCGCCGTATTATTCATCGTCGTCAATGATGATGATGAATTATTGGCAATTAAATTAGCTGGCCTATTGAGAATATCATTAATAAAATGTGATGTTCCTGATGATGATGATGAAGATGATGAGGATGATGATGACGTTGTCGTAGTTGTTATTGTTGCTGTCACCGATGTTGTCGTTGAATTAATCATTGATTGACCATCAGATGATGATGGTGATTGATTTGTTGACAATTTATTATTATTATTATTGGAATGATGATTTAAAATAGCTGAATGATTATGATGAATATTTGAATTTAGATGATGTTGTTGTGGATGATAAATACTACTACTACCAACACCATTATTATTATTATTACTACAATTATCATCAATCGATAATGATGAATTCAATGTAGCCATTGTTGATTGTTGATTTGTTAATGTTAATTTAGATAAATCAGACATTGACGCCGATGATGATGATAATGACGGGGGCGTTGTCTGTGTAAGAAAATTATTCAATGAATGATGTGTATGATAATGTGAATTTGGAATCGTAATTTGTTGTGAATGTTTACCATTAACAGCGGCTACAGCCGCTACGGCAACATCATGTAAATTAGTTAAATGTTTCATTGAAAATAATGGATCAAATCGACCATTGGCATTTGTTGCTGTTGTTATTGTTGTTGTTGGATATGATTGACTATTGATATTTGGACTAGAAGAATTTGATGATGATGATGACAATGAACGTAATGATGAATGTGGTGATAATGATAACGATGAAGATGATGACGAAGAAGAAGATGATGATGATGATGTAGATTGATGCAATTCAAGCATCTTAAATCAATGACAATAATTTGACCAAAAAAAGAATAATAATTTAATTAAATTCAACACACAGACCGACTCGATGCACAAACAGACAATAATTTTGAATGTAAAATCAATTGAGTGCAAAAAAAATTGAATCTATAAATGGGATATACACACCAGAACACATTCATAGAATAATATGAAAGAATTCATTCAAAATTCAAATCGAAATAATTCATTTGGTCAACAACAAACTAAAAAAAAAGAAAAATAAAAATGTTCATTTTGTTTCACTTGAACACACACACACACGATAAAATGATTTTGATGATGATGATGATGATGTTATGATATGAATCATACAAGAATGATATTCATCGTCATCATCAATAACATCTTAATGATGATGATGATGATGATCATCATCATCATCATCGTTGGTCGTCGTCGTCGTCGTCGTAGTAGTAGTAACAGTAATAGCAGTAGTATTAATATCTGTCGATATAATCAAAGATGTTGTATATATTCGAAAACATATTCATTCAATCAGTTAAAATTCTTGTAGTGGTGCTGGTGATGGTGGTGGTGATGGTGATGGTGGAAAACAAGAAGCAAATATTTTTAAGATAAAACAAATTTAAGGACATTTTCAATTTTATCATCATTACACACACACACACACACAGAATAAAACAGTAAGGTTATTATTTTATCAAACAAAAAAAAAAAAGGAAAATAAGAATGAAAATAATGATGATGATGATGATGACGATGATGAAGCGTTTATATTATCAATTGAATCAACGTGGATAATGATGTGAATGTGTGTGTGTGTTTTTTTATTGTTGTTGTTGTTCTGGGTACCTCCTTTTTTTTGTTCATTTTTTTCTCAAACATTTTTCTAGTTAACGCCTTTTTCTTGCAGCCAATTTAATATTCTATGTGTGTGTTTTCATACATTTCAAAGCAATATTCTCATCATCATAATCATCAAATAAAAAAAAGGTTCAGCCTACCGGAGGTTATTTTTATACTTTTATTTTTGTAAATAAAACTCCGCCTTCTCATCACTATGATGTGTGTGTGTGTGTGTGTAATATAAATGTTAAAAAAAAATATTTCTACACACAAACATGCAGCAATGATATACAGATGATGCGTGATTCATTTCGATCATGACAATCAATATAAACTAAATGCAATGTTTTTTTGCTTGTTTGTTACAACCAAATAATGTTTCTCTCTTTTCTTTTCTGTTTTTTTTCTTTCTTTCTGGTAAATAATAATAAAAATGAATGAATTTTTTTTTTGTTTGGAAACTTTTTTTTTCCTACTTGAATTGGCGTAGGGGTTGAATGAGAGAGAAAGAAAGAGAGACAAAAACTCAAATCTCAAGTGAATGATCACACTGATCATCAGTGATGATGATGATGATGATAATCATCAGTGATGATGAACCATTTTGGAAAGAGATGAATGAGAGAGAGATAGAGGAAAAAAACCATTCCAACAAATTGATTCGTTACGATTTTTTGTTGTTGTTGTTGTTGTCGATGCTTTATTTATCACAATTCCAATTCAATTCCAAAAACTATTAGAAGTTCGATATCATTGCTAAATGTATATCATCGTCGTCATATATATATAACGAATCGATTTTTATCATCATCATTTGACGACAAATTGGCCTTTTATATATATATATATTTCCGTCATAACACACTTGCTTGAACAAATTAAACCAGAAGCAAACGGAAAAAAAGCCACTCGACTTTCGATATGTTCACTCACTCGCTCTCTCTCTCTCCTTTCTATATGGGGTTTTTTTTTAATCAACGAGAAAACAACCCGAACAATGAAATGTTGTATATATTGTCCGGGTGCTGTTGTTGTTGTTGTTGTTTTCTGGTAAGGAAATAAAGATTCAAAATTGAATTGGTGGATAGAAAATAAAAAGCGTGAAACAATTTTTTTTCCTGTTCATTCATTCATGATATTGTCAATTCATTCGAATGTGTGTGTGTGTGTGTGTGTATTCGTGTTCATTTTTGGTTCGTTGAGTTGATCATTGATTATGATGATGATGATGATTATTGTTACCATTTAGTGAGTGTGTAAAATGAATGAATGAAAAAAAAATTACATTCTATGGCCATTTAAGCAGCTAACAAAAAAAAACCTAATCTGTAGTAGCAGTAGCAATCAATGTATTGTATCAATAAATGAACACAGATCTTTCATAGAGAGAAAAAAAGAGCTATAATAAAGGATATATATATGTTCTCAATTTCAAATTTCAGAATTTCATGATATTCAATCGATAAATTGATGAACAAACAAGATATTCTATTATTATTGAAATGGAAATTCATATATATATATTTAGTACACAAGACCAATTGCACAAAACGGAAAAAAAATTTTCTTTTCAAGTTTTTTTTTTATTGGTTGAAAACACACAATAATGATAACATGGCAATTCTCGTTTCCTTTATAATCATCATCATCATCATCATCAAATATATAAACCGCTTATAAATGTCAAGCTATTTGGACATTATTATTATCAACGATTAATGTTGAAAATTTATGAAGAGGAAAAAATTTTTTTTTTCAATAAATTTCAAATGATCTGAATGAATGATTGAATGAATGAACGATATTTTTGCTTCAAAAGATGACCGGTCTTTTCACATTTTTGAATAAGTTTTTTTGGTTGCTGTTGTTGTTGTTGTTGTCGTTTCGATGGTAATAGCCGTGTCCTTTTGTCATTTTGAAATAACAATAACAGCAACAACAACAACAACAACAACAGCGAAAAATGTCAAATGACATGGCCATATCATTTTAAATGAATGAAATTGAATAAAACCGTATTAGAAAAATAAATGTCAAAAGTCAAAATATCCGAAATTGCATGAATATGAGAGAGAGAAATAGAAAAAACCGTTTAAATTTCACCCAAATAAAATAATAATAATGAGAAACCCTCCATACAAAAATAATTCAATCGTGTGTGTGTGTGTGTGTGTGATCGATTTGTGAATAACAATCATCAAGCAGCGAAAAAAAAAATAATAATACGATGACAGCGTTTCATTGTGTATGCATGTGTTAATTGTATCAAATAAACACAAAAATGAAAGAAAATCATTTGCTTGTTGTGTGTATAATAAATGGTGGTGTCATAAATATGATTTCAATACACTTACCATTCATTTATTCATTCATTTATACACAAACACACACAAAAAACACATTATGTTGAATTTGATGACGGATAATTGACAACTATTTTGAATGAATGAAATGAAATGAATAAATACCGGTAATAATGATGACGATTTGAATGAATATTGTCACACGGGTCAAATGATTGTTGTCATATATATCAACACGGGGATTTTAAAATTTTAAATTTCATTCAATGTCTTTTCATGTTGTTGTTGTTGTTGTTTTTTTGATTTGAATACAAAACGAACAAACAATAATCAAATCATTTTCAAATAAATCTAAATGTCGTTTCGTTTTCAAAATTTTTTCTCATTTTTGTCAGGTAATTATTATTATTATATATATGTTGGAATAAAAGTTACGTAATCGAAACATGTACTACTACTACTACTACTACCACCATGTTAATCAATGGAATCGAATTTTATTTTTATTTCTTTTGATGGGGGGGGTGTTAAAGCGCCACAAATGTAAACAATAAAATCAATAATAATAAACCACATCAAGATGATGATGATGATGAACAAGAAAATGTAGAAAAAAAAACATTATTTATGGCTTTTATACATACCTTTATTATTACATACATGTGTAGGTTAATATTTATTGATTGATTAATCAATCGATCGATTGATAATATACCAAATATATCGTTGTTTGGGTCATAAAACCAAGTTGTTTGTTGTTGCTGTTGTTGTTGTTGGCAGGTAGGTAGGTATGCAGATAGATAGATGATATTAATATGACCTTAGTTTTTTTTCTGTTGACCTTTTATCGACAAATTTAACTTGATTGAAAACAACACAAGAAAATGATCATGATGGTGATGTAATTTTTGTTGTAACTTTTCTATTATTTTTGAAACACTGTTTGTTTTTTTCATTTCATTGTTTCATAATGATGATGATGATCATCATAATCATTAACCATCATTATCATTAACAAATTTTTTTTTTTTTTTTTTGAAACAAATGTTATTCTGCTGAATCAACTTGTTTCGAAAGAAAAAAAACAAAAAAAAATTCTATTTTCAATGATGATGATGATGATGATGGAATAAAAATGGATTCTTTGATGGAGCAAAAAAAACAATTTTTCGGTACACACACACACAAAAAACGCGGGTAGGGTCGTTTGGTAATTTTATTTTGAAAAAAAATATATAAATTCGACCAATCATTTTGCCATATAACACATGCACACACACACACATGAAAAAAAAATTCGAATACTCAAATGCATCGCGCCTATATACACACTAAACGGCTGACCCAAATGAATCTTCCATTAAGAATTGCCGCCTTTTTTTAAGTGAATTCTCGTTAATGGTTCCATCATCATCGTCATCATCATCATTATCATCATCCATGATTCTCAAAGAATATGATGACGGTGACGATGATGATGATGATGATGATGATGATGATGATGATGATGTCTGAAAGGAGTTTATTTTTCATCCAAACATACATTTTCATTATTTAAAGAAAAAAAATATCAGAAATAGAAGCTTTTTCAGTGAAAAAATCTAAAATATTTAAATGTCCTTTTTGTCTTTTATATCTAAAAAAAAAATCAATTAAAAATAGAAAACAAAAAGTCAAAAGATTAATTGAATTTTAATTCGATACTGCTGCTGTCGTTCTGAAAACTCTAAACCGGATGTGTAGGTGGGTGTGGGTGTGTTTGAAACATATTGATTTCCATTAAGTAATGTGTGTATATTATATCACGTAAAATGTATATATTACGATTAAGTTTAAATGGCATTTAATTATCCACACATTGAACGCTAGAGAAAAATGAGTGCTAGTTGAGCAGCAAGATTGACACAATACAAAATACATGAGTTTTTGGAAATAGTGAAAAGGAAACAACACAAGGACCTTATGGTTGTTGTCATTATTATTAAAATAATAATGACAAACGATCCAGAATTATGATGATGATGATGATTTTTGTTCAAGTTTTTTTGTTCCATTCTCTCTCACTCATTCTGTG